TGTGTGTCAGAGGGTCCCCTAGGGGCCGCCGGCTGTAAACCAGAGGAGGTGCTGAGAGGAGAGAGAGAAAGAGAGGAGAGCGGAGCAGAGATCCATCAGCCGCACAGAGCCGCCGCGCGCTCACCGAACCTCAGCGGGTCAGCGTGGGCTCCACGCCACGCAGGACAGAGAATGCAGCAGGAGGAGGCGCAGACAAACAGGCAGAGAGGAGCAGAAGGAGCAGAGGGAACTTTGTCCATGGAGATCCTGCAGGAGCAGAAGCTCACCTCAGGCTGGATGTGGAGCGCAGCCGCGAGCCGCGCGCTTCTCTGAACTTTTCCTCCTGAGAATAAAAACCATCCGGACTCAAGTTTGGTTCTTTATTTTATTTCTATTATTTTTCATTTTTTCCACCTTCTGTCCGTTTGGTTCTATGGGAAGGAGGGAGCGAGAATGAACCGAGACAGAGGCGCGGCACCGGGCCCGGGCCCGGACGCGATGGGCCGGGACAGAGCCGTGGCCGGAGGGCCCCTGGCGGACCCGCTGCAGCCCGCCGTGAGCGGGGAGGGGGTCCAGACCACGGTGGGCCTGGAGGGGGGGGACATCCTGGACGGAGGCGCAGCCGGTGACAAGCGGCTCTTCTCGGTGCCCGGGAGCAGAGAGCCGCAGGCCGCGGAGAACCACACCGAACCCCCGCCGGTGCTGGTTCCGCCACAACAGGTGAGGGGGGGTCGGGTTAATCCCAATCTCAGGTTAGGAGAGATTAGCAGACGAGGAACATTTTAAACATTTTCATTTTTTTTTTTTTTTCAAATCTTTTTATTGAGAAGTCAGAGGTAGAAACAATAGATCGTCTTCATGGTTACAAAAGACTTTCCGTTTTTCAAACTTTATACACATTAAACCCCCCCACCCCCCACAGACTGGACCCAAAAATAGTTACAAACATTTTCATTTTAACCCAAAACTTTAAAGACTTTAAGCGGTTGGATCCATTTACCTCCATTCATTCATTCATTCATTCTTCATTCATCTGCAGCAACTTTAAAACCAACATTTCAAAAATATCTAACAAAAACTCCCAACAAAAATACAATTAATAACGAGCCGTTTTAACGCGACCAGATTTTATACAATAAATGATTTCGCTGTATTTTAGATTAAAATTTAAAATACAATTTAAATTTTAAAAAGTAAATGTATTAAACTGATTTAAAATATAGGCTAAGAAAACTTTTTTAAAGTAAAGGTTTTTCTCAGGAGAATAATTTAAAATAATTTCAAACCCTCCTGATTCTGCCATAAAGTAATGAATAGATTATAATTCTGTTCTAATCTGGGATCATCTCTATTTATGCTGGGAGTGAGGAAGATGATGGTGGACCTGCTGCAGGACCTCATTAATGAAGCAACATTCTCTCTGCAGAGAAACCCTCATAAATCATCCCATCAGAAAAACAGGCTGCAAGATCCGGACTGGACACAGATTACAATAAACGCTCCTTTATTATCATTAACCTATTTATTATAACTATTAACCTATTCATTATTATTATTATTATTATTATTATTATTATTATAAGGCTATTACTATTAGTAGTAGTATTACTAGTAAAATGCTATTATTAAACTATTATTATTAGTAATAGTAAAAGTAGAAGCTTCTTATTATTATTAATGCCTGTTATTATTATTATTATTATTATTATTATTATTATTATTATTATTATTATTATTATTATTATTATTATTACAGGCTCGTATCTAAAAGACTTTAGAAATATTCTGCTCTAACTAAGCAGACTTTTTCTCTTCTTCTCCTCCTCCTCTTCAGGGCCCCATCGGCCACCGTACCACCTCCTTCTCCGTCCTGGACATTCTGGACCCCAACAAGTTCACCAGCAGCCGACGCCACACGCCGCCGCAGCACGTGAGCCACCGCGGGGAGCGCGAGCTGGTCGCCTACGAAGCGGAGAACCGGAGAGGAGGCCCCGGGGAGCCGGAGCTCAGCGGCCTGGAGCCAGGGAAGAGCTGCTGCGGGGCGGAGGGATACCACAGCAGTAAGTGGGCCGAATCGACCCGGTGGTTCGACTGGAGCCGGTTCTGTTTCCCAGGAGAACCGATTGCTTTCTGTTTATGGAGAAATTAATTTCTTTCCTTTTCCTAAAAACTTTCATTAAATCGTCTTCATTGATTATTTAGTTTTCAAGGCAACAAAAATCCCGTTACAGAAATTATTATTATTATTATTATTATTATTATTATTATTATTATTATTATTATTATTATTATTATTATTATTATTATTATTATTATTATTGTTGTTATTATTATTATTATTATTATTATTATTATAAATATTATAAATCGCAGTAAAAGGCAGAGATAATTGGATCTTAATTAGATGGACGGACCGGACCGGTTCAGTTAATCGGTTCGGTGTTTGGTTCTGATTCGGTGGAAATGACGGATTTAATCTGAGCTTCTTTTTAAAACATTAATATTCAACATTTTATGGCGCAGAAATCCTTTGAGGAAAGAAGCCAAACCCACCCAGAGAAAAAACGAAATCATTTAGGAAAGAATCTGCTTTAAATAAAAACCGATAAAGGGATTTTCTATTCGACTCTATTCTATTTTATCACACTTCTTAAAGTTGGAGCTAAAATTTAAATGATCGATTAAATATCAATAAAAAACAGCAGAATTATAAATGGTTTTTGTTTTTATTTTCTAATAATTTACCAATCAGATCACTGTGATATTTTAATAAAGTCTCTGTAGAATCCAAACTATTATTTTTATTTTAGTTTATCTGATTGCGGATCAGCCGCTGATTTTTAAAAGCTTCTAAATTCTCCATAAATTCTGCAGAATCAATAAATTCAATTCTTTTCTCATCAAGAAGGTTTTAATTTTTCTGCTTTCCGTCGGAAAAAAAAACCTGCAGCTTTTTCTTTTTGACCTCGCTGAGGTATTCCTGCACTTTTTAGCGGATTTTATTTTACTTTTTCTTTTACTCGATATATTTACTAACAGTCACACACACACTTATGTGTATATATATATATATATATATATATATATATATATATATATATATATATATATATATATATATATATATATATATATATATATATATATATATATATATATATATATATATATAGCACGTATTTTTTCTTATACTGATGGCATCAAATGATCTAAATGTCTGCGTTTATTTTCAGCGTTACTTGGATTTATTTCTGTTTCCTTTTTTTTTTTTTTTTGCCGTGGGGAGATTTTTTTATTGTTATTATTATTATTATTATTATTATTATTATTATTATTATTATTATTCAATGACAGTAAAAAAGATGAACTGAATAAATCAAATATTCAGATTAAATGATGTGTGCGTCCGTTAATATTTAGTTGTGCTGCAGAAACATCTGACTGCAAAGATTGGAGAAGTTAGAAAAATTATTTGATTTTAATGTCGATAGAAAAATCAACCTGATTGAAAACCGAAAAATAATGAACTGAAATATAAAAATTGTTTCTTCCAGAATTAATCTTTTTTTCCCCAAACTTTCTTCGTAAATACAAAGTAAATAAATGTAAATTAGCGTTTGATAAAACAGGGAATTCTTTTCTAGATCAGAGCTCAGTGTAAACCTGGGATGTCATGTGAGGGACTTGGACTAGGCCCTTCAAATCCAGCCTTCCTGTTTCTGCTAAAGACAAAAGCATAACCACTGCATGATGCTGCCACCACCATGCGTCGCCACTCAAAAATATTTCGATTTATGTTATTTTTCCATTTAATTTTATGTAATTTTAACACTGACATATTAAACTTTACATGATGCATATTTATTTTATAATAAAGCTGTTTAGTTTAAATACATGATCAGCAGGTTTATGTATTCAGAATTAAAAAAGTATACTTACTGAAAATGAAAACTGATGGTGTATATATTTAGAATACATAAAGTTTATGGTTTTATTAACATAAAGGTTATTATTGTGTGTTTTAAACAATAATCTTTATGTATTTGAAAAAAATACACCCATGATTATTAATTTATAATTATCATTATTATTATATTAGTATACTTTTCGTTCTGATTACATAAACCTGCAGGAATGTGTTTCAGATAAATAAACTTAATTATATTTATGAATTTATATAATGTAAAGTTTATTTAACTGGTTTGGGTGGAAAATCTGAATAAGAAAAAAACAGAGATTTGTTAGATGATAAAATAACATTATTTGGTGTGTGTGTGGGGGTGTGCTTGGTTTCTTTAGGTTGATTTACTCTGTTACTCATCCTCCATCCATCCATCCATCCAACATCCATCATCCATCCATCCATCATCATACATCCATCATCCATCCATCCATCCATCCATCCATCCAACATCCATCATCCATCCATCCATCCAACATCCATCTCCATCCATCCAACATCCACCATCATCCATCCATCTATCATCCATCCAACATCCATCATCCATCCATCCAACATCCACCATCATCCATCCATCATCCATCCATCCAACATCCACCATCATCCATCCATCATCCATCCATCCAACATCCATCATCCATCCATCCATCCATCCATCTATCATCCATCCAACATCCATCCATCCATCCATCATCCATCCATCAGTCCACCATCATCCATCCATCATCCATCCATCCATCCAACATCCATCATCCATCCATTATCCATCCATCCATCCATCCAACATCCATCCATCCATCCATCTATCCATCATCCAGCCAACATCCATCCATCCATCATCCATCCAACATCCATCCATCCATCCATCCAACATTCATCCATCCATCATCCATCCATCCACCATCATCCATCCATCATCCTTCCATCCACCATAATCCATCCATCATCCATGATCCATCCATCATCCGTCATTTAACATCCATTTATCATCCAACCATCATACATCCATCATAAACCCTACATCCATCCTCCATCAGCTCTTATTCAAGACATATTCAGCACAGCTAACGACTTATATAAATTGAAAACATAAGTGAATGGTTGAATGGTTGGTTGGTTGGTTGAGAGGTTGGTTGGGTGAATGAATGGTTGAATTGTTGGTTGAATGAATGGTTGGTTTGTTGAATGGTTGGTTGAATGAATGGTTGAATGAATGGTTGAATTGTTGGTTGAATGAATGGTTGGTTGGTTGTTTGAATTGTTGGTTGGTTGGTTGAATGTATGGTTGAATTGTTGGTTGAATGAATGGTTGGTTGGTTGAATGGTTGGTTGAATGGTTGGTTGGTTGAATGGTTGGTTGAATGATTGGTTGGTTGAATGATTGGTTGGTTGAATTGTTGGTTGGTTGGTTGATTGAATGAATGGTTGGTTGGTTGAATGGTTGGTTGGTTGAATGGTTGGTTGAATGATTGGTTGGTTGAATTGTTGGTTGGTTGGTTGAATGGTTGGTTGAATGAATGGTTGGTTGAATTGTTGATTGGTTGGTTGAATTGTTGGTTGGTTGGTTGAATGAATGGTTGGTTGGTTGAATGAATGGTTGGTTGGTTGAAATGTTGGCTGGTTGAATTAATGGTTGGTTTAATGGTTGGTTGGCTGAATGGTTGGTTGGTTGAATGGCTGGTTGAATGATTGGTTGGTTGAATTGTTGGTTGGTTGGTTGAATGGTTGAATGAATGGTTGGTTGAATTGTTGGTTGGTTGAATGAATGGTTGGTTGGTTGAATGAATGGTTGGTTGAAATGTTGGTTGGTTGAATTAATGGTTGGTTTAATGAATAGTTGGTTTAATGAAAGGTTGGTAGAATGGTTGGTTTAATGAATAGTTGGTTTAATGAATTGTTGGTTGAATGGTTGGTTGGTTGGTTGGTTGGTTGGTTGGTTGGTTGGTTGAATGAATGGTTGGTTGAAATGTTTGTTGAATGAATGGTTGGTTGAATGAATAACTGGTTGAATGGTTGGTTGGTTGGTTGGTTGGTTGGTTGGTTGGTTGGTTGAATGCTTGGTTGATTTGTTTGTTGAATGGTTGGTTGAATGAATGGTTGGTTGGTTGAATGGTTAGTTGAATGATTGGTTGGTTGAATTGTTGGTTGGTTTGTTGAATGGTCGGTTGAATGAATAGTTGGTTGGTTTGTTGAATGGTTGGTTGGTTGAATGGTTGGTTGAATGAATGGTTGGTTGAATGGTTGGTTGGTTGAATGGTTGGTTGAATGAATGGTTGGTTGAAATGTTGGTCAGTTGAATGAATGGTTGGTTGAATTGTTGGTTGGTTTGTTGAATGATCGGTTGAATAAATGGTTGGTTGAATGAATGGTTGGTTGGTTGAAATGTTGGTTAGTTGAATGAATGGTTGGTTGAAATGTTGGTTTGTTGAATGGTTGGTTGAATGAATGGTTGGTTGAATTGTTGCTTGGTTTAATGAATGGTTGGTTGGATGGTTGGTTGGTTGAATGAATGGTTGGTTGGATGGTTGAATGGTTTGTTGAATGATTGGTTGAATGAATGGTTGGTTGAATTGTCGGTTGAATTGTTGATCCTTTTGACAGGATCTAGCTTCATGCATCTGAACTGTTTTGTTGTTCTGTTCCATTTTTCAGAGGATGCTTTTATTTACCGGAGCCCAGAAGAAGAGGACTACCACAGATCCGGGACCCCCGACTCCGAGGGTCCAGATGGGACCTACAGCAGCGAGGAGAGCAGCTCTGCTCTTCCCAGTAACGGTGACAGAGAGCGGGGTCAGCATAGCCTCTCTGATCCCAGCAGAGACTCAAAGAGCCCCAGCTCAGGAGGCCCCCCCGCTCAGGTCGCTCAGACCAATGCAGGACAGGGAAGCAAGCCCAAGAGGAAACGCTCCGGCTCAGACTCCAAGTCTGGGAAGCCCCGCAGAGCTCGAACTGCCTTCACCTACGAGCAGCTGGTGGCGCTGGAAAACAAATTCAAGTCCACGCGCTACCTGTCGGTGTGTGAGCGCCTCAACCTGGCGCTGTCCCTCTCCCTCACCGAGACCCAGGTCAAGATCTGGTTCCAGAACCGGCGGACCAAGTGGAAGAAGCAGAACCCAGGAGCTGACACCTCGGCCCCCACCGCAGGAGGAGCGGGGGCTGGCGGAGGAGGATCAGGAGGCGGCCTGGGCAGCCTGAGTCCTCTGAGCCCCTCCCCTCCGGTCAGCAGCCACCTGGCCATGCACGCCGGCTACGCCGGCCACCACCACCCCCCCGCAGGGAGCCTGGTGCAGCTGCCTTTCCTCACAGCCAGCCACGTCCTGTCGCCGTTCATGCTGGGGACCCAGAGCTACGCTGCGCCCGCCTTCTACAGCACACACCTGTAAGCGGCCTCCTTCCTGCCCCCATGTGAAGGATTATTTTGATAGACTGAACTTGAACCTGTACATACACCTGTGTTGTAGCTCCTCCCACCTCCTCTGAATGCTGTTTTAGTTGATTTCATGTCTGTACAAAACCTGAATGTTCCTTTCAGACGTAATGAATGGCTTGATCTACTGTCAGTACTGCTGTAACTCCTCCTGTGATGGTCCTCCTCTTCCTTATTTAGGATATTTGTTCCAGTTGCCATGGAAACCCGGGATGACGCTGTCCTTTGGTATTAAAGACGAATCATTAAGCCTGTGGACTTTTTCTGCTCCGTGTCACAGAGGGTTCTGGTAGCGGCCCGGCAGCTGAACATTTCAACATTGTTTGTTTTTATTTATTTATTGTACATTAATTATTTCTTTTCATCTGTTGATCCTGAACGGATCTAAAGACCGTCTTCCTAAAAACAACAGTAAGAATTTTACAGTGAACAATACAAATATAAAAAGAAATAAAATGAATATAACTCTTGATGCTTGTTTACAGTGTTGAAGTTTGCTAGAATACAGATTTACGGTTAAATAAAATAAAACATTAGAATGAACAGAACTAAACTACATAGACAGCACACACCAGCAGCAGCAGGAGGACTCCTCTGTTTCTCCTGATCTTTACAAACCGACCGAGGGGAGGAGGTGACAGCCATGGAAGATTTTAGAAAAACAGACAGAGGTTTGAATAGCGGATGACGTTTTCCCAGCTTATCCTTTCTAGATTTCTAGATCTAACTTCAAAGCAAGTTTCTACTCTTTAAAATGTTAAGCAAAGGAAACTCTAAACAACTAAAGGTGAGCAGCCAGTGAACAGAGACACGTCTGAATAAGGACATTAGAATCTAAGTGCCATTTCTACATCACTGCAGGATTATCTAGAGGCTCTGAGTCTATTACATCATCACCTCCCCACTGAGGGAGGAGGTGCTATACCTGGGGGAGGAGGTGCATCCATCATGGCCGACCTCAGTAAACCATACATTTCTAGTTCATGAATTCATTCAATCCAGTTTATTGAGCTCAGAGTCACGTGACTGGATGAGCCTTTAGAGCGGAGCCTAAACAGGAAGTGTTCTGTCCTCCTCAGGGCCTCCTGTCAGAGGAGCTTTATTCAGTTCCTGATGGGACGGTCCAGCTGACTGGTTCTGTTCATGTCCCATCCTGGGTGCTCCTCCTCTGCTCCTTATGCCGGTTCTGGAGGAGCTGGATGGGGGTCAGTTGAGTGCGTAGTTGAACTGGTTGGAGAACTTGTCGTGTTTCCTCCTGTCCGCCTTACTCAGCACATCCGCTACTCTGCGCATGGTGCTCCTGCAGAGAGGAGAGCACAGCTGGTCAGCAGCCGGACCAGAGCGGAGCGGAGCTCCTGCTGCTTCATACGTACTTGTTGAAGACCTTCCTCTGCAGCCTGGAGCGCGCCGTGTTGCTGCTCTGCTTCAGGTCGCTCAGGTTGGGGAACTTCTTCTTCTTCTTCCCTCTGCGGTTCCGAGAGGAGCCCAGGTCCTCCCCGGTGGCTGCCTCGATGTCCCGCATCAGCTCATCATCACGCCAGTCTGCAACAGAACAGAGGCAGCATGCAGCGTCACAACATCCAGCTGCTCTATTAACAGCAGCATCTATCTCACATAGCTCTAGCAGGACGGTTTCTATGGAAACAACCGGGACCCGAACTACACCAGAGGTCTGGCCCGACCCTACTGAACCGGTTCTTAGAGTTCCTTCGGTTCCGGTCCGTTTGTGAAGCGTCTCTGCTTTGGAGCTGAGCCCAGCAGCAGACGCTCATTTGGACCCAGTTCTGCTTTGAGCAGACGGCGGCGGGCTTTATGACCCGGTTCTGCTCAGAGCAGACGGCGGCGGACTCATTTGGACCCGGTTCTGCTAGAGCAGACGGTGGCGGGCTTTATGACCCGGTTCTGCTCAGAGCAGATGGCGGCAGACTCATTTGGACCCGGTTCTACTCAGAGCAGACAGCGCCAGTCTCATTTGGACATGGTTCTGCTCATTGGACCCGGTTCTGCTCAGAGCAGACGGCGGCGGACTCATTTGGACCCGGTTCTGCTAGAGCAGACGGTGGCGGGCTTTCTGACCCGGTTCTGCTCAGAGCAGACGGCAGCGTGCTTTCTGACCCGGTTCTGCTCAGAGCAGACGGCGGCGGACTCATTTGGACCCGGTTCTGCTAGAGCAGACGGTGGCGGGCTTTCTGACCCGGTTCTGCTCAGAGCAGACGGCAGCGTGCTTTCTGACCCGGTTCTGCTCAGAGCAGATGGCGGCGGACTCATTTGGACCCGGTTCTGCTCAGAGCAGAGGGCAGCGTGCTTTCTTACCCGGTTCTGCTCAGAGCAGATGGCGGCGGACTCATTTGGACCCGGTTCTGCTCAGAGCAGACGGCGGCGGGCTTTCTGACCCGGTTCTGCTCAGAGCAGACGGCGGCGGGCTTTCTGACCCGGTTCTGCTCAGAGCAGACGGTGTCAGACTCATTTGGACCCGGTTCTACTCAGAGCAGACAGCGCCAGTCTCATTTGGACATGGTTCTGCTCATTGGACCCGGTTCTGCTCAGAGCTGGTACCGGGACAGAAACAGCTGGACCTTCATCCGGGCCTCAGGTTCTGCTCTCAGAAGCTGGTTAGATCAGGATCCTGCTGACCTCTGACCTTCAGCTTCTCTCCTCCTGAATTCAGGCTGCAGCTGTCGCCCCGCCCCCACCTGCTGCTGTCTGTCACCATGGAGCTCCTCCTCCTCTGAGCGGGTCGGCGCCGGGCACCAGCTGCCTTCTGCACAGTCTGAAGCTCCAGAACCAGAACCTGGACCGAACTGACCCCTTTGGAGGTTGGGGTTCTGATGGATCCTGTTCCAGGTTGGGTTCTGACCAGTTTACTGGAGGATTTCCAGTATCACATCCCATTAGCTACTGAACCAGTGAGGTTCTAATCTGAAGCGGTCCCAGTGAACAGAACCAGATAACGCAGTTGGAACCACCACCCCAGGTCAGAACCACCAATCCGGGTCAGAACCATCATTCTGGGTCAGAACCATCAGTCAGGGTCAGGTCAGAACCACCAGGTTCTGAAAGCCTCTGGTAGCTCATCTCTGTTAGATCCAACCTTCTGCAGGGAGAACCAACAGAGCAGAGGTCCAACAGCCTGATCCGGTTCTGCTGGGTCAGTGCAGCGGTTCTAGTCTGTGCAGCGGTTCTATAAGGTTCTGCTGGGTCTGTGCAGCGGTTCTAGTCTGTGCAGCGGTTCTGTAAAGGTTCTGCTGGGTCTGTGCAGCGGTTCTAGTCTGTGCAGCGGTTCTATAAGGTTCTGCTGGGTCTGTGCAGCGGTTCTATATGGTTCTGCTGGGTCTGTGCAGCGGTTCTATAAGGTTCTGCTGGGTCTGTGCAGCGGTTCTATAAGGTTCTGCTGGGTCTGTGCAGCGGTTCTAGTCTGTGCAGCGGTTCTGTAAAGGTTCTGCTGGGTCTGTGCAGCGGTTTTATAAAGGTTCTGCTGGGTCTGTGCAGAGGTTCTAGTCTGTGCAGCGGTTCTGTAAAGGTTCTGCTGGGTCTGTGCAGAGGTTCTAGTCTGTGCAGCGGTTCTGTAAAGGTTCTGCTGGGTCTGTGCAGAGGTTCTAGTCTGTGCAGCGGTTCTAGTCTGTGCAGCGGTTCTATAAAGGTTCTGCTGGGTCTGTGCAGAGGTTCTAGTCTGTGCAGCGGTTCTATAAAGGTTCTGCTGGGTCTGTGCAGAGGTTCTAGTCTGTGCAGCGGTTCTGTAAAGGTTCTGCTGGGTCTGTGCAGAGGTTCTAGTCTGTGCAGCGGTTCTAGTCTGTGCAGCGGTTCTATAAAGGTTCTGCTGGGTCTGTGCAGAGGTTCTAGTCTGTGCAGCGGTTCTGTAAAGGTTCTGCTGGGTTTGTGCAGCGGTTCTGTAAAGGTTCTGCTGGGTCTGTGCAGAGGTTCTAGTCTGTGCAGCGGTTCTGTAAAGGTTCTGCTGGGTCTGTGCAGCGGTTCTGTAAAGGTTCTGCTGGGTCTGTGCAGCGGTTCTATAAAGGTTCTGCTGGGTCTGTGCAGCGGTTCTATAAAGGTTCTGCTGGGTCTGTGCAGCGGTTCTGTAAAGGTTCTGCTGGGTCTGTGCAGCGGTTCTATAAAGGTTCTGCTGGGTCTGTGCAGCGGTTCTATAAAGGTTCTGCTGGGTCTGTGCAGCGGTTCTGTAAAGGTTCTGCTGGGTCTGTGCAGCGGTTCTATAAAGGTTCTGCTGGGTCTGTGCAGCGGTTCTATAAAGGTTCTGCTGGGTCTGTGCAGAGGTTCTAGTCTGTGCAGCGGTTCTGTAAAGGTTCTGCTGGGTCTGTGCAGAGGTTCTAGTCTGTGCAGCGGTTCTAGTCTGTGCAGCGGTTCTATAAAGGTTCTGCTGGGTCTGTGCAGAGGTTCTAGTCTGTGCAGCGGTTCTGTAAAGGTTCTGCTGGGTTTGTGCAGCGGTTCTGTAAAGGTTCTGCTGGGTCTGTGCAGAGGTTCTAGTCTGTGCAGCGGTTCTGTAAAGGTTCTGCTGGGTCTGTGCAGAGGTTCTAGTCTGTGCAGCGGTTCTGTAAAGGTTCTGCTGGGTCTGTGCAGCGGTTCTGTAAAGGTTCTGCTGGGTCTGTGCAGCGGTTCTATAAAGGTTCTGCTGGGTCTGTGCAGCGGTTCTGTAAAGGTTCTGCTGGGTCTGTGCAGAGGTTCTAGTCTGTGCAGCGGTTCTGTAAAGGTTCTGCTGGGTCTGTGCAGCGGTTCTGTAAAGGTTCTGCTGGGTCTGTGCAGCGGTTCTATAAAGGTTCTGCTGGGTCTGTGCAGCGGTTCTATAAAGGTTCTGCTGGGTCTGTGCAGAGGTTCTAGTCTGTGCAGCGGTTCTGTAAAGGTTCTGCTGGGTCTGTGCAGCGGTTCTGTAAAGGTTCTGCTGGGTCTGTGCAGCGGTTCTATAAAGGTTCTGCTGGGTCTGTGCAGCGGTTCTGTAAAGGTTCTGCTGGGTCTGTGCAGCGGTTCTATAAAGGTTCTGCTGGGTCTGTGCAGCGGTTCTATAAAGGTTCTGCTGGGTCTGTGCAGCGGTTCTATAAAGGTTCTGCTGGGTCTGTGCAGCGGTTCTATAAAGGTTCTGCTGGGTCTGTGCAGCGGTTCTAGTCTGTGCAGCGGTTCTATAAAGGTTCTGCTGGGTCTGTGCAGAGGTTCTAGTCTGTGCAGCGGTTCTAGTCTGTGCAGCGGTTCTATAAAGGTTCTGCTGGGTCTGTGCAGCGGTTCTATAAAGGTTCTGCTGGGTCTGTGCAGCGGTTCTATAAAGGTTCTGCTGGGTCTGTGCAGCGGTTCTATAAAGGTTCTGCTGGGTCTGTGCAGCGGTTCTATAAAGGTTCTGCTGGGTCTGTGCAGCGGTTCTATAAAGGTTCTGCTGGGTCTGTGCAGCGGTTCTATAAAGGTTCTGCTGGGTCTGTGCAGCGGTTCTATAAAGGTTCTGCTGGGTCTCCTCACCAGGCTGCTGCTCCTTCCTCCTCTGCTCCTCCCTCTGCCGGTCCTCCTCTCTGCACGGTCGTCCCTCTGAGTCTCGGGGGACGATGGGGCCGTGGAACGGGCACTGGGGGGACAGACAGACAGAGTCGGGTCAGAACCTTCCCCTATGGTGAGGGTTCTACAGGGCGGTTCTGGTACCTTGAGGCGGTCCTGTCTCTGGCACAGGGCGCCGTTCCCCAGCGGGGCTCTGCAGAAATGGCTGACGGGGACGAACTTCCCGGGGAAGGAGATATAGCGGCTCCTGCTCTGAGCCAGCAGCTCCTGGCTCTCCACCTCCTCCTCCACCTCCGCAGGAACCCAGAACTGATGCTGGGAGGCCGACCTGGACACAGACAGCGAGATGAACTTTGACCTGCAGGCTGTGGGTATGGATGGAGGTCTATCATTCAACACCCATTTAGGGAAGGACAGAGACGCCTGTCCCAGTCATGGACCGTCCTTAATGGACATCCTGTTCAGACAAAAGGAGGTCCATCCGTCCACCAGGACACCCTAGACCGGACCTTCAGCCGCATGTTTTAGACCCTGGGGTGGAGAGAGGTACTCCTTGAACCCCAGTGGGCCTCAGCAGATGGCCGCTCACGCTGAGCCTTGATCTGCTGGAGGTTTCTTCCTGTTCAAAGGGAGTTTTTCCTCTCCACTGTCACTGCAAGCATACTTAGTGTGAGGGATTGCTGTCAATGAGTCAATGCAATCAGCTGGTTTTCCTTAGATAGAAAACTTTGAATCAATCTGACTGGATGGTGAACTGTAAAGTGACCTGAGATGACATGTTGTGAATTGGCGCTATAGAAATAAACTAAATAGAAACTGAATAGAATTGAGTGGAACTATGATCTCTGCCGCCAGCTGTGGCTGTAAGGTCTGCGCGGCCCGTCATGGCAGCAGTCTCCAAACACGGCGTAGGACACCGGCAGGGTGTGAACTGTGGGACTCCTGAAGCTGCAGGCAGAGCAGCTGCTGCCCTCCAGAACCTTCATGGACTGGATCTGTAGAACCAGAGGTCTGCTTCTGGACCAGCGGGTCTCATCCCTGGTTTTTGTGGATGACGAGGTTCTGCTCCCTCCTACAGTTGGAACTGAGGCGGTTCAGCCAAGTGTGAAGAGGCTCCTGCAAGTCCGAGGCCATGGCTCTGGTTCTCCTCAGGAAAAGGGTGGTCTGTCCCCTTCAGGAGGAGCTCCATCTGCTGTGGTTCAGAGAGCTGACATCTACGGTCTACGTTCCTCCCCTCGCCTACGGTCATTAATCTGGATCAGGACCCTCTGAGGGAGGCTGAGCTCTCCCACACAGAGAGGAGGAGGAGCTGGGTCATCAGAGTAGAGCTTCTTCTCCTCCAGAGGAGTCAGCTGAGGAGGATCAGACATCTTTATCTGATGGACGCCTCCCTCTGAGGGGTTCCAGGGACGTCCCACCAGGAGGAGGACCAGAACACCATGGAGGGTCTATGTCTCCGCTGCCCCTGGAGGAGCTGGAGAAGGAGTCTGGATAGAGGGGAGTCTGGGAGTCCCTGTTTTTTTTGTTTTGTTTTTTTTCCAACAAAAAAATTATTTTAATCTGAAAAATATAAATTTAAAACAATATTTGCTATTAAAGAAAAAAAAAAAAGAAAATCAGAGAACATCCCCCTCTCAGGGTCTAGTTGGCCCCCCCGGTAAGGCGCAGTGTTTTACTTTATGATCTTGCCAGCGTTGGGCTGCTCCTGGCCCCAGTAGTAAAGGTCCAACCCAAACGGAACCACTGGAACCTCAGCAGCCTGCTGCTCTGGACCCGACTGACCCGGACCATCAGAACCGCTGCAGCTGGAGGAGGAGGAGGAGGAGAGGAGGGGTTGGACGCCATCGTACTGCTTAATGTGTGTTTAGGATGGGGGGGTGTTCACCTGGGCTCTCCATGGAGGGGGAGCTTCTCTCTGAGGAGACGCAGCGTGGCGGCAGCAGACGTTGGGTCCTGCTCTTCCTCCATCATCCTCTTCATCCGCCTGGAGGAGGAAGATGAGGAAGAGGAGCTGGACAGAGCAGGTGGGGCGGGGGGCCTCCTGGGCGGAGCCTTCTGCTGAGAGAGGGCAGCGGCTGAGGTGGAGGGGGACGGATCCAGACCTGGACAGAGGACAGAACCGTCAGAACCGCACGCCGGATCAGAACCAGAACCAGATATCGGACTAGAACCAGACATCAGACCAGATATCGGACCAGGAGGTCTGTTCTGGTTCTTCTGGATTGGTCCAGAGGCCCTGGTCCTCAGTAAGTTCTAAAAACTCCAGATTGTTTGAACTAAGGGAACCGAGGAGATCAGAGAGATCAGCCCCCAGACGCTGGTGGTTCTGTTTGACCCAAACAGAACCACCAGCGTCTCTCCAGCGGTTCTGCTTCCGAGGTTGGATGTAACGCCACCAACGGCCACCAGGAGGAGACCTGCTGCTCCAGCTACGGTGGCCTATGTGTCCAAAAGGTCAGAGGTCACCCAGACTTCAGGTGAGCTGCTAACCGTCAGAGGAAACCAGTGAAAACACCCGTAGAAAACGACAGGTTAGACCGGATCTACAGGTCTGGATGAACTAGATCTATAGAGTGAGCTGAGGGGGCGTAGATCAGAGCTACAGAAATAAACCAACTGAATTTCCTAAAACATCAGCAGCCTCTTCAACCTGCATCAGGTGTGTGTTTGGTCCTATTTTGGTTAACCTGTGACGACAGTTTCCCAGAATTCCCAGAAATACATCCCGTCTCCTGCTGCCACGGAGAACTGCAGCAGCTAGAATAGACAGGCTCAGACTCACAGAGATCGAACCCAAAGCGGTTCCTCTGGCTCCCAGTTATCCGTTCTACCAAAGCTGACCAATCAGAGCAGCCAACAAACACGGCCAATCAGCATCCAGAGAGCCGATTATCGGGATCCCTCCCCCAATCCAGGAACTCTTCACGTAAAGACACTTTCCTGGGTGGGGGGGAGCTTTCAAAAAAGGAAACGGGGGGGTGGGAGGGTGATGAGGATAAAGTGGGTGAAAGAGCAGAAAGCAGTATTGATTTCCAGGGTTAAGCAGGGCCTGTAATTAAAATGTTAATTTGAGAAAGGAGCTGACAGCAGAGGGAGGGATGGGAGCTGATAACCACAGACCGACCACAAATGGCTGAACGGCGGCCGCACGTACAGGAAAACTGTGACTCAGTGAGGATGGAGAGGAGATGGGAGTAAAGGAGGGACGTCTCAATCTGCCCGCCGTCAGCGCCGATACGCCGTCCACAGCCTGCTGCTGACCAGAGGGGGTGTGGCTACAGATCAGAGCTGCAACTAACGGTTAATTTGCTAATTGATTAATCTGTTGATTATTTAGCCAAAGTTTCCTTACAGAAGATGTTTTAGGAAATGAAACAGGGTCAGACTAAAACTTTCCCACTTCAGGAGTTCTGGATTATAGAGCAGATTGACATCTAAAATGCTAAATGTTTATTTTTTTTAATAATCCCGGTATAATTCCTGCTCTATGTGGGTCGCTCTGTCGGCTAAAGGCATGTTTTACAGTCTCTATTCTCCAGTTAAGGATTAATAGGTTACTACTGAACCCTAGTTCCACATACAGCCTCAGAGCCATCATGGTCCAAAGCAGAGCGCAGGTCACCTCAGGGACTAGAGGGACTAGAATGACCTCCCTGGTCCACCTGCACAGCAGAGAGGGACCTTCAGCTCCACCGTCCACTGGATCCAGGATGGAGAGCCAGGAGACGTTAGCAGGAAGGCAGATGGACAGGAGGAGGTTGCCACGGTGACGGATTGATAAAATACCTGAAAACTACAAGGAATGTTTTACGGGTTTTAAGTTGACTGACATTAGGGAGGGAAGAAAGAGCAGGAAGCAGGCGTGGAGGCTGACTCCCACAGAGGTCACCTGTCTGCATGAACACCTGAGCAGAAACAGAGGAGTTCAGCTGCTCATCCATCCGTTTAAAGAACAACATGGACCTGGATGGAGGCTTGTCTGGGACCTGAGGACCAGCAGACGCCACGTCAGAACAGCTTTCCCTGGATCCCAGAGATCCGGCCGTTGGTTCAGGTTCAAACTGGTTCTGTTGAAGAACCACCAATCAGATAGAAGCTGCCGTTGGCCTCAGTGAGGTCACCCCCTGTTCCCAGGGAAACCCCACTTCAGCAGATATCGACCAAAATCCTAAACAAATAATTTTAGTTTCACTTCAGGGAAGAACCAAGTGAAAGTCTGATCAAACTTTTCTGTCCTGATGGCCGCTCACACTGAGCCTGGTTCTGCTGGAGGTTTCTTCCTGTTCAAAGGGAGTTTTTCCTCTCCACTGTCGCTACAAGCATGCTTAGTGTGAGGAATTGCTGAAGAGTCAATGAGTCGATGGAATCAGCTGGTTTTCCTTAGAAAACTTTGAATCAATCTGACTATGATCTGGTTGATCTGGATCTATACAGAGACCTGAGATGGCGTGATGTAAATCAGCGCTAACTGAAGTGGCTAAATGATTGTGTGAGAAGTATCCCTATATTTAACCTTTGTTAAATGGGTCCATTTGGATCCACAGATCCACAAACAGTCCGACCTGGAGTCCATTTCATGTCTTGCTTAGAAAATGCTCTAATAGAACAAACGCTTGTTACTGAGGTGGGAGTGGGGGAGACAGTGGGTGAGAGTGGGTGGTAGAGTCAGGGTGCAGGGCTAATAGGGGCTCATTAAGGAGGTTGCATTGTTAATTTGGAGCGGCCCTTCTAGATCATTACCTCACCCGACTAATCACCCCGACACAGACACAGCTGCTGCAGATAGCATCTAATTACTCTGCTTCTAATTGATTGGAGGGGGGGGACAGGTAAAGACTCGACCACAGACCAGGGGGAAAGCGTTTGCCAGAGGTCAAAGGTCATGTCCTTCTAGCTGATCCAGCAATAATTGTAACATTCAGACATTAACAGACATGGCGACGTCACGCTTCAGAACACGCTGGTCCAATATGGCTGACCGAGCATCATCATGGTGGCGGTGTTCGCCGCCGCCCCCTGTCTGCCAGCAAAGGCCGGACACCCTGAGGAACAGCAAGAAAAGCTTATGGAGCTGAACCTGCAGGCCGCCTGGGGGCCAAAACGTAGGGCCCCCCAGAGCGACGGCGCTGCGGTCTACATGCCCCCCCCTCTTCAGGGAGAACGGTTGGATCTGAGCAGCTTCCAGAAGCACCGTTCAGACCAACGTCATCGGTTCCGATCCAAACCCCAGCTGGCCTCTGACCGCCCGTCCCCTGGACCACTGGGAATCCCACTGGGTCGACCCGTTGGCGGCGTTTCCTCCAGCGCGTCCAACAGCCAGAGGAGAGCGACGTCCAACCTTCATCCTGCCCATGAAGAAGTCAGCCTCTCTGCTGCAGCACTGATGTTCAGTCCATCCTCAGACATGGAAGCATGGAGCAGACCAACATTCATCCCAGCGCCAACCATGAGGCCTGAGGAAACCCAATCAGTGAGCCTAGCATGGTAATGAAAGGAATCCATGAGGCCAAAGAGCAGCTTGTCCTGGGCTCTCAGAGCTTCTACCTGCTCCTCAGCAGCAGCTGCCTCTTTGAAGTCTGACGGCCTGTTTGTTTACCGAGCGTCTGAGGGGATCAGGGCAGCATCAGGTCTCCTCCGGACTGTTTATGCACGTGTCCGTGGATCAGTGTCAACACGTGTGTGTGTTTGTAGAGGCAAACTGACCGTACTCAGCACGGAGATGCTCAGGAATGTGCGGCTCATATCCTTCCTTTTCTGGAACCTCTTCAAATTCCTCCTCATCATCCTCATCCTCCTCTCCATCAGAGGTGGCCTTCATCTGAGGAAGAAGAAAGAACAGCTGGGTCAAACAGATGTGGAGTAAAGCTGTGTGGTGAAGTTCAGCATGTTGACACACAGCTGCTAAAGAAAGCAACCCCCCCACCCCCACGGCTGTCTGACTGATAGTTCACTTCGTGACTGTAGGGAGAGTTTCCATGGTAATGAAGGAACATTGATTTCCTTTCCTCTGTGGCCTCCGTCCTGTCAGGAAGCTGCTGGACGGCGGGAAAATCTAACTTCTAAATGTTCCTCACATCTGAAGGAGACATTCTCAGAGGGATGAACGAAGACAGGACGGGTGGTCTTTGTGTCGGGGGGGTAATGATGTCTGGATGTGAGTTTGATGATCAGCGTTCAGCGCTGAGAGAAATTTATGGTTTTTAATTTCCTGCCGATGGTTGTTAGCCGATGGTTGGGCTACAATGCAGAACACAACACCCTGATCAGAGAGGGTCATTTCCATCATGCTGATGTGTGGGTGGACTCGCACGCTGCACACACACTCTGCAGCATCATAACCACAGTGATTAGCGTTATGAGGAGCAGTAAAAGCTAACATTAAACTAACCTCTTATTCCCACAGGCCTCTTTATCATTCTCTCATTTCATTTGTGTGGATCGGCTCCCTCTGAGTGTGTGTCTGTGGGGGGTGGAGGGGGGGAGCCGCTGTGTTTCTGCAGATAAAGACTATTAACATGTTTGAATTAGTTTACAAATGATGAGTTTGTGAATGATGACTATAACTGCCCCCCCCCCCCCCCCCCCCCCCATCAGCCAGAGGGAGCCAGCTAACCATGTAGCCATGTAGCCCAGCTCTAGAGGCCGCCTCCACAGAACAATTAAAACCGTTTATATTACATCACTTTCTGTTCGTTAACAAGCAACTAAACAATTAAAGGCTAATTAGAGCTCATTAAAACTGCCAACACACACTGAGGGGGGTCTAAGAGCCAGAAACATTAGGACACATCCAACGGCAATTTTATATTCTGCAGACTCAACACCTGCTGGGACATGGTTTCCCCATTTGGCAGGGAGGTCTACAGTAATCCCTGGAGAATAACCATCACACGTAATGAGAAGCTCCATTACAGGACAATCTAAAACTAAACCTGAAGAGATGTTTTATATTCTCTAACAACCCAATCCCGTCTCTAACGACCCGCTCCGGTCTCCGGTCTCTACCGACGTCCTCCAGTCTCCGGTCTCTACAGACCCGCTCCGGTCTCTGCCGACCCGCTCCGGTCTCTTCCTCCACCGGTCTCTACCGACCCGCTCCGGTCTCTACCCCCTCCGGTCTCTACCGACCCGCTCCGGTCTCCGGTCTCTACCGACGTCCTCCAGTCTCCGGTCTCTACAGACCCGCTCCGGTCTCTGCCGACGTCCTCCAGTCTCCGGCCCCTACCGACCCGCTCCGGCCCCTACCGACCCGCTCCGGCCCCTACCGACCCGCTCCGGTCCCTACCGACCGGCTCCGGTCCCTACCGACCCGCTCCGGTCCCTACCGACCCGCTCCGGTCCCCGGTCCCTACCGACCGGCTCCGGTCCCCGGTCCCTACCGACCGGCTCCGGTCCCCGGTCCCTACCGACCGGCTCCGGTCCCCGGTCCCTACCGACCCGCTCCGGCCCCTACCGACCCGCTCCGGTCTCTACCCCCTCCGGTCTCTACCGACCCGCTCCGGTCTCTACCCCCTCCGGTCTCTACCGACCCGCTCCGGCCCCTACCGACCGGCTCCGGTCCCCGGTCCCTACCGACCGGCTCCGGTCCCCGGTCCCTACCGACCCGCTCCGGTCCCCGGTCCCTACCGACCCGCTCCGGTCCCTACCGACCCGCTCCGGTCCCTACCGACCCGCTCCGGTCCCTACCGACCCGCTCCGGTCCCTACCGACCCGCTCCGGTCTCTACCGACCCGCTCCGGTCTCTACCGACCCGTTCCGGTCCCTACCGACCCGCTCCGGTCCCTACCGACCCGCTCCGGTCTCTACCGACCGGCTCCGGTCCCTACCGACCCCCTCCGGTCTCTACCGACCCCCTCCGGTCCCTACCGACCCGCTCCGGTCTCTACCGACCGGCTCCGGTCCCTACAGACTCCCTCCGGTCTCTACCGACCCGCTCCGGTCTCTACCGACCCGCTCCGGTCTCTACCGACCCGCTCCGGTCCCTACCGACCCGCTCCGGTCTCTACCGACCGGCTCCGGTCCCTACCGACCCCCTCCGGTCCCTACCGACCCCCTCCGGTCTCTACCGACCCCCTCCGGTCTCTACCGACCGGTTCCGGTCCCTACCGACCGGTTCCGGTCCCTACAGACCGGCTCCGGTCCCTACCGACCCCCTCCGGTCTCTACCGACCGGTTCCGGTCCCTACCGACCGGTTCCGGTCCCTACCGACCGGCTCCGGTCCCTACCGACCCGCTCCGGTCCCTACCGACCCGCTCCGGTCCCTACCGACCCGCTCCGGTCCCCGGTCCCTACCGACCCGCTCCGGCCCCTACCGACCCGCTCCGGTCCCCGGTCCCTACCGACCCGCTCCGTCCCTACCGACCCGCTCCGGTCCCTACCGACCCGCTCCGGTCTCTACCGACCCGCTCCGGTACCTACCGACCCGCTCCGGTCCCTACCGACCCGCTCCGGTCCCTACCGACCCCCTCCGGTCCCTACCGACCCCCTCCGGTCCCTACCGACCCCCTCCGGTCCCTACCGACCCGCTCCGGTCTCTACCGACCGGCTCCGGTCCCTACAGACTCCCTCCGGTCTCTACCGACCCGCTCCGGTCCCTACCGACCCGCTCCGGTCTCTACCGACCCGCTCCGGTCCCTACCGACCCCCTCCGGTCCCTACCGACCCCCTCCGGTCTCTACCGACCCCCTCCGGTCTCTACCGACCCGTTCCGGTCCCTAACGACCCGCTCCGGTCCCTACAGACCCGCTCCGGTCCCTACAGACCCGCTCCGGTCCCTACCGACCGGCTCCGGTCTCTACTGACCGGCTCCGGTCCCTACCGACCCCCTCCGGTCCCTACCGACCCGCTCTGGTCTCTACCGACCCGCTCCAGTCTCTACCGACCCGCTCCGGTCTCTTCCTCCACCGGTCTCTACCGACCCGCTCCGGTCTCTACCCCCTCCGGTCTCTACCGACCCGCTCCGGTCTCTTCCTCCACCGGTCTCTACCGACCCGCTCCGGTCTCTACCCCCTCCGGTCTCTACCGACCCGCTCCGGTCTCTACCCCCTCCGGTCTCTACCGACCCGCTCCGGTCTCCACCGACGTCCTCCAGTCTCCGGTCTCTACCGACCATCTCCGGTCTCTACCGACCCGCTCCGGTCTCTTCCCCCTCCGGTCTCTACCGACCCGCTCCGGTCTCTTCCCCCTCCGGTCTCTACCGACCCGCTCCGGTCTCTACCCCCTCCGGTCTCTACCGACCCGCTCCGGTCTCTACCGACATCCTCCAGTCTCCGGTCTCTACCGACCGTCTCCGGTCTCTACCGACCCGCTCCGGTCTCTACCGACCCCCTCCGGTCTCTACCGACCCGCTCCGGTCTCTACCGACCCGCTCCGGTCTCTACCGACCCGCTCCGGTCTCTACCGACCCGCTCCGGTCTCTACCGACCCGCTCCGGTCTCTACCGACGTCCTCCAGTCTCCAGTCTCTACTGACCTGCTCCAGTCCCTACAAATTATAATTTTAGGGCTAATTCTGGTTTAAAACGTCTGACTAACTTCCTCCCTTGGTCTGTATGATGCCGTTTCATTTCTGCTACCAAACCAGAACAGCAGCACCTTGGAAAAGAACCTGTTTTATTTCAGGGTGTCAGAGTTTCATGCAGCTTAACATAACACGGTGAGAGGGTGTGAATACTTTTAGACAGCACAGGATCCTGAAGTCTAAGCTAAGGATGTATGAAGCTGCCTGGTGTTGTAGCGTTTTCTTATTTGCGGGTGTCTGATGTGAGAAAGCGAACATCAGCCCCATCAATTCCACTGATTCTTTTAGTGGAAAAACTGAAGCTGAAGGAAATGAAAGTGAGGCTGAGATCCTCTGACTCCATCTTGTTTATTCTCCCACAGAGAGAGCAGACAAAGCTGTCAAACATTTTAAACACCAGAGCCAACTTCCTCCATTACTCCATCCCTCTGCAACAATTATTCATCCTCAGAGAGCCATGGATTCCCTCCCCGCACGACGCCGTACACACTGATATAGTCTCTATAGGTTTGGTGCTTGTCTACTTTAATCCCAGCTGGTTTATTCTGCTCTGATCAATGACCTACAACTAAGAAGTGATCACCCAGCTGGAGGAAAATCCTGCCCTAACATCATCCCTTTTCCCCTGCTTTCTGCCTCTTTGTCTCTAATTCACCCTAATTTAAGCCTGATAGCATCGCGCGCTGTCCAGGGGCCTGGCAGAGCTGTAAGTCTTATAGCAGGATTAGCTTTCCTCCAGAAACATTTTGCTGACGGCCAGCATGGCTAAAATATGGCCTCCATTCCTTCACATGGCTGAACGAGGGGCTGCTTTGCATTTTAACAAAGCTTTGGTTTATTCTCACACAGGGAGAAAATCTCACACAGAAGATAAAACCTGCTGCTGTAAATGAAACCCGAGATTCAGCAGACGAATTAGAGGGGATGCTTTGTGTAAAGCGGAGCCATGAGTCACTGGAATAGGAAAAGGAAAGAACAAATATTGGTTACAGGGACATTAAAAACCAGCCCATATAGAAGGAAAAGGATAATAAAGAACAAAGCGGTTCAAGTAAAACAGGATTTGTGTGAAAAAAACGGACTCTAAAGGGAGAGCGCAAAGACCAGCGTTCAGTTCAACCAAAGTATCAGAGATCCTCCCAGGGTGCTGGTTAGGCTCCAGTTAAAGGCTGCAACAAGAACAGCTCAGAAAGAAATGGAGGCCGTTTCTCAGTATGTCTACTTGCCCGTTCTCCTGGGCTCCTGAAACATCATCATCACCATCACTGTTCCAATTCACAAGAACAGCAAACGGAACAGACAGGGCTTCGTCCCACCGTCAGCCCTAACCCCTAAATCCCCCCATCACTATATAGTGAATTTATAGGGAACTCAGTGAACTGACCATTCAGATAACTGTTCTCTTCTCCCCGCTGGTCACATGACTCCGCCTCCCCGCACGGTGTCGCTGTGACAACAAATCCCATGATGCTTTGTGAGGGGAGCTCTAGCCACACATTCTGGGATATATCTGCTCATCTAATGACCATGGATGATCACTACTTTTCAAGGTGCATTGTGGGAAATTTCGAGTCCACTACTTTTTCATTCACTAGACGTTTGGACTCTCCTTTAAAATGGCGGAACCACTATATAGATATTAGGGTGGACATTCAGAGAACAGACAAAGTCCCCGGATGTTGTTCTGGCCCCTCCCTATTTACCCAGCATGCATCAGAGCAGACTAGTCTGTTCTGTAGACTGACAGCTGTCCCAGCATGCACTGCGGCAGCAGCAGCTTCCAGGTTAGCGCTCACAGAGCTCAGAGTATTAGGTTTGCAGTTCTATTTTCTACTGCTGTTGTTCTATAAAAGTATGTTTTTAAGATCATTTAAGGCGAGAACATTATATTTTAAGCTTCACTATATGGCCCATTTACTGATTTAGTGCATTATTTAAAAAAAGTTCACATTTTGAGAGGACCATGGCTAACGTTAGCCCGTCTGAACCTGTTTAGTGCCTTAAATCCTTCTAAGAACACTGGAAAAAACGATCTAGAAATAAGTTAAAATTTCTTAAATTAAGTGTTTTTACCTTAATTTAAGAGGTAAATGAGATAGTTTGCCAATAAAATGAGTATTTGTACTCTTAAAATAGGATAATTAGATAATATACACTTGAAATAAGACAAGCCAATTTATGTTCTTATTTTAAGTGTAAATTGTCTTGTTCCATTGGCAATATGTCTCTTTTACCTCCTCAATCCCAGAACAAATGCACTTATTTTAAGAAAAAAAATAACTCATCCAGATATGAATTTTTCCAGTTAAATTGTTTAGTTCATTTAGGATGTCAGCGTTAGCTGCATCTACCGAAGGAGGGGTGTTTTAGTCCGTGATCGCCCGTATGCCTTTCCACATCCTCCTGGTGTTGCTAGCATCATGGAAGAGGACTGTGGTTATGCTTCCCTGATCTGATGTCTTTGACTGTGAGTCGTTGCAGTAGACCGATTATTGCCAATTCGCGATTGGGATATATATTTATCTGTTAATAATTTTAGTTTAGATTATCTTAGAGACAAATGGAATACTAAATGAACCAACATGGCTGGAAGCATGGCGGCTAGCAGGGGAGATCACCAAAAGCCACAGAAGATTCCATGGCTTACAGATTCCACCACAGCTCAGACACAGGATGAACCCAATCTCTCTAAAAATGCTCTAAATGTCTTATAGAAGTGGGATATTACAGACCCTGCGTATGGACATGTGTCTATGTTGAGGGGGACTGGGGTATAATTAATGTCTTCAGCTTTTACTTCTAGGCCCACCCAGACGTCATATTAAACGGTGGTTCACTATTCTGACATTTGCTGTCAGGAAAAACGTACTGCTTCGATGGATCGATGGACCTTTCTAGAATTACGGATTGGCATAAAGAGATTTTTGACATTTTACCAATGGAATATCTAACGCACAGTTCCAAATGTGGAATTACTTACTTTTGTAAGATCTGGACCTCTTTCTTTAAGCACAAAGGTAAAAGACTTACGACCATTATACTAACAGGGATGGCAGAGGGTTAAGAGGAAAACTGGCTGGCCAATGTTTTTGGACCTTGAATGTCTGTTTTTGCTTTACAGATGTGAGCGTGCTACTTCACTGCCAAGTGGAACAGGACTGAGTGCTTCCAGTAGGTATATATGCTGTATATTCAGGTAGTTAGAGATACTGTTTAATGTGGCCTTGCTGTTTTGTTTGTTTTCTGTGTTAACTTCTAAATTCAGTTAAAAAAAAATGCTGGAACTAACCAAAACGCAGGAGGTGGATGGACCCAGAGGACTCCTGGAGACATAGGGCCTTTATGGTGGGAATTAGAGAGCGTGTTTAAACCTGCAACAGACCTTCATCCATGACCTACGGATGTGGCATCTACAGGTGCCTCTCTACCTCAGCTTTACCACCAGCTTCCCTCCATCCTCCGCTGAGGAAGCCGGGGCTGAAAGAAACCGATGTGAGGGCACCACCTCAGACACCCGCGCAGCCACGACTCCATTTGTCTCCAGGCGAGTTTGATGGCAGTGTGTTTAAAAAGCCATTCAATCTTATAAACCAAAAATTAAATGTAGTCGACTGTGATGGGCACTCAGTGCATCTGCTATTTATATGCTAATGTACACTGGGCCTGCCAAGGTCTGGCAAATTATTACTGCACAACCATAAGTCAGGTGTACGGCAGAGGGGAGGGGGGCTACGCATCACACAGGCAAAGACAGGGGAAGGGGGGGGGGAACAGCAGCAAGTGAGGGGAGAGCAGGAGGAGGGGAGGAAGCCAATCAGAGACGTCTTAGTTTGACATTTTAGAGCCGAGGCAGGAAGGTGTTTTTGGACAAAACTTTTCCTTTCCAGGGTCTGTTCTGACAAAAGAGCTGAAGAGGGACAGGGGGTCAAAGGTCATAATGCCATCCAGGGCTGGATTGGCTCTAAAAGCAAAGATGGATGAAATGGAAGTTAGGATACGAAAGCTTATAGCTCTGCAGCGTGAAACACCTTCAAAAATCTGCAGTCAGATTGTGAGCTATCGACCTGAAGTCTGTCACTCTGGGACCCCACTTCCACACCTATCCACACTCAAGTCTGTCACTCTAGGACTCCCACTTCCACACCTATCCACACTCAAGTCTGTCGCTCTAGGACTCCCACTTCCACACCTATCCACACTCAAGTCTGTCGCTCTAGGACTCCCACTTCCACACCTATCCACACTCAAGTCTGTCACTCTAGGACTCCCACTTCCACACCTATCCACACTCAAGTCTGTCGCTCTAGGACTCCCACTTCCACACCTATCCACACTCAAGTCTGTCGCTCTAGGACTCCCACTTCCACACCTATCCACACTCAAGTCTGTCACTCTAGGACTCCCACTTCCACACCTATCCACACTCAAGTCTGTCGCTCTGGGACCCCACTTCCACACCTATCCACACTCAAGTCTGTCGCTCTAGGACTCCCACTTCCACACCTATCCACACTCAAGTCTGTCGCTCTAGGACTCCCACTTCCACACCTATCCACACCTATAGTCTGTTGCTCTGGGACTCCCACTTCCACACCTATCCACACCTATAGTCTGTCGCTCTAGGACTCCCACTTCCACACCTATCCACACCTATAGTCTGTCGCTCTAGAACTCCCACTTCCACACCTATCCACACCTATAGTCTGTCGCTCTGGGATTCCCACTTCCACACCTATCCACACCTAAAGTCTGTCGATCTGGGACTCCCACTTCCACACCTATCCACACCTATAGTCTGTTGCTCTGGGACTCCCACTTCCACACCTATCCACACCTAAAGTCTGTCGCTCTGGGACTCCCACTTCCACACCTATCCACACCTATAGTCTGTCGCTCTGGGACTCCCACTTCCACACCTATCCACACTCAAGTCTGTCACTATAGGACTCCCACTTCCACACCTATCCACACTCAAGTCTGTCACTCTAGGACTCCCACTTCCACACCTATCCACACCTATAGTCTGTCGCTCTGGGACTCCCACTTCCACACCTATCCACACTCAAGTCTGTCGCTCTAGGACTCCCACTTCCACACCTATCCACACTCAAGTCTGTCGCTCTAGGACTCCCACTTCCACACCTATCCACACTCAAGTCTGTCACTCTAGGACTCCCACTTCCACACCTATCCACACTCAAGTCTGTCGCTCTAGGACTCCCACTTCCACACCTATCCACACTCAAGTCTGTCGCTCTAGGACTCCCACTTCCACACCTATCCACACTCAAGTCTGTCACTCTAGGACTCCCACTTCCACACCTATCCACACTCAAGTCTGTCGCTCTGGGACCCCACTTCCACACCTATCCACACTCAAGTCTGTCGCTCTAGGACTCCCACTTCCACACCTATCCACACTCAAGTCTGTCGCTCTAGGACTCCCACTTCCACACCTATCCACACCTATAGTCTGTTGCTCTGGGACTCCCACTTCCACACCTATCCACACCTATAGTCTGTCGCTCTAGGACTCCCACTTCCACACCTATCCACACCTATAGTCTGTCGCTCTAGAACTCCCACTTCCACACCTATCCACACCTATAGTCTGTCGCTCTGGGATTCCCACTTCCACACCTATCCACACCTAAAGTCTGTCGATCTGGGACTCCCACTTCCACACCTATCCACACCTATAGTCTGTTGCTCTGGGACTCCCACTTCCACACCTATCCACACCTAAAGTCTGTCGCTCTGGGACTCCCACTTCCACACCTATCCACACCTATAGTCTGTCGCTCTGGGACTCCCACTTCCACACCTATCCACACTCAAGTCTGTCACTATAGGACTCCCACTTCCACACCTATCCACACTCAAGTCTGTCACTCTAGGACTCCCACTTCCACACCTATCCACACCTATAGTCTGTCGCTCTGGGACTCCCACTTCCACACCTATCCACACTCAAGTCTGTCACTATAGGACTCCCACTTCCACACCTATCCACACTCAAGTCTGTCACTCTAGGACTCCCACTTCCACACCTATCCACACCTAAAGTCTGTCGCTCTGGGACTCCCACTTCCACACCTATCCACACCTATAGTCTGTCGCTCTGGGACTCCCACTTCCACACCTATCCACACTCAAGTCTGTCACTCTAGGACTCCCACTTCCACACCTATCCACACTCAAGTCTGTCACTCTAGGACTCCCACTTCCACACCTATCCACACCTATAGTCTGTCGCTCTAGGACTCCCACTTCCACACCTATCCACACCTATAGTCTGTCGCTCTGGGACCCCACTTCCACACCTATCCAGATCTAAAGACTGTTAGTCTGGGACTCCCACTTCCACACCTATCCAGGAGTCTTAGTTAATGCTTTCTAGAAATTCCCAACCCAAACAGACTGCACTGCAAAAATGATCCAGAAATAAGAAAAAAAATTTCTTAAATTAAGTATATTTGGCCTTAATTTCAGCAGGTAAATCAGATGATCTGCTAATGGAATGAGTTTTACCTTTAAAATGAGATCATTAGATAGAATTCACTCATTATAAGACAATTAGGGCTGCAACATGCGCTTATTTTCCAAATCGATTTATGATTAATAATGGGAAAACCAAAGGCTCTTTAAAGATTTTTATAAAATGAAACCAGGTGAAACTAACTTTTCCACTTGAACAGTTCAGGATTATAGAGCTTATCGAGAAGATAAATCATTTTTTAATCTTAAACGCAAAATTTTTACATATTTTTCTACCGTACTGTTATAATCCCTACTCTAAGTGGGTCACTCTGTCAGATAAAGATAGTCTAGTTATCGATTAATTGATTACTCAATTAGTTAATGATTATTTCAGTAATTGATTAATCTGATAAATTATTTCAGCCCTAAAGACAATCCAGTTGCTTTTTTTATTTTCAATGTAAATTGTCTTGCTCCATTAACAAAGTGTCTCACTAACCTCCTCAATTCAAGTATCTTTGAAGAAAAACAACTTATTTAGTTTAAAGTGTTTTGTATTAAGATCCTGTCCATGAAGGCCAGTGGCGGGAGACGAAACAAGAACCTAGAAGCATAAACTGCACCAGAAAAAGCTTTGAGCTGGGAAATGTGGGTGAGATTTGGGAATAAGGTTATGGATTCCAGTCCTGCATGGCACCCTGACTGGATTAGGAGAAGAAGGGAGAGAGAGTGAGTGAGTGTGAAAAGAAAAGTGATTAATGGATTTTTTCAGCCACCATTGCAGGAACCCTCCAGGACACCACGCCGTCCGCCTGGCGTCTACCTCTGGATCTCCATGAACTCATCTCAGCATTTTTCCCTATTTCTTCTGTCCATGAGATTCTAGATCTGCCCTCTGCGATTGAATTGAACATATTTACAAACTAATTAGGCCTAAAGCTTCCCATGGAGGCTGACCTATTCAGGGCTTGATTTGCCACAACATCCCACATCTCTATTACCACCTTGCACTTCTATTCATTACTACCTTGAAAAGATCCCCTGGGACGTCCCTCTAATGAGAAAAAGCTCTGCACTCCTGGCCCTCCCTCTCCAGAACGTCTCCCTCCACATTATTCCTCTCCACCCCCTCTCTGCCTAAAACCCACTGAAGCAGCCTTTGTCTCTGGGGAGCAGTCAGCTTCTATGATGTATAAGGTGACATCTTTATTCCACTAACCTATGGTGGCAGGTCTATTAGCCGGCTCGGAGCTTCCCAAACCCTGTCCTGTCAAAGAGCCTATTCTCAACTGTCTGCTTCCCCCCGCCCCCCCAGTCGGTCTCTATCTGTGATTAAAACAGTCGTTATGATACGTCCGCCACCGCCTGCCACTCAGACATTTGGCTTTTTCAGAGCCATGCGCGTCCTGAGCCGCACCTGAAAGGTCCCTCAGTGTCCTGAGACCCCACTGGGCTCCTGGGGCCCGAAGTGCGATGAGGAACCTGAGAATGACTCCGAGGTGTTAGGATAACCAGCCGGTCTCTCTGTCTCCCCCCCCTGACTCCCCCAGGACGGTCCCGGCGGATCCATCAGCTCCAATTTGGAGGCTGTTTCTTTCCCCCTATCAGAGGCTCTCTTACCGTTCTGAGTCTTTATTCTGATCCACTTCGGCTCCACAGTTCAAACTCTTTCCTCTAACTAAACTCCAGAGCCGCTCCATGGATCTTTCTCTCAGCGTTTGGATAGAAAATCCATGATGAACTCACCCTGCCCTGTTATTCCTTATTTAAATATCTCAGAAAATCTCAAAAGTCTTCACACCCATGAACCTTTGTCACTATTTAAACTGCACTCTTTCCCATACGCGGTCGACTAACACCAGCTTTGGCAAAACTTCAAAGAAAAACTGGGATGTGGATAATCTGAACACAGCAGCTCTATTTCCATTCAAATCATAATTATCTTTAAAGAACGCTGCTCTTTCAGCTGCCAGTGCCCCCCCCACGAGGCGGTTCAGCCAACCAGCCTGAATCAAATGTATGTAGATCTACAGCAATCAGAGCTCGTCTCTACCAGCTCTGAACATCTAGAAGGTTAGTCCTATTTCTGTAGGGAAGATAAACCCTAAACTCAGCATCACTGAAAGTCGTCTTCTATAAAGATCATCTCTAATGACGTCCAACACACCAGAACTTTGACTGGACCACTAGAACCCACGATCTAAGCGCGTGATTAGAGTCGTTCTCCTTCGCCGTGAAGATGGCACCCAACCGAATGTAAAAAAGGGATGTAGGCCCTGAAACTGGAAACATCTGACTGAGCAGGTACCTACACCTGGGAGCTGGAGCTCTGCAGCTCCTCCAGAGTAACCATGTCAAAGCATTCGCTGAAATAAAGCTGATGTTTAACGATGCTTTGCTTTCTGTTGGTCTGTGGAATCTCTGGATGTGACCTTTCAGAAAAGGTCAATCATTTCCCGACCATCTGGCCAAAATACCTGCAAATGTTTGATACGACCCCCTGGTAGAGATGATGGAATCCTGCCGTGAATTATCCATCCCCTAAACTAACACCTGCTGGTTAGTCTGCATCTAAAAAGAAGTGATGGGACCGTGGAAAGCTGCTGCTGCACCAGGCGGACGGACAGAAATCACAGCTCCAACAGCAGAGATACAAACAGAGGAGAGGATTATCAAACCCTTCAAGGAGGGAAATCTTTACACAATAAAATATGTTGGTTGTTCACAGTCGGGTGTGTCTAAAACCTGGACCAAACACTAAGGACATGGGAAGGTTGTTAAAGGCTGGAAGACATCAAAGAGTCAAGACAGAAAACTTTAAGCAATACATTTTTTTTTAAACTGAAAATGCACAAGAAAACAAATGAGGACGGAACGGGAGGAAACTGGATTCAACGTCTGTGACTAAACTGTAAGAAAGCGCCTGAAGGAAATGGGATTTCCATCCAGGGAAGCTGAAGGAAGGCATCATTAAACAGAAAAAACAGGTGAGAATGGGCTGAGGAGCAGCAATGGTGTACTGAGGACGACTGGAAGAAAGTCATTCAGCGACGAATCTCCAATCTGCCCTGGGTGATGATGAACCTGGGACTTTGGTCCAATGAGACTTCTAAAGACGAGAACCTGAAGAGGACCTGCTAATGTCCGGTAGCTGATGGGGCTCTGATGGCTCTAATTAAACTACTTCCAGAAATGAGAAAGTTTCATTTGAGATTTTGGACACTTTTCTCATCCCATTTTTTGGATCATTTTATCCATGAGTGACTCCATCATTTTTCCCTCTGCTGGTCTAATAAAGTCACCATCACTGACTTATTTCTTTTATTGTCTCTTAAAGTCAGACAGTTGCCGTTTGAAATGGCTTTAGTTTCACGTCATGTCTGTGATTTGCTGTTTATCTGCAGCGTCACTCTGAGCCGCCGACTCCATCATTTTTACGCATTTATATGAACATTCATTTATAGCGGGTTCTTTTAGAAATGTTAGTTTAGTGCATGAATTTATTTTTACATTAACCTGATAGATATATCGATCACTATAATAATCCATACCCTACTGAGCAGCTTACTATATAATCTCCTATTATATGCAAATAAAATGAGGGATAAATTGGGTCAAACGAAGTTTCATTACAATGGGAGAAGAATAAGTAAAGGCTGCAGAGGGAGCAGGAGAGCCTGTCTGTGGTATCCAGCCCAGAAATGAAGGGAGCAGAGGAATAAAGGAAGAGTCTCCCTTGGTTTATCTCCAGTGCAGAGGGAGCGAGCGCATCCATCGTGCTGCGATAAGATGGGTTATCAGCAGTAAACAAGGCCTTGGCCCGTATGAATGGAGCCCAGAGTGACTGAAGACGCCCTCAGAAACAGATGTGTTGGAATAAGTCAGCTGGGCTTATCCATTGCTCAGTCTGTGTTAGCAGCGCCTGGCGAACGCCTGCCCCGGCACGCCGTTCCACTTCTCACCGCCTCAGAATACACAACTAAAGGCTGTCCGCATGCAGGGACACACCTGCTCATGTCAGGAAGCGTCTAAGGGGGATTCAATCTGGTCGAATAAAGACGAATGTTTGGACTCCAGCTCTGGATTAAATGTTTGCTGAAATAATAATGACAGTCATTGGACAGAGACGCATCAGAACGGATTGGTTCATCTGAAACGTCTCCATGACAACGATCCAAACGAAGGACCATCTACTCTGGTTCCAACACCGACCTGCTTCCTGGTGCAGCAGAGGGAAGCTGACCTCTTTGCCTAAATGACTGAAGGTGGTTTTCTGCTCCACATGGTTCCTGTGTCCGTCCGAAGCGGCCCAGGAGTCCAGCTCCCCGCAGCGCCGTGTGGAGGCCTCCATGACGGATGAGTCTGATGATGCTGGGACAGAATCAGAGCGCTGCGCTGACCCGGACCGGAGCAACGCACAGAAGCTAAAGTTAGCCTAGCCTTTAGGATGAAACGACTCCATGAATATGAAAACAGAACCAAAGAACCCGACGCTGATCGCTCTCTCCTCTGGCGCCTCTGTCTCTCCTGTTCCATAAACACGCCTCTATCTGCATCCATAATGCCGCCATCTCTGGGCTCCCGGGATGGAGGGGCCCGCTGAGACAGGGAAAGCAATCGTGTGGCGTGTCAGCGGGCCGAGGGAGATGGGCCCGGTAATGGAAGGCCTTTAAAGGCTAAAAAGGAAAAGCTAATTATGATAAAGGGGTTGTGAGCTGTGTGGTTATCGCAGAGCGGGGCCTGCAGACTGGTCCCTGACAGTGATAACCAGGCGCCGCCAGACGCCCGCCGCTCTGTCACTGTCACTCTGCAGCTAAACATGGATTCACACGCCACTATTATTCACATGCATAAAGCAGTTTGCAACCATTTCTGATGGAGCAACAGCAGAACCATCAGCCTGCTCTGGATCCCTCTGATGTTTCCTCTGCTTCACACCTGGAAACTTCTACACGCCATCTGGAACACAGACCCTGAGGTTTTGTTTGGGACGCCTCAGAATGGAGGCAGCTGAACCCGGCGAGGGCTGAGTGATGCTGAGCTTGATACAGAGTCACCATGATGCCCCCGTCAGCTGGAAGCCGTGGGGCCCATTAGTGCTGCGGAGGTAAAGAAATGGGAACATCCTCCTACATGCTCCTCGTTTCCCCTCTCTGCAGCTGATGCATTACATATTCTGGCGTTCCTGCTGCCAACCCCCCCACCAGCACCTCCTTTAAAAACCAGCTGCTGTTGAAGAATCATTTCAGCTGCAGAGATCTGAATGAGCTGCTCCAGGGTGTAAAAAATAGAGTTTCAGTGGTTGCTATGGCTATGTATCAAAACAATTGTCCAGATTTAAAATTGGGGATAAATCATCCCAACTGCAGAGCCTCCAATGCCTGAAAACAGAATCCCAGATCCACCAGAGCAGGAACTGAAGCTACCAACTCTGACTGAGACACCCCCGCATGTAGCTAAGCTAGCAGCATGTAGCCGCCCCTGCATGTAGGGATTAAAGCAAAAAAAAAAATCCTGAGCCTCAACTTTTTCCACATTTTATATATATTTATATATATATATATATATATATATATATATATATATATATATATATATATATATATATATATATTTATTTATTTATTTATATGATTGAATATGAAATTTGACTTTTGAGAATCCAATACCACATAGATGCAGTGCATCTATATGTACCAGTTGCATGAACCACATTTCTTTTTTGATATCCAGTTTTGCTGCTAATTGTTTTCTTTAACAGGTTATAAATTACCCAGCTGTCACTGTAGCTCCCAGCAAACATGTAGCAGCCTGATGACCAGGGTCTAACTCATGTCTGCGTAGCATCTTTTTGCCGCTGGTTGCGTAAATAAGCGCTCCTGGAGCACAGCATGCAGAAGCAAGCGCCTGGTTGACCTAACTTCCTGTTCCAGCTGCTGAATGGCTCGCCATCTCGCCCCGTCTCCTCCAGCCATGCCCAGCGCCATTTATTGTGCAGACTAGGGATGCACCATATTGGGATTTTGGCCGATACCGATAGGGGGCCGATTATGTCGTGCATCCCTAGTGCAGACCTTCATCTATGGTGATGACATCTTCCCCGGATTTCTTTAACTGCATGGTTGCCATGATTCTGTTCTCAGTATCGTCCTTCTCTCCAAACATAATGGAGCCATAAACGGCACAAGCTGAATCTCTGTGTAGAACTTCAGCACTGGACCATAATCTATCTGCATGTTCTGATCCGGGTCTGAAATGTTCTGATCCGGGTTAGAAATGTTCTGATCCGGGTTAGAAATGTTCTGATTCGGGTCAGAAATGTTCTGATCCGGGTCTGAAATGTTCTAACCCGGATCAGAAATGTTCTGATCCAAGTCAGAAATGTTCTGATCCGGGTTAGAAATGTTCTGATCCGGGTTAGAAATGTTCTGATTCGGGTCAGAAATGTTCTGATCCGGGTCTGAAATGTTCTAACCCGGATCAGAAATGTTCTGATCCGAGTCAGAAATGTTCTGATCCGAGTCAGAAATGTTCTGATTCGGGTCAGAAATGTTCTGATCCGAGTCAGAAATGTTCTGATCCGGGTGACGTTGGCTCTCAGTCACTGTGTGATGTCACTAAGAACTGGAGCACAGTCTGTGTGCTGCAGCTCTGTGCTGCTTCAGGTCTCGTGGTGGTTTGCTGCCATCTGCTGGTCACTTTTCAACAAACAACTTTATTTCTGACTAACCAGTGAATTAAGTAAATAAGCAATTATGAATTAAATGAAAATATTTCAATAAACGACATTAATAACCGTTATGTGTATAATTTAGAGCTGAGAGGGGAGTGATGGCCTAGTGGTTCCATCGGTTCCATCCCCGAAGCCTGCACTCTGGGCCCCTGAGCCTGACCTATAACCCCACACTGCTCCCCAACGCCGCATGGTGGCAGCCCACTGCTCCCCAAGGGGAGGGGTTAAATGCAGAGAGGGAATTTCTCCAATCGTGGGACAATAAAGGGATTTCCATTTTTTATTTTTTTAAAGCAGTGAAGCTGGTTTGACCAGAGCCTTCATCCAGAACACATCTTCTCAGTGGTGAGTCTAACCGGGTCATTGGATCTGAACCTGAGGTTTCACGACCCATTAAGCCGAGGAGCAGAAAATTGGAGGGAAACAGCTTCTATGTAATCTGCTTCTACATGCTAAGCTGTGGGTTCTGTGGAGCGTGACTCGGGTGGGACTCTCCGGGCTCAGCGTTGGAACTCACCACTCTGCGGACTCGGCTCTTGCAGTCGATGTGCAGGTCCTGGTGTTTCTGCAGCGCAGCTTCTAGAGCCTTCTTCAGACTCAGCGCTCTCCTCAGCAGCTGTGGCTCGGCGTGGGCCTTGGTGAAGACCTGCGGAGGATGAGGAAGATGATGAAGATGCAGAACACCCACCCGGTTACTATAGAACCGTCCTGAGGCTGCAGTGGTTCTGTTTCATGGTGTGGATGGTAAAATGGTTTCCAGGGCAACTGTTTATAGATGCCGTTGTCATGGCAGCGCCATGTTTACAGGTTCTGACTGTATCAGTTCTTGCAGAACCACCTTTAACGGCTCTCCAGCTGAAACTTCCGGGTCAGAGGAGTCGGTTCTGGCAGAACTCCCTCTCCTTCAGAAGAAGGAGTTTCTGTGAGCATCATGCGTTGCCATGGTGATCTGATGGATCAAGGTCTGGACTCTGACGTTAGCTTTGCAAGGCTGACCTGAGGGGAGGCCCGTGTGTACTGACCCGAACCCAGCCCTGCACGGCGGGGAGGTGCCTGCTGCTGATCAGCCTGTGGAGCTCCATCATGGTGGACACCAGCGGCTCGTTGTCCTCCGTCTCCTTCAGACGAACAACTGAGGGAGGAAGACAGAGACAAACATCAGCTGCGTCCAGATGGTCCAGATGTTCTGATCGGATCAGAACCCACCAGGACTGAGGCTGACGTCCAGGCTGTAGGTGTGAGAGATGAGCCCGGAGCTCCTGATGAACGAGTCTTCATCAACAGACTCTTCCTCACTGCTTTCCTCTGCTCCTCCTCCTCCCTCCTTCCTCCTGCCCTCGTCTTCCTCTGCTCCTCCTCCTCCCTCCTTCATCCTGCCATCGTCTTCCTCTGCTCCTCCTCCTCCCTCCTTCCTCCTGCCCTCGTCTTCCTCTGCTCCTCCTCCTCCCTCCTTCTTCCTGCCCTCGTCTTCCTCTCTTCTCTCCTCAGCGTCTCTCTCCTTCTCCTCCATCATGGCGCCTCCTCGGCCTGCTGGGTTCTGGTTCCTGCTGCAGCAGGGTTTCTCCTCCTCGCTCCGCCCGCTGCTGTCTGGGAGGAAGAGGCTGAATTCAGGGAACAGCAGCTTCATGCAGGACTCCATCTCAGTCAGCGCCGCCTCCATGTCGCCGTAGGATTCTGAACAGAAGCAGAACTCTGTTAGACGGTACTGCAGACCCCGCTGACCCATTTGGACCTCAGAACCTTTGATCCGGTACCTTCCATGTCTTTGGCTGCTGCCTCCACTCTGGCCCTGTAGATCCGCTCCATCTTCCTCTGTCTCTCCTCCTCCCTCCTCCTCTCTGCCACCGTCCGGGCCTCAGCGTCCTGGAAGTCCACCTGAACCAGAACATTAGACCCAGAATCAGGATCAGGAGGTTCTGGTGAAGCTAAGCTAAACCTGAAACATCTGAGAACATCAGCAGCTCCACCAATCACAGCCCAGCACCTGGAGATCATCCAACCAAAACCCAGACAGTCACTGCTCCTGGGAGTCACTGCTCCTGAGAGTCACTGCTCCTGAGAGTCACTGCTCCTGGGAGTCACTGCTCCTGAGAGTCACTGCTCCTGAGAGTCACTGCTCCTGGGAGTCACTGCTCCTGAGAGTCACTGCTCCTGGGAGTCACTGCTCCTGAGAGTCACTGCTCCTGGGAGTCACTGCTCCTGAGAGTCACTGCTCCTGGGAGTCACTGCTCCTGAGAGTCACTGCTCCTGGGAGTCACTGCTCCTGAGAGTCACTGCTCCTGAGAGTCACTGCTCCTGGGAGTCACTGCTCCTGAGAGTCACTGCTCCTGGGAGTCACTGCTCCTGGGAGTCACTGCTCCTGAGAGTCACTGCTCCTGAGAGTCACTGCTCCTGAGAGTCACTGCTCCTGGGAGTCACTGCTCCTGAGAGTCACTGCTCCTGGGAGTCACTGCTCCTGAGAGTCACTGCTCCTGAGAGTCACTGCTCCTGGGAGTCACTGCTCCTGGGAGTCACTGCTCTTGGGAGTCACTGCTCCTGGGAGTCACTGCTCCTGAGAGTCACTGCTCCTGGGAGTCACTGCTCCTGAGAGTCACTGCTCCTGGGAGTCACTGCTCCTGAGAGTCACTGCTCCTGGGAGTCACTGCTCCTGAGAGTCACTGCTCCTGAGAGTCACTGCTCCTGGGAGTCACTGCTCCTGGGAGTCTGGGGGCTCAATGAGGGGCCCACCGAGTGCTACAATGAGGGCTACTGCAAAAAATAGAAATCTAACTAATTTATTTGTTCTTGAATTGAGGTCGTTAGTGAGACACTTTACCAATGGAAGAAATCAATTTACATTTAAAATAAGAAAAAATAACTAAATTTTCTTATTTCAAGTGCATTTTATTGATTGATTGACTTTATTGAGAAATGTAGTAATTTTATCTATTTAGAAAGTGAAAATAGGTAAAACATCTCATTTACCTGCTTATATTAAGGGTAAACACAATTAATTTCAGAAATTTCGACACCGATTCATCATCATCAAAGATGAAGGTAAACTGGAGCTGTCTGTTAGAGCAGTGGCTCATCTGTAGCTGAGAGGAAACGTCTGGATCAGCTGATCAGGAAGAACAGCTCTGATTGGATGCCCTCTGGACTCAGAGCAGGAAGTGGGAAACAGACGGATCGTAGCTGGTGCTGAACTGGACAGCTCCTTCAGTGACAGACTGCTGCACCCTAAATGCACCAGGGAGCGTTATCACTGATCCTTCCTCCCAGCAGCTGGAAGACTCTAGAACCACCACTGTTCCCAGTAACCTCAATCAGTTCTTCCATTCATGCTGATTCTGCAGTTTCTACCTCAGTCAGTTAAATAACCTGCTGCTGTCATTTTAAACATCTCTGATGTTGCTGCTATTTTCACATTACTGGAAAAAAGTCCATAGCTGCATATTGGTTATTTATTCTACAGTTTTAGATTGTTAAAACACTTTACAGTATTTTATTGTTTATCTTTTAACTTTTCATGCTGTAAACACCAGAATTTCCCCATTGTGGGACAATAAAGGGATTTTCTATTCTTCTACTCTATTCTATTCTAAACAGATTCAGTCCCAATACAACGTATCCACGTAGCAGCACGGCGGTGGCATCATTATGGCCTAGTCAAAGTCCAGACCTGCATCATGGCTCCACCAAGCAGACTAAGCCAGAGTTTGGGTGGAGAAGGTGGAGCTGCAGCTGAGGTTCTCCATCTATCTCCTCAGACCCAGCTGGTCTCCATCCAACAGCTAGAACCTCCATGGAGGAAGCAGGTGATGATGAACCGCAGCAGATCTGAGATCAGTCTGCTCACCTTCTTCACCCGCTTCAGGAAGTGGTAGCCCAGGTCCAGCTTCTTATAGGCCGAGCCGTAGGAGGTCTGCCAGGATTGGACGGTCTGGATGGCCAGCGCCCTCAGCTTCCTGGCTACCTCTTTAGGAGGAGGGAGGGGCTGCTCGCTGTCCGTCTCCACCGTCAGCTCCAGGAACTCCTGATCCACACAGAGAAGGAGAAGTTTAGTGGAAGGAGGAACTCAGCTGGGCGGGGAGGGGGTTCTACCTGTTAGTCGGGGGGGGGTCTACCTGGAAGTGTGTGTGGGGGGGGGGGGTTGTACCTGGAAGTTGTCCACCAGCAGCGTGCGGAAGTGATGGGATCTGGAGAAGAGCTCGCCGGTGATCTGGAAGGCTGACAGGCGGATCTCAGCGTGCTCCTGGCTGAGCTGCGTCATCACTGAGTGGTAAACATGGTCTATGCAGTCTGTGGACAGCCTGGCAGGAGGAAGGAGACACTCAGAGACAATGATTCCCTCTGAAGGTGGAGGAGCTGCTCCACCCTCTCCTCCTCCTAAAGCTGAAGCAGACTCCTACCTGCAGAGCTTCTTCAGCTCCTTCATCTTCTCCTGGTGGAGCTGCTGCTGTCCAGATGTGGTCAGCTCCTCCACCAGCTGAGACAGCCGCTCCCTCTGAGGCAGCTCCATCCTTCAGTCCGGTTCGGTTCGGTCCGGTCCAGTTTGGGCAGAGCGGAAACACTCAGCGCCTCCTGGAACCTTCTGATGTTCTTTGATCTTGGACTAAAGCCTAGAGACAGAGAACATCGAACCTGCTCCTTCACATTGTGACGTAACTGCAGATAAAGAACAACAAGGCCGCCATCTTCTTCCGCTAGAAAATAACTTCCGGTGGGGCCTTTCAGAATAAAAGCCTCCTTTACGTGCCCAGCTCCTTCTCAGTGGTTTAGCGGCTTTAGGAGGATTAACTGCCTCCTGCTGGTGAGGAGGGGTAATGCAGTTAAACAGAAGTCACTGGTAAAGAAAAACATTTTGAAGGAAGTACTCTTTTAGGCGATTTATTCTGGATCAAGACATTACAGAACATAGACTTTCACATCCAGCATAAGAACAATGAAAAACCAGATGCAAAAAAAATATAATAATCAAAACAGGGAAACTAGATCTTACACCGATAGAGTGAGGGGAGTGGTGGCCTAGTGGTTAGGGCATAGAGCTTGGAATCCAGACGTTCTTACTCCCCACTCCCACAGCCTCCACTCTGGGTCCCTGAGCAAGACCCTTAACCCCTCACTGCTCCCCAGGCGCCCCACCATGGCAGCCCACTGCTCCCCAAGGGGAGGGGTTAAATGCAGAGGGTGAATTACCCTAATGTGAGATCAATAAAGTTCAATTATTATTATAGAAACAAACCATGAGGTCAAAAGTATTCATGGACTGATGGTTGCCATGGAAACCTTTGGAGCTGCAGCAGCTTCCTCCTCTACAGGCCCAGTTAGAAGGTCAGACCCTAATGATGGGAAAGAAAAGCAGTCATGGTGGCTCCACAGAGTCTTCCAGCAGTCTGCATGGGCGTGTTTGATTCCAGAAGCTGCGTCTTCCGAGGACCCGTTCTATCTGGACTGGATCCTCCGAGGACCCGGTCTACCTGGACCGGATCCTCCAGGGATCCAGTCTACCTAGACAGGATCCTTGGAGGTCTATGAAAATAAGGAGGCCAGAAGAGTTTTGCTGTGGATTCAAACAGGTCCAGCCTTCAGTGGCTTTTACCACCATATGTTCTGTTGGCTAGCAACCATGAATGTTGACACACAAAGCAGGAAAAGAATGGATGCAGTACTTCTCCCTGCTGTTCTGAGTGTTCATAACATTTCTGAGGAGCTTCGGCAGCAGTACCGTCGTCTCATATATCAGATTTCTAGTCCCCGCCCTGCTGAGATGTTGGAATCTGAGCTTAAATGTCAGCCAAACCCATTTCCACAGGGACAGATAAAACGTTTAGATAAACCAAACATTACTGCCACATATCTGACTCAATTACCATTTAGAATAGAAGAATAGAACTCAACTTTATTCTACTGTCACAAGTTAAAAGCAATGATGTTCCCTCTCTGCATTTAACCCAACAGCAGTGGGCTGCCATTGTGCAGCACCCAGGGAGCAGTGTGGGGTTAAGGGTCTTGCTCAGGAACCCAGAGTAAAGGCTGTGGGGATTTGAACCGGGTACTGCAACCTCCTCAGAGCACAGAGTACTGCTCTAACCACCAGGCCATCGCTCCCCTTTAAAAAAGAAATAGGGTAAAAAGAAGGACGCATTTGTCGAACGAGGAGTCTTGGAATCGGACCAGACCTCTGCGCCTCGCTATGACATCATCAGTCTTCAAATCTGGCCTATGCAGGATGCAGTCGCTGGATTGGAACTCAGCATCAGAGTTCCAGGTCTGGTTTCTGATTGGTTAAAAATAGACCAAACATTCACTTTCAAACCATTTATTTATTGTTCTACGTAAAGTCTGTCAGCCAGCCTGCAGCGTCAGACTGAACCTTCCGGGGGACGCCTGATGCAGGGAGATGGACGAACAGCCGGTTCTGGTCCAGTCTGACCACAAAGAAATCCATCATGGATCTTCAACAAAAGAAATCATCTTCATCTCAGACCCAGTGGAACCAGTCGACCTAGTGGGACCAGTCATCCCAGACCCCCACAGGGGGTCCGGCTATTTGGCCCGATCCAGTAGAACATCCCGGTCACCTGACTTTGACCTGCAGGGTGTCGATAAGCTCCACCATCTCTGTAAAGTAGCTGCTATCGTCTCCCAGAATGGTCTCGGACCGGACCAGTTCCAAGTACTGCAGTTGGAGGGAGTGCAGAGAACCGAGCAGAGACGAGTCCGAGCGGTACTGGTCCAAACACACGGGCGCCATAGCCAACAAAGCCCGGAGAGCCTGCAAACAAGATGGCAGCGAGTGACTGCACCGTTCTACTGGAAGCATACCCATGAGAAGCTGTGAGGAGAACCGGTACCGGCAGACGGACCTTCTCCCGGTAGTCGTGCTCAGAGGACTGGAGCAGCTGGGGAACCAGGCGGCACCAGCCCTTCTCCATCAGCTCCTCCTGCAGGGACACCTGGGCGTACTGACGCTGCCGTTCTTCATGGGACGGGTCCTGGACCGGGTCCGGTCCGGCCTGGAAGATCAGCACCTGAAGGAGAACATGGTCCGTGTCAGAATCCCAGAATCAGCCAGAAGGACGGAACCAAGTCTGCCCCGGGTTCTACCTTCTCCGTGATCATGTCGTACAACATGGTGACGATACGCGTTCTCAGGATCCCTCCTACATCCGCCCTGAAGAGCTCCGACAGGATCGTCAGGCCGCCGTGGGACAGGAAGTGGCGCTGTGCGTAGGGGAAGTGACGCAGCAGGCTGGCCAGTGCGAACAGCACCTGAAAGCGGAAGGGGGAGGAGTCAGCCAGGATTCCCTCTGAAGGCCGGGTTCTGCAGCCGTAGGTACCTTCTTCCTGACGCTAAGCTGCTGAGCGGTGGCCAGCGATGTGAGGAGCGTCTGCAGGGCTCCGCCCTCCACGGCGTGGACCTGCACCACCGGGTTACTGCAGGACACAGACATCCAGGGATGAGGTCATCCGGTCTAGGGCTGTCTGTGATCCTAAGGATCGGCGTGTACCTGGCGGCGGCGGATCCCAGCACCAAGGCGGAGTTCTCCTGCAGGCGGATGTCGGAGCTGTTCAGACCGTCCAGGATGAGGCTCAGGCCCCCCATGGAGCACAGAGTCTGAGCGTTATCCACCTGACACACACCGACAGGACGGTTAGAACACCTGGAGCACCTCAGTCTGAGCTCCACCAGGACGTGATGATCTACCTGATGCACCAGGTACTCCAGCTCCAGCAGGATGCTCAGCCTCTGCTCTGTGCTGCTGCTGCTGCTGTTGAACTGCTCCAGCAGGCGCTTCATTATCTGCAGGAACACAGGCTACATGTGGGATGCACCCCCAACAGGAAACACCTGACTGATCCTCCGATCTTCAGCTGCTCTGGTTCTGACTGAGGACAGGCTTCAGTCTACAGGAGCTGACAGGAGGAGGAGTCTAACCATAAGCTCTCTCCTCCACCCATCATGAGCAACGTGAGAACAAGTTAGATCAACCAGATCATTTATGAACCAGACCTGAAAACATTCAGAGTTCTCCAGGAAACTCATTCAGCAGAAACATTGAGGCATCTGCTGGGAATGTTGGACGGCTTTGAAAGAATCTAATTTCAGCATTAATAAAACTTTAATCGCAGATACTCAGCTGGTTTAATTCAGTTTCACTCCATTAGAATTGAATGATGTCCGTTTTCCCTGAACGACTGATTGGACATAAACCTGCATTATGACCATTAGTGTTGTTCTCATAGAATATAAGGCCGACCAAAGCTCAAAGGACTGCAATTAGAATCTACACCTTCACCATTGTCATCCTCATAGCGCCGCCGTTTGGACGCCACAAGTCCAATAAGCTAGGAAACGTCTTTTTGTTTTTTTTATTATTTCTTGCATGCTTTCCCTTTTTTTTCTCATCTTTGTGTCTTATATGAGGAAATGACCAAGGTGACCAATTGGGAATGTTTTTGGTTTAACTTTGGTTAAATAAGACGAGCAGTCAGTCAGTTGATTAATCAGATATTAGACGGGCCGAGCAGATCCCTCGGCTTTAACTGAGCCATCAAGGCGCCACTGAAGGACAGACTGGAACATTAGTAAAGACACTTGATGGATGACAATGATTCTAGCTTTAAAGACTGTGTCCAGCTACACAATCTTTAAAACTAAAGGGGGGAATGTTGGGATCAAGTGTCGCCGAAGTAACCAGAACTACTCCCCTCTGGAGACACACCCCTCTAGTGGAGGTTTTAAAAAGGACAACTTCCTGTTCACCCCCTATAGCCAGCAGCTGCAGCTGACCCTGAGCGCTTTCCAGGGGAAGGCTACGCTAAAGTAGCAACCAAATCCCTCTGGAGAGTTCTGTGCTCGCTGGACCGAGTCAGACTACCCTTTTTCTTACGATTCAGGAGCTGAACGTAGTGGCTGTCCTAAATCTAACTGCCGAACAGCGGCGCCCATTTGCCGGAGGCGTTAGCCGCGGCTGCAAGCTAATCGCCGTTGCTAAAGGGGAACGTATCAGGCTACTCTGAGTGTTACATTCCAAAGATGGATCTTTTTGTTTTTGCACCCAAGTAACCCCATGTTCGGTTTTAGGCTCCGCCCTTAAGAGTGCACGCTGCTTCCTGAGTCTCAGCCCAATCAAGATCACCTGTTCACTATCTAAGGCCTGTGAAGCAGTACTTCAGAGCCTCGGGGCCTTTTGTCTCCTGTACACCTCTGTGGTTGTTGTAGCATCTAATGGTCTGTTCATTTGCTGCCAGGTAAACCTGTTTAGATGGTTTTTGTAGGGGAGAGCTGCCTCTTTGTTAAACCCCAGTTTCACCTCTTTATGTGTTGGTTAGGTAGGTTATATTTGGTGGGTTGGTATATTTTGATTTTAGATCGAGTTTGGTAAGTCCACATTTCTTTTTCTTTTAGGGTTGTTTTGTTTGTTATTTTGGGCTGAGCTCTCCCTGAAGCCTTTAACATTATTTATTTAAAAGAAATGGCAGAATAAACCCATTTAAATGCCTTTTGACTTCTCCTTTCCCTGTATAGATTTATGTTGGTCCCTTATACCCAGCCAGCGGACGTAACAGTGAGTTATAAAATTAAACCCCCTGCAAAGTTACCTCTTATTGTTGCATCGGATTGATCCAAATCTGTTTAAGATCTGCTGTTGGACTAACAGACTGAGCTGGGACAGGACCAGGTGAAGGAGTAGAATGGGAGGCAGATCTTTTAGTTATCAGGCTCCTCTCCTGTGGAACCAACTACCAGTTTTAGTCCGTGAGGCAGACACCCTGTCTACTTTTAAGGCTAGGCTTAAAACTTTCCTTTTTGATAAAGCTTATAGTTAGAGTGGCTCAGGTTATCCTGAGCTATCTCTATAGTTATGCTGCTATAGGCTTAGACTGCTGGAGGACATAGGGACCCCTTTTTCATCATTCTGCTTCATTCTATCTCTATTCTCCCACTCTGCAGAATCTATTAGTTCAATCTCTAACGTTCTGCTCTCTCTGCTTTTTCTCATAGTAGCTTCATCTGGTCTGTTCCTGTTTGGCTGTGACTCCATCCTGGAGAGAAATATCAGCTGTGCTGCTGCCATCAACACCTTTGTTTCTAGATGTTGGAGCTTGGCCTGTTTTCCAGTGTAGTCCTGTTTCTCTGACTGTGACTAACTGGATGTGCTCTCTTCATCCTCTGACATGGGAGCTGAATCAGAGCAAACAACTGAAAGACCTTCTGTTCCAGGAACTCCTCTAGAACCTCTGGTGGTTTTTTTACCTTCCTGCCTCCAGCACCAACATCTTCAGCAGCTGGAAGGAGAGACCCTAAGAAGAGTGTTTCTCCCTTGGTGGACCAAAGATTGCGCACCTGAACATCCGTCTCCACCAGCAGGTCCAGCTCAGCCATCTCCTTCTTCAACTCCTCCAGCGGTCGGAACTGGGATGCCACTGCTGAGTCCTGCAGAGGGAGATCAGACTAGGTTGACAAGAAGCACAGCAGCAGCAGCAGCCACCAGGACCACCAGTTCTCTGCCTACCTGACTCTTCATCTCCTCCTTCATCTTCTTCATCGCTCGTTTTAGCTCGTCTGGATCAATGGACGGCTCCCTGCCAACAGACGGTTCAGGTTTCTATGGCTGCCCTTTGACCCCTGCTCACCAATCAGCTGTTAGTGGGCCCACCTGTGCTCCTGAGTCCAGTACTTCAGCTGCTCCTCTCCCAGTCGGACCTCCCTCTGACCAGTCTGCAGGTTCAGCCTCACATGGGAGCCTGCTGGTACCGCCTGGCCTGGTTTGCACAGACAGGAGACAGAGGAGTTAGTGGAGAACCTTCAATCGGACCATCTACACCTGACTGATCATGGTCACCTGACCAACAATCGTCATCTCCACTTCCAATTCCTCATCCCCTCCTTCCCCACCCTTTGCTTCCTCACCCTCTGCTTCATCATCCTCACACTCTGCTTCATCATCCTCACCCTCTGCTTCATCATCCTCACCCCCTGCTTCCTCACCCTCTGCTTCATCATCCTCACCCTCTGCTTCATCACCCTCTGCTTCATCATCCTCACCCTCTGCTTCATCATCCTATGCTTCATCATCCTCACCCTCTGCTTCCCTATGCTTCATCATCCTCACCCTCTGCTTCCCTATGCTTCATCATCCTCACCCTCTGCTTCATCATCCTCACCCTCTGCTTCATCATCTTCTACTTCATCATCCTCACCCTCTGCTTCATCATCCTCACACTCTGCTTCATTATCCTATGCTTCATCATCCTCACACTCTGCTTCATCACCCTCTGCTTCATCATCCTCACCCTCTGCTTCATCATCCTATGCTTCATCATCCTCACCCTCTGCTTCCCTATGCTTCATCATCCTCACCCTCTGCTTCCCTATGCTTCATCATCCTCACCCTCTGCTTCATCATCCTCACCCTCTGCTTCATCATCCTCTACTTCATCATCCTCACCCTCTGCTTCATCATCCTCACCCCCTGCTTCCTCACCCTCTGCTTCATCATCCTCACCCTCTGCTTCATCATCCTCTACTTCATCATCCTCACCCTATGCTTCATCATCCTCACCCTCTGCTTCATCATCCTCACCCTCTGCTTCATCATCCTCTACTTCATCATCCTCACCCTCTGCTTCATCATCCTCACCCCCTGCTTCCTCACCCTCTGCTTCATCATCCTCACCCTCTGCTTCATCATCCTCTACTTCATCATCCTCACCCTCTGCTTCATCATCCTCCCCCCCTGCTTCCTCACCCTCTGCTTCATCATCCTCACCCTCTGCTTCATCATCCTCACCCTCTGCTTCATCATCCTCTACTTCATCATCCTCACCCTCTGCTTCATCATCCTCACCCCCTGCTTCCTCACCCTCTGCTTCATCATCCTCACCCTCTGCTTCATCATCCTCACCCTCTGCTTCATCCCCCTCTGCTTCATCATCCTCACCCTCTGCTTCATCCCCCTCTGCTTCATCATCCTATGCTTCATCATCCTCACCCTCTGCTTCATCATCCTATGCTTCATCATCCTCACCCTCTGCTTCATCATCCTATGCTTCATCAACCTCACACTCTGCTTCATCATCCTATGCTTCATCATCCTATGCTTCCTCATCCTCACACTCTGCTTCATCATCCTCTACTTCATCATCCTCACCCCCTGCTTCCTCATCCTATGCTTCATCATCCTCACACTCTGCTTCATCATCCTCTACTTCATCATCCTCACCCCCTGCTTCCTCACCCTCTGCTTCATCATCCTCACCCTTTGCTTCATCATCCTCTGCTTCATCATCCTCACCCTCTGCTTCCTCATCCTCACCCTCCGCTTCCTCACCCTCTGCTTCATCATCCTCACCCTCTGGTTCATCATCCTCACACTCTGCTTCATCATCCTATGCTTCATCATCCTCACACTCTGCTTCATCATCCTCTACTTCATCATCCTCACCCCCTGCTTCCTCACCCTCTGCTTCATCATCCTCACCCTCTGCTTCCTCATCCTCTGCTTCATCATCCTCACCCTCTGCCTCTCATCCTCACCCTCCGCTTCCTCACTCTCTGCTTCATCATCCTCACCCTCTGCTTCATCATCCTCACCCTCTGCTTCATCATCCTATGCTTCATCATCCTCACCCTCTGCTTCATCATCCTATGCTTCATCATCCTCACACTCTGCTTCATCATCCTATGCTTCATCATCCTCACACTCTGCTTCATCATCCTATGCTTCATCATCCTCACACTCTGCTTCATCATCCTCTGCTTCATCATCCTCACCCCCTGCTTCCTCACCCTCTGCTTCATCATCCTCACCCTCTGCTTCCTCATCCTCACCCTCCGATTCCTCACCCTCTGCTTCATCATCCTCACCCTCTGCTTCCTCATCCTCACCCTCTGCTTCATCATCCTCTGCTTCATCATCCTCACCCTCTGCTTCATCACCGACACCCTCTGCCTCCTCACCCTCTGCTTCATCATCCTCACCCTCTGTTTCATCATCGACACCCACTGCCTCCTCACCCTCTGCTTCATCATCCTCACCCTCTGCTTCCTCCTCACCCTCTGCTTCATCATCCTATGCTTCATCATCCTCGCCCTCTGCTTCATCATCGACACCCTCTGCCTCCTCACCCTCTGCTTCATCATCGTCACCCTCTGCTTCCTCATCCTCACCCTCTGCTTCATCATCCTCACCATCTGCTTCATCATCCTATGCTTCATCTTCATCACCATCTGCTTCATTATCCTATGCTTCATCATCCTCACCCTCTGCTTCCTCATCCTCACCCTCTGCTTCATCATCCTCACCATCTGCTTCATCATCCTCACCATCTGCTTCATCATCCTCACCATCTGCTTCATTATCCTATGCTTCATCATCCTCACCCTCTGCTTCCTCATCCTCACCCTCTGCTTCATCATCCTCTGCTTCATCATCCTCACACTCTGCTTCATCATCCTGCTTCCTCATCCTCACCCTCTGCTTCATCATCCTCTGCTTCCTCACCCTCTGCTTCATCATCCTATTCTTCATCATCCTCTGCTTCATCATCCTATGCTTCATCATCCTCACACTCTGCTTCATCATCCTATGCTTCATCATCCTCACACTCTGCTTCATCATCCTCTACTTCATCATCCTCACCCCCTGCTTCCTCACCCTCTGCTTCATCATCTTCACCCTCTGCTTCATCATCCTCTGCTTCCTCATCCTCACCCTCCGCTTCCTCACCCTCTGCTTCATCATCCTCACCCTCTGCTTCCTCATCCTCACCCTCTGCTTCATCATCCTCTGCTTCATCATCCTCACCCTCTGCTTCATCACCGACACCCTCTGCCTCTTCACCCTCTGCTTCATCATCCTCACCCTCTGTTTCATCATCGACACCCTCTGCCTCCTCACCCTCTGCTTCATCATCCTCACCCTCTGCTTCATCATCCTCACCCTCTGCTTCATCATCCTCACCATCTGCTTCATTATCCTATGCTTCATCATCCTCACCCTCTGCTTCCTCATCCTCACCCTATGCTTCATCATCCTCACCCTCTGCTTCCTCATCCTCACCCTCTGCTTCATCATCCTCTGCTTCATCATCCTCACACTCTGCTTCATCATCCTATGCTTCATCATCCTCACACTCTGCTTCATCATCCTTTGCTTCCTCATCCTCACCCTCTGCTTCATCATCCTCTGCTTCCTCATCCTCACCCTCTGCTTCATCATCCTCTGCTTCATCATCCTCACCCTCTGCTTCATCACCGACACCCTCTGCCTCCTCACCCTCTGCTTCATCATCCTCACCCTCTGTTTCATCATCGACACCCTCTGCCTCCTCACCCTCTGCTTCATCATCCTCACCCTCTGCTTCATCATCCTCACCCTCTGCTTCATCATCCTCACCATCTGCTTCATTATCCTATGCTTCATCATCCTCACCCTCTGCTTCCTCATCCTCACCCTCTGCTTCATCATCCTATGCTTCATCTTCATCACCATCTGCTTCATTATCCTATGCTTCATCATCCTAACCCTCTGCTTCCTCATCCTCACCCTCTGCTTCATCATCCTCACCATCTGCTTCATCATCCTATGCTTCCTCATCCTCACCCTCTGCTTCATCATCCTCTGCTTCATCATCCTCACCCTCTTCTTCATCATCCTCAGCTTCATCATCCTCACCCTCTGCTTAATCATCCTATGCTCCATCTTCCTCACCCTCTGCTTCATCATCCTCACCCTCTGCTTCATCATCTTAATCTTCCTCACCCTCTGCTTCATCATCCTCACCCTCCGCTTCCTTACCCTCTGCTTCATCATCCTCACCCTCTGTTTCATCATCTTCATCATCATCCTCACCCTCTGCTTCATAATCCTCACCCTCTGCTTCATCATCCTATGCTTCATCATCCTCACCCTCTGCTTTATCACCCTCCAAGTCATCATCCTCACCCAACAGCTGTAGGAATCTGGTTCGTTTACCTGGTTTGAGTGTTTGCCAGTGTTCGTTAGGCTGGAGCACCTCCAGATTATCATCTTCATCATCCACTGTGCCCTCCGGGTCTTCATCACCAGTCCCTCCTCCTCCCCCCATGGTGCTCTCCACCACAGTTAGGGCTCCTCCAGGCTGTAGATTCAGAAAACAAATATAATTGGCCAAAATTTCTGAATCAACTATCATCATGCAATCTTTGACTGTAGTTGCCCTGGTAACCTAAAACAGGAAGTCTGATCTGAGCTCCTCTCTGATGGTGGAGGAGAGACTCCATCAGCGCTCAGAGCAGATCTGGGTTCAGCTGTTTAGATCAACTAACATAAAAAATCTTAGAATTTCTGGGTTTCTGTCTGCTGCATCACTGAAACATGGGTCCGGCAGAACCGTCGGTCCAACAGAACCGTCGGTCCATCAGAAACGTCGGTCCGGCAGAACCTAGCCCATTTTGCCTAAAGTTCAGACCTTTCTATTGGTCAGCTGACTCTGAAGATGGAGGAGGAGGGAGGAAAAATCCCCACGGCTGTTTACAGGTTGATATCCTAGTTTTTATTAAAATGCCACAATATTAAAGTTCCCTGTTTTGATTTAACAGTTTAAAGACTGTTGACTTTCTTTGTCGCCTCCAAAAGTTTGGTTTTATTTTCATTGTTCTACCAGAATCTGATCCTGTCATGTTTCCATGGTAACAGCATCTCTTTCCTTCCCATTGGTCCAACGCCTCTTTCATGTCGGTCAGTTTGCTCCTGACTGACAGAAGAACTAAAATAAACACTAAAGCTTAAGTTTGCAAAGCTGAAGTTGGTTTGCGATTTGGTTATGAATAGTGTTGCACCGATACTGCCCTAAAATGGTGGTATCGGTATCGGTGAGTACCAACAAATAGGGCGCCGATACCATTTTGAGAGCCATAAGTTTATTCAACTATTGTCACCCACTCCTGGTAGGCAATAAAAAGTTCTACTGGATTCACTTCGTATTAGATTTTTTCCTGCTTCACAAAGGTAGGCAGCAGCTTGACAAAGCCATGATGGCAATTATTTTACATTATTATGGTATCGGTATCTGCCGATACTGCACAGCCAGGTATCGGTATCGGGGGCCAAAAAATGGCATCGGCGCAACACTAGTTATGAATAAAGGGTGATACCACTTCCCTTTTCCCTGCCTTCAGCATCTTTAATCTACATTAATTAAAAAACTAGAACATCTAGATACATCAAACCTGGACTAGATTATTCTAAACTACTAAACTAAAACCAGGTCTGTGTTTTCTGAAACCTTTCTCTGGGTTGTAAGCCTGCAATAAAAACCGATGTAATACTTTTTATGAGGAATTCATATTGAACAGTGACATAGTGACAAGAAGGCATCTGAGATAAAACAATTGCAAAACCATTATATAAGCTAGATACTAGCTAAATAGATAAACATGGAATAGAACTGGTACAATGAGAGATTGTCTAAAGCAGCGAGCGAACCTATCTATATCAATAGCTCTTTGATCCAGTGGCGCTGCTGGGGTTCTGATCAGGTCCGGTTCTGCTCACCCTGTGGTCCAGAGCCCAGCATCGCAGCAGAACCAGCAGCAGGAGGCAGCAGCTCCTCCAACCCGGCAGAACAGCCGCTCCATGGCGGCTGCAGCACCACATCTGGAACATCTGGATGGATCACAGAACTCACTGCCTCGAACACGAGTGGACCTGAACCCACAGGGAGCGGAGCAGCTTCCTCCAGCTGATCCACGTCATCATCAGCTCTCCTCTCATTGGTCCACGTAGATAGTGAGCCCTTCATGGCGCCATCTGCTGGCAGGAGGCGAAACTACAGCGGAGGAAGAAACATTTCCCCCCAGATGAAGATTAACAAATGATGATCAAGACTTTCCTCTGATGAAGACCATCCTCTGATGAAGACAATCCTCTGATGAAGGCCGTCTACCAGAGAGAAGTCTGCCCCCCCCCCCCACCTTTTTCAAATCAGACGAAATTTGTCTCAAACCTTTGTGCAGCAAAAATGTTCGTTTGTGCCGCTATCATTTTAAGATATGAAGAAAATTTTGTAGAGGTCATCATTGTTTTCTTGTAGATTTAATGAAAGATCAACAGGCAACTGAGGCAGCAATCCAAAAAAATGAATAAAGGAAAACAAACCAGAAACCATAGAGACTTCAGGGAGAAAACTATCACGACGAAGAAGACTCAGCGAGACGGAGTTGGAGGAAGTTAGACGAAGAACCAGCACTGAGGATCTGCACAAGGAGAGCATTGATGGCTAACTGAACAAAAAGACGACTAACAAGCAGATTGGGAGCAGGTGTGAACAGAGCAGTCTAAGGAGCTAGGGAAAAATGAGACCAACACAAGAGGGCAGCAGAGGGCAACAGATAAAAACCTGAGAACTGAAATATAACCAGAAAACACAACAAAATAACAATTAAACCAATAAAACTAGAAAACATGGAGCAAAGTTAAACTGAATACTCAAAAGAAAACAGAACAGAACCAAGACTGGGACATAATTGACCAAAGCGTTTCTTTTTAATTTTTGTCTTTTTTTTTTTTATTGTAAAGTGAACAAAGGCTTCACTCATGAGAATCCAGAGTGGAATAAAGGTGCCAACCACCGGGAACATGAACAGATAAAAGCAAATATGATATAAAGTGGTAGCAAGATAATAGTATATCTAAACAATATACACTACCGTTCAAAAGTTTGGGGTCACATTGAAATGTCCTTATTTTTGAAGGAACAGCACTGTACTTTTCAATGAAGATAACTGTAAACTAGTCTTAACTTTAAAGAAATACACTCTATACATTGCTAATGTGGTAAATGACTATTCTAGCTGCAAATGTCTGGTTTTTGGTGCAATATCTACATAGGTGTATAGAGGCCCATTTCCAGCAACTATCACTCCAGTGTTCTAATGGTACAATGTGTTTGCTCATTGGCTCAGAAGGCCAATTGATGATTAGAAAACCCTTGTGCAATCATGTTCACACATCTGAAAACAGTTTAGCTCGTTACAGAAGCTACAAAACTGAGCTTCCTTTGAGCAGATTGAGTTTCTGGAGCATCACATTTGTGGGGTCAATTAAATGCTCAAAATGACAAGAAAAAGAGAACTTTCATCTGAAACTCCACAGTATATTCTTGCTCTTAGAAATGAAGGCTAGTCCATGCGAGAAACTGCTAAGAAATTAAAGATTTCCTACAACGGTGTGTACTACTCACTTCAGAGGACAGCAACGAGGACAGACCTCGGCGTCGCGCTATGACGTAATTGGTCTATGAATCAGGCCTTCGGAGGACTCAGCAGCTGGATTGGTACTCAGTAAATGTTTCTCCTTCTAAACACTTCAAAGCCAAACTGGCTTATTGTGGTTTTGCTAACGTAGTGAGGACCAGGTCTCCATCTAACCCTGAAACCTCATTTCTTCTCTCTTGCAGAGGGATGGCCTAGTGGTTAGAGCAGTGCTCTGCTGCTCTGAGAAGGTTCCTAGTACCCGGTTTGATCTTGCCACAGACTGCACTCAGGGTCCCTGAGTAGGACCCTTAACCCCACACTGCTCCACATGCATCGCACAATGGCAGCCCACTGCTCCCCAAGGGGAGGGGTTAAATACAGAGGGAATTTCTCCACTGTGATCAATGAAGGGATTAACATTTAATGACATATAATAATAACATAATGACCTCATCTGACCCAGGTCATTATATAAGGTCATTATTTGAGCTAAACACCTCTAGAACCTGCAGGACAGCAGCTTTGGACAACTAGCATGACAGAACCTAACAGAACCAGGGAGGTGAGATCAAGACGTTTTTTTCTGGATCACATGATTAAAACTTATACCAGCGTCAAAAACGACTTTGAATTTAAATCGAATCTCATCAGAAGTTTAAGCAACATGTTGGAAACTGTAAGGAAACATTCCTGCTCTGATGGATGGACCGAGGTCCCTGGAGGTTGGCCCCTGACTTAGATGGACCTGAAGGTGGCCCCTGGGTTAGAAGAACCTAAAGGTGGCCCTTAGGTTAGGTGGACCTGATGGTGGCCCCTGGGTTAGGTGGACCTGATGGTGGCCCCTGGGTTAGGTGGACCTGATGGTGGCCCCAGGTTCCCCTGAACCTTGAACGCCATGAAAGAACGGCATGCAGCATGGTCCTAGGTTCCACCGGTTCTGCTGCCAGCCCCATGGTTAGCTAACATTAACGGCCAGGTAGGGACCTGGATGTTCTGACCCAGGATGGGTTCTTTGATGGACCCAGAGAAGACGCTGGTTCTGGTCAAAGTTCTTTAATGATAAAAACAAAGTTCCTTAAATAAACAACAACAGAGTTCTAGCTTGAAACGATCCATGAAGACTCTACTGCTGGGAACACTGGTTCTCCTGGGTTGTATCAGACCTCACGTAGATCACCTCAACCTTTGGTTTCCTTCTCCTCCCTTCTTGGAGGTTCTGCTGGCGGTTCTCCTCAAGCTCGTCTTTCTCCTTGGTACCGGTCCAACTGAGGAACAAGCAAAAGAACAGAGGTCATCATTAGGCTTCAGTCTGGGGGACGGGGTGGGCTTCTGAGAGAATGAAGACAAACTGAACCAAGCTGGTTCTATAGAGAACATTCTGACTGATCCTGACCAATGTGCCTCGTTGACATGACCCTGGTACTTAGGATCCAATCAGAGACCGGCTGCTGGTCCTAACTAGACCAGGACCAGCAGCAGAACCCACCTGGAGTTGAAGATCACTTCTGGGTCATCAGAGCTGATCTTCACACACTTGGCAGGTTGGACCTCTGGTTCTGGAAGAGATAAGAAATGATGAGCAGATCGTCCACTGCAGGGAACCATCGTGAAACCACTGGAACCCATGGAACCACTGGGGACCCCCCCATGGATTCATCGAAGAACCATCGGGGAACCACTGGGAAACTCCCATGGAACCACCGGGGAACGACCCATGCAACCACTGGGGAACCATCAGGGAACCACCCATGGAATCATTGGGGAACCACCCATGGAACCACCGGGGAACGACCCATGGAACCACTGGGGAACCATCAGGGAACCACCCATGGAATCATTGGGGAACCACCCATGGAACCACCGGGGAACGACCCATGGAACCACTGGGGAACCATCAGGGAACCACCCATGGAATCATTGGGGAACCACCCATGGAACCACCGGGGAACGACCCATGGAACCACTGGGGAACCATCACGGAACCACCCATGGAATCATTGGGGAACCACCCATGGACCACCGGGGAACGACCCATGGAACCACTGGGGAACCATCAGGGAACCACCCATGGAATCATTGGGGAACCACCCATGGACCACCGGGGAACGACCCATGGAACCACTGGGGAACCATCAGGGAACCACCCATGGAATCATTGGGGAACCACCCATGGAACCACCGGGGAACGACCCATGGAACCACTGGGGAACCATCAGGGAACCACCCATGGAATCATTGGGGAACCACCCATGGAACCACCGGGGAACGACCCATGGAACCACTGGGGAACCATCAGGGAACCACCCATGGAATCATTGGGGAACCACCCATGGAACCACCGGGGAACAACCCATGGAACCACTGTGGAACCACCAAAGGATGATCGGGAAACCCCCCCATGGAATCATCAGGGAACCCCCCATGGAATCATGAGGGAACCACCAGGGAACCACTGAGAAACCCCCATGGAATAATTGGGGAACCCCCATGGAACCACCGGGGAACGACCCATGGAACCACTGGGGAACCATCAGGGAACCACCCATGGAACCACTGTGGAACCGCCAAAGGATGATCGGGAACCCCCCCCATGGAATCATCAGGGTACCCCCCCATGGAATCATCAGGGAACCACTGAGAAACCCCCATAGAATAATTGGGGAACCCCCATGGAACCACCGGGGGAACCATCAGGGAACCACCCATGGAACCACTGTGGAACCGCCAAAGGATGATCGGGAAACCCCCCCATGGAATCATCAGGCTACCCCCCCATGGAATCATCAGGGAACCACTGAGAAACCCCCATAGAATAATTGGGGAACCCCCATGGAACCACCGGGGGAACCATCAGGGAACCACCCATGGAACCACTGGGGAACCATCAGGGAACCATGAGGGAACAGGTCAGATCTTCCTCTCTGGCTGTGGAGGAGGCGGACTGCTCCTCTTGGTCGGTTCTCCACCTACCTGCTGCAGTGCTGGCTGCGTCTGTAGCGACCTGTTCTTCCTCTGTCTTCCTGTCAGTGTCCTCCGTCACCATGGTAACCGCCTGCCCCTCCTGGTCAGTTCTGTCTGGCTCTGGCTTCACATCAACAGGAAGCTTCTCCTTCCTCCTGGTGCGGGTAAGGTTCTTCTTCACCTCTGCAGACCCAGAGGAGCTGCGGTTCAGAGCAGAGGACATTCCAGCAGATGTTGAACGGGTTCTTTCTTACCTCTGGGTTCATATTTCTGTTGGAGCTCCTCTACACGCAGCTGCAGCTTGATCTTCTCACTTTGGGCCTTTAGAAACACAAAACTGGATCAGAACCGGTTCCAGCTGCAGAAAAACGGATCAGAACAGGTTCCAGCAGCTGCTGTGGTTTGATCACAGTACCAGTTTGAGGAGGCGCTCTGATGTGTAGAGCTTCCTCTCCAGCTCCAGAGCTCTCTGGCTCTCTGACAGAGACTTCCTCCTCTGGAGGGACAGCTCCTTCCCTAGACGCTCAGCGTCCTTCCTGAGAACACAGAGAAGGTCACTCTGGTTCACACAGATCTATGGCCTTTACTACACTCAGATCATTAGAGGTCAAGATGGATGGATGGCAGATAATGCCAGCCCAGAACCAGTTTAATGTCTGATGAACGAATGAATGGTAGATGAATGACGGATGGATGGATGAATGACGGATGGATGAATGAATGAATGATGGATGAATAACTAGATGAATGATGAATAGTGGGTGGATGATGAATGGATGAATGATGGCTGGATGAATGATGAATGGATGAATGATGGCTGGATGAATGATGAATGGATGAATGATGGGTGGATGAATGATGGATGGATGAATGATGGATGGATGAATGATGGATGGATGAATGAATGATGGATGAATAACTAGATGAATGATGAATAGTGGGTGGATGATGAATGGATGAATGATGGCTGGATGAATGATGAATGGATGAATGATGGCTGGATGAATGATGAATGGATGAATGATGGGTGGATGAATGATGGATGGATGAATGATGAATGGATGAATGATGGGTGGATGAATGATGGATGGATGAATGATGGATGGATGAATGAATGAATGATGGATGAATAACTAGATGAATGATGAATAGTGGGTGGATGATGAATGGATGAATGAATGATTGATGGATGATGAATGGATGAATAATGGATGGATGGATGATGGATGAATGATGAATAGTGGATGAATGAATGATGAATAGTGGATGGATGATGAATGGATGAATGATGGCTGGATGAATGATGAATGGATGAATGATGGCTGGATGAATGATGGATGGATGAATGATGAATGAATAACTAGATGAATGATGAATAGTGGATGGATGATGAATGGATGAATGAATGATGGATGAATGAATGAATGATGGCTGGATGAATGATGGAAGGATGATGAATAGTGGATGGATGATTAATCGATGAATAGTGGATGGATAAATGATGAATGAATTATGGATGGACGAATGATGAATGAATAACTAGATGAATGATGAATAGTGGATGGATGATGAATGGATGAATGAATGATGGATGAATGAATGAATGATGGCTGGATGAATGATGGAAGGATGATGAATAGTGGATGGATGATTAATCGATGAATAGTGGATGGATAAATGATGGATGAATGGATGATGAATAGTGGGTGGATGATGAATGGATGAATGAATGATGGATGAATGAATGATGGATGAATGATGAATGGATGGATGAATGATGGCTGGATGAATGATGGATGAATGATGAATGGATGGATGAATGATGGCTGGATGAATGATGGATGAATGATGAATGGATGGATGAATGATGGCTGGATGAATGATGGATGAATGATGAATGGATGGATGAATGATGGCTGGATGAATGATGGATGAATGATGAATGGATGGATGAATGATGGCTGGATGAATGATGGATGGATAAATGATGGATGAATGGATGATGAATAGTGGGTGGATGATGAATGGATGAATGCTGTATTTCCATGAATGTCCTGTTTTTGTCCTTGGATGGATCAGATCCGTCCTCAGAACAACCAGCGATGGGAAAGGACCGACTCTCTCTGTGCTCGTCTTTCTCTTCCCTCCTTTACTGACCTGGAAAATCCTTCAATCCAAAAATCAAACCTTTCCAGGCTGAAGATGACGAACATGATGAGCGGATGAACTCACACAGAGTTGCTGAGCTTCAGTCGGAGAAGGTCTGTGTAGAACGTCTCATCCTGGCCGGCGCCTCCCTCTGCTTGGACCGGATCGGCCGGCTCAGCCTTCAGCAGACTCTAAAAACACCACATCTATATTCAGCACATAGATCCAGAATGACCAGAATCCAACCACAGGACCATACCAGGACCAGAGGAGCAGAACTCCTCAGGAGGAGCGTGCCCACCTCCATCTTCTCCAGCCTCTGGAGTTTGGTCTCCAGGCTCTGGATCTCTGCGTTCTTCTCAGCCAGCATGGACATCAGCCTCTCCAGCTGAGCCGGGTCGGCTCTAGAACCCTGCAGCTGCATCAGAGTGGCGATCTGGGCCTGCAGAGAAGAAGAGGTTTATCCCAGCGCCCCACAGGGAGCAGATCCACAGCAGGGTGTCCACGCTACCTTCAGGCGCTGCATCTGCTGCTTGCTGAAGGCGTGCATCTTCTGCAGGGACTGGTACTGGACCTTCATGCTGATGAGCTGCCGCTCCATCGCTGCCCTCTTATCCTCCAGCTGGAAAACACCAGAACCGGTTCTACTGAGGAGGCTCGGTTCTGAAACAAGGCTTCAGACGGTCCGTCTCCTTACCTCGGCAAACAGGGAGTTCCCTTTGCTGCTTGGATCCTGGGCCTGCTGAAGAACCTGATCCAACTGGGTCTGCAGGTCCCGGTTCTGCTCTCGAGATTTCTGGATTTATACAAAACACTCATGAGCAGATAGAGGTCCACTATGTTCTGGTTCTGATCGTACCAGGCTGGTTCTGGTTCAAGTTCTAGGCTGATACTGGTTCTAGGCTGGTTCTGGTTCAAGTTCTAAACTGGTTTTGGTTCTAAGCTGGTTCTGGTTCTAGGCTGGTTCTGGTGCAAAGCTAGTTCTGGTTCTAGGCTGGTTCTGCTTCCAGGCTGGTTCTACAATCTTGTTAAAAGAAGCTCCTCTATGACGTAGATCTTGGTGAGAAAGATGCTGAAATCAAGAAGATCTATTCTGGAACCAATCACTACCTCCTTCTCCTCCTCACCTCCAAATAGGGGTGTAAATAATAATCGTTTTGTATCGATGCATCGATCCAAAAGCCGACGATCCGATGCATCGACACGTCCGCAAGATAATCGATTCATGTTTTTTTTTTTCCTCCGGTCTATTTTTATCCATTTGCTCCTGGGCGTAATTCTTCCTCCCGTGCTGCGGTGGCGCTAAACCTATTTTCCCCTCCTACCGCGCTTCCTGGTTATACTCTTACAGCAGTTTGTTGCAGCAAGCTTCACACAGACATTTTTAAATTATGCTCAGTATTGAAGCGTGGTCTGGGCTACACGCTGTGGGTCTAGATACGGCCGAGGCGATGAGGAAGTGGGGACGAGTTTAGTCCGACGACGGAGGGACAATGGGGCAAAGAGAGCAGAGATTCAGCTGGAAAAAGGGTCCCAGCGTTCTCGCGCACCTCGCTCTTCTAGCGGGTCAAACTTCACGAGTTGTTTTCCGCAATTTCGGTCATAAAAACAAAACAAGCCGGCCTCCTGTCTGGTGCACTGTTTGCGGTCAGCTACAATCTGGGAGAGGTGCAGCGGAGCGTCTCTCAAGGGGCGGTGACGTCAACACTCTGGAGCCTTCTTCTTCTTCTTTTTTTTAATGGCGGTTGGCAAACAACTTATAGGTGCATTACCGCCACCTTCCAGAATGGAGTATGGACCAGACAAACTATTATATTCTCCCTAAAATACCCGTTCTTCTTAGAAAATTAAAAATACCCTCAAAAACTACATCCCCAGATGACCTTTGAAACAATTCCCTTATATGTAGTTTATTTTTATTCCTGTCTAACTCTCTACACAACATCTCTCTTTCCTGAATATATTTATTACATTCTAAAAAAAATATGTTGGACAGTTTCTCTGGAGCCGAGGTATTGCATTGAACTCATTACACTGATATTGTGCAGTATTTTTGCAGTATTTTTTGATGCAACTTTTCTACTTCTGTTATTTGCTGTTGTTTCTAAAGAAAATGCATAATGATATTACAGCTTTCATTGATTTATTTCAAACTTGAAACTTTGTTTAGCCTGTAAGGTGTAAAAAAAAATAAAAATAAATAATAATAAAAAAAAAAATTAACCGATTAATCGATTCGAATCGTGGTGTATTCTTAAGTATCGAAAATAATCGAATCGTTGGATCAGGAAATCGATACTGAATCGAATCGCCATGATGGATGTGATTTACACCCCTACCTCCAAAGCGTTGAACCAGCTCACAGCCTCCCTTCCTCTCCTCCCCCTCCCTCCCTCCCTCTTCTCCTCCCTCCCTCCCTCTTCTCCTCCCTCCCTCCCGCTCCTCCTCCTCCCTCCCACCCTCTCCTCCTCACCTCCAAAGCGTTGAACCAGCTCACAGCCTCCCTCTCCCGCTCCTCCTTCTCCTCCCTGCTCCTCTCCAGCTGTCTCAGCAGGCTGCTCCTGCTCAGCTCCAGCTGCTGCTCCCTGTAGAGGCTCTCCTGCAGAAGTTGCTCCATCTCCACCTGGACCAGAGGAGCACACATCAGGCCACTGCTGCTCCCGGCGGGAGGCTCTGCCCACCGGGCCTCACCTTGGCGTTCTCCAGCTCCGTGGCCTTCAGCTGGACCTCCATCATCTCTGAGGTCATGGAGCTCTGGGTGTTTTGTTCCAGGGCTCTCAGCTCCTCCATCTTGTTGCTCAGCGCCTCCGCCTGCAGCTCCAGCTTGTGCGTCAGCTGCTTCTCGTTCAGCTGGAACTCCTCCAGGGAGGACTGCAGCCTCAGAACCTGAACCGCAGGAGAACAGAACCGTGTTTGGACCTGAGCGCCAGCCGCTGAGCGCCGGGCCTCTGATGTCCTACCTTGTTCTGGAGCTCACTGAGGGCCACGCTGTGGCTCCTCTCCAGATGTTCCTGATGTTCTTCAAGCTGCTGCTTCTGCTGCTTCTTCACGCTCTCATACTCTGACTGCAGAGACTCCAGCATCCGGTTCTTGAGCTCCACCTCCTTCTGAAGGGAGTACTTGTCCTGCTCCAGAGCCTACGGCACACAGAGACTCAGATCTACTAGCTGCAGGTCTACGTTGGTTCAGGCGTGGAGCAGAACCTGCAGGAGGCGTCTGTGGGCTGCTCACCTCCAGGGCGTTGGTCATCTCCACCCTCTGCTCGTCCAGGCGCTCCTGCAGCTCGTCCACCTGCCTGAGGAGGTCCAGGCCGGCCTGAGCGGCCTGCCGGGCCTGCTCCTCGCTCTTCTTCAGCTGGCTCCTCAGCAGCTGCAGCTCGTCCTCCGCTGCCATCTGACAGGAACAGGAAGTGATGCCACAGACAGATCATCACCTCCTCTCTCTCCTGTCATTTCTGATGCTTTAGTTTAAAACCTTCCAGTTTAGCTCCGCCCCATTCATAAACCATCAGTGAATGGTCAAACAGAGGACCGAAGCTCTGCTTGCTGATTGGCTGCATCAGGGCCACCGCAGCGGCGAGGACTGGACGCCATGATGGGAGAAAGAGGAGGAGATCCATCTTCTACTGCCTGCTCAGACGCATCCATCCCTCCCTTTTTTATTTCAACTTTCCTTTATCTCTCAGTCGCTCAGCTTTATGTTAAATTAATGTCATTAAATACAATGAATTTAAAATCTCTGATTTGATTTTTAACCATCAGCTGCACATGGAGGTTATTCAGGAGTGAGAATGTTGCAACATGAGAGCAGTTTGGTGGTTATTAAAAACAGCACATCCCAGCGGCCAAAAGAAAAGCTCTGAAACAAAAAGAATCTTTAACAAGTCTTCATTTTGCAGCCGATGACTTCTTTAGGTGGAGGAATCTGGGATTATTGCTAACGTCTGGTTTGCCTGCATGTTTTGCAAATGGCCGCATTTCGTTGGACATCATTTTTGTCAAATCCAGATCGCCGCCATATTGTTTTCAGGTGGGAAGCAGCTTTTCTGGCTCCACCTTAGACTTATTTGGCTTTTCAGCTGTCGCCATAGTTACGCTGTAAGTAAACACACATACTCATTGTTGTGTGTGCCAGAACGCTTTCTGGAGGAAGAGTGACTGATGCATTCAAAGCACGTGGGAGAAACTAAACTCTCAATAAATTAAATAAAACACCTTAAATCCTGCCTTGAAAATTTGCACTCGATGATCGCATTAAAGTTGTTTTACTATCACGCAGAGGAAAGCTAAGTTGGAAGGGTAAATAAGGAAAAAATTTGTAATAATGTCTAATATTGTGAAGCGTAAAAGATGATTTAAACGATCAGCGGATCCTGAAACATTAACTGCCAGCAGTTGATCCAGGTAACAGAAACAGTTCACAGGTGAAATCATACAATGACTGAGGTTTGAATCAGCAGCTCAATCAGATTTTTCAGAGTCGGTGAGATAATGTTATCTCCTGAGTCTGAAAAGGCAAACATTTCTTCACCATTAGTGTTTTGTGATGAGTTTCTAATTGGTCTCTCTAATTGTGCCAGTAAAACAAACAGTAAAGACTCAGTAAAAAGTAAATCAAATAATTCTCAGTTACCAGTGACTTTAAAAATGTGAATGACTTAAAGTTGTTCTGCATGCAAACAATAAAACGACAAACAGAAGGGACTAAGAAATGACAGCTGACGTAATAAAACATGGCTACACATCATGGCAGGGTCATAACTGCCACATGGAGAAAACATCAACAATAATAATTCCACATTTAAAGAACTACAACCCTAATTTAATGATCAACATCATGGCAGCATCCCAGGTGATGGAGGGTTTTCCAGTCCCTCTGCAGACTGGGAGGCCTTCAGATGCTGCTGACGCCTTTATTTCATCCCCAAACTTCACTTTCTCCTAATATTAAACACTTTCCACAGACAGACGCAGGTTGATAGACCTTAGACCAGGATAACTTTTAACATTTATCCTGACCACTTCCTTTACTTTTGCAGCATTTTGATCAGGCAACCACCCAGCCACCTAATCCCCAAAAACAGCTGTGCTGATGACGCTGTTTCTCACTAATTAATCTAGTTGATTGATTTCTTATCTGCCTTTTTCTACATGATAAATATCAAGCAGCCATGTTGTATGATAAACACACCATGGCTGCTAAACTCTAGGATTTAAATTCTACAGTGAAATAACCTTTCCTTATAAGCAGGCAGTTGAAAAACTACATGTTACCCATTAGTGCATAGAGGGCAGTAAACGCAGTTCAGCAGCAGCCTGTTATGGCCTCAGACCTGGAAATAACATCCAGACTGAACACGTTATTGAGACCTGAAGCAGCTCATCATACAGGACAGACCCCTGAAACCAACACCTTCCTAGAGACTGGGATCCGTGTCCAAACAGGAACGTGAAGGAAAAGTGAGATCCTGGAATTTAAAAACAAGAAAATAACTTTCTGTCACCATTTGAAAAATAAAGGTGGGAATAGTTGGAATTTTGAATTGAAAAAGTTTGTTTTTAATGTTCTTCTTTGGAGCCAGATCTTCTGAATGATGAGCCTCTTTAATGGATTTATATTTACATTCAGGGATTTATGCAGCAGGAGGTCTGCAGGTTTGATTTATAGCGATAGGAATGACCCTCCATGTCACACAGACTGTTTTTATTTCTGCACTTGTGAAAGACTCTGTTCATTGTGTGGGATTATTTGCACTAATTTGCAACTGCTTTTCTGTTGATACAAGTTAATTACTGTATCTTTCTAAAAACAAAAACATCCACATTCATCCGTTAGAAATGTCTGGTTGGTTATTTGCCAACAGTTTGTTACGTTAGGAATATTGTTTTCATCAGGCATCGCCACAGCCACCTAAGCTTCAGGATCATCTGCAGTCCGGATAGATTCTAACCAGTTAAACTGGCCACCAGTTAGTCTCTGACACCGGGAGCAGCACAGTCGGTGTCCCTGTGAGCAGAGCTGTGGAAACGGATGGCTGGGGAGCCGCTGCGGCGGCAGAGGCTGCGCCATGGCGGACAAACCAACCGATCAACGTCAAACACCGAACCCGTTTACGTTGATATTCGCTAAACTTCCTTTTGTTTGACAGAAAGTGGCTCTAATATTTCACTTCCGCATCGAAGTCTACTAAACATTTATGATAACATATTACTTATATGAATAAAATAATTCCAACAATACTCCACCTTTCTGAGGAAGCTGTCCTCCGTTAACCCGCCCTGGTTTGAATCCTGTTCCCGTGATGTATCGCGATAGTTTGAATCAGGAGAACTGTACAGTAAGAGCGACCTCTAGCGGCCAAGAGGATCAAACGCTTCATTTTTACTACTTCCACCAAGAGCTCTGATGGAGGGTTTCTTTATAAGTTTATATTTTTCTTTATTTATGTTTATACTATACTACACTGCATTCTCATTGTTTTAACATTTATAGCATACCAAGTGCTTTATAAAAATAAAAACCAAAAATAAACACTGCATAAGTGTTCATTTATTCAAATAACCACTGAATCCAAAGGCGACTCAGTGTCAAACCACAGAACCCTGGAATCTCTAAACGTTCAAAGCAGAAGATCTTTGCATGGATCAAACCCTGGAGCGGAACATTGGACCAGAACAATCAGATCAGAACATCCGCATCAGAACATCGGATCAGAACAATCAGATCAGAACATCGGGAGCAGGACATCTGATCAGGACATCCAGGGCAGAACATCAGAGCTCAGGTCCAAAGAGGATTCAGCAGCTTGAGCAGAAGCTGAGCAGAACCAGAGGAGCCAATCAGAAACAGACGTGCTTATCAAACATGGTTGTTAGTTGTTAAATATTTATTCTCTCCTCCATGACATGTTCACAGCTGACATGCAAACATCAAACAGGCAGCTGACTTCAGGACCGGCATCCCTCATCCGGTTCCGGTCCTTCCAGAACCACGGCGCTGCTGCTGGGTCCAACATGGTGATGGATAGTGTTACTGACCGAGTCCTCCGTGTCGGGGATGTTCCTCAGGCTGCAGCGATGGAGGCGTCGTCCGCCTGCCGACCCTGAGGCTGAACACAAAGTGGAAGGTTCTGGTCAGAGAGGCGGCGCTCTGTGGTTAGAACCGGCAGCACCCAGACTCACCTTAACGAAGATGCGCTGTGGCAGGAAGCGTCTGAGCGCGGTGCCGCTGGCGGTGGGGCAGTGCGGCAGGCTGAGGCTGAGCTGTGGCAGCGTCTGGTAGCCCGCCATCAGCGGGTAGAAGTTATACAGTAGGGTCTGCTCGGTACCGGGCAGCACACGGAGCCGCACCTACAGGACACAGAACCACATGCCGGGTCAGAGGAGAACCAGTTCTATCAGCACTGCTGGGTGAGACTCCATTAGATGGCCCCCTTCCCTAAATGGGAAAAGTATTCACACCCTAAACTATAATGGGGTCCAGACAACTGGGAGTAGGAGCACCGGCCTTTTCCTCAAACACTCGGGTTCAACTGAGCCCAGTGGTTTAGGGTCAGTTCAGCGGTCCTGTCAGCGCCGCGGTTCAGGGTCAGCACCCAGGTTAGACGGTTCAACAGAGACCCGGTTAGACGGTTCAACAGAGTCCCGGGTTAGAGGGTTCAACAGAGTCCCGGTTAGACGGTTCAACAGAGACCCGGTTAGACGGTTCAACAGAGACCCGGTTAGACGGTTCAACAGAGACCCGGTTAGACGGTTCAACAGAGTCCCGGGTTAGAGGGTTCAACAGAGTCCCGGGTTAGAGGGTTCAACAGAGTCCCGGGTTAGAGGGTTCAACAGAGTCTCGGGTTAGAGGGTTCAACAGAGACCCGGTTAGACGGTTCAACAGAGACCCGGTTAGACGGTTCAGCAGAGACCCGGTTAGACGGTTCAACAGAGACCCGGTTAGACGGTTCAGCAGAGACCCGGTTAGACGGTTCAACAGAGTCCCGGGTTAGAGGGTTCAACAGAGTCCCGGGTTAGAGGGTTCAACAGAGTCCCGGGTTAGAGGGTTCAACAGAGTCCCGGGTTAGAGGGTTCAACAGAGTCTCGGGTTAGAGGGTTCAACAGAGACCCGGTTAGACGGTTCAACAGAGACCCGGTTAGACGGTTCAACAGAGACCCGGTTAGACGGTTCAGCAGAGACCCGGTTAGACGGTTCAACAGAGTCCCGGGTTAGAGGGTTCAACAGAGTCCCGGGTTAGAGGGTTCAACAGAGTCCCGGGTTAGAGGGTTCAACAGAGTCCCGGGTTAGAGGGTTCAGCAGAGACCCGGGTTAGACGGTTCAGCAGAGACCCGGGTTAGACGGTGCAGCAGAGACCCGGGTTAGACGGTTCAGCAGAGACTCGGGTTAGACGGCTCAGCAGAGACCCGGGTTAGACGGTTCAGCAGAGACCCGGTTAGCAGAGACCCGGGTTAGACGGTTCAGCAGAGACCCGGGTTAGACGGTTCAACAGAGACCCGGGTTAGACGGTTCAGCAGAGACCCGGGTTAGACGGTTCAGCAGAGACCCGGGTTAGACGGTTCAGCAGAGACCCGGGTTAGATGGTGCAGCAGAGACCCGGGTTAGACGGTTCAGCAGAGACCCGGGTTAGACGGTGCAGCAGAGACCCGGGTTAGACGGTTCAGCAGAGACTCGGGTTAGACGGCTCAGCAGAGACCCGGGTTAGACGGTTCAGCAGAGACCCGGGTTAGACGGTTCAGCAGAGACCCGGGTTAGACGGTTCAGCAGAGACTCGGGTTAGACGGCTAAGCAGAGACCCGGGTTAGACGGTTCAGCAGAGACCCGGGTTAGACGGCTCAGCAGAGACCCGGGTTAGACGGTTCAGCAGAGACCCGGGTTAGACGGCTCAGCAGAGACCCGGGTTAGACGGTTCAGCAGAGACCCGGGTTAGACGGTTCAGCAGAGACCCGGGTTAGACGGCTAAGCAGAGACCCGGGTTAGACGGCTCAGCAGAGACCCGGGTTAGACGGCTCAGCAGAGACCCGGGTTAGACGGTTCAGCAGAGACCCGGGTTAGACGGTTCAACAGAGACCCGGTTAGACGGTTCAACAGAGACCCGGTTAGACGGTTCAACAGAGTCCCGGGTTAGAGGGTTCAACAGAGTCCCGGGTTAGAGGGTTCAACAGAGTCCCGGGTTAGAGGGTTCAACAGAGTCCCGGGTTAGAGGGTTCAACAGAGTCTCGGGTTAGAGGGTTCAACAGAGACCCGGTTAGACGGTTCAACAGAGACCCGGTTAGACGGTTCAACAGAGACCCGGTTAGACGGTTCAACAGAGACCCGGTTAGACGGTTCAACAGAGACCCGGTTAGACGGTTCAGCAGAGACCCGGTTAGACGGTTCAACAGAGTCCCGGGTTAGAGGGTTCAACAGAGTCCCGGGTTAGAGGGTTCAACAGAGTCCCGGGTTAGAGGGTTCAACAGAGTCCCGGGTTAGACGGTTCAACAGAGACTCGGTTAGAAGATTCAACAGAGATCCAGTTAACTGGTTCTAAGGAAACCTGGTTAGAAGGTTATACAGAGACCTGGTTAGCAGGTTCTAAGGAAACCTGGTTAGAAGGTTCCAAAGAGAACCGGATGAAGGTTCTACAGAGACCTTGTTTGAAAATTTTACAGAGTCCGAGTTAGAAGGTTCTACAAAGACCCGCTTAGACGGTTCTACAGAGACACGGTTGGGTCACAGCAAGACAGTCATGATACTACTTCTAGTCCCCAGTCAGTCTGCAGGTGTCCTGGTCTGGTTCTGGTCCATTCAGTTGTTTCCTCTGATCACCTGTTTGAGTCCAGAGAACATGAATGCGTCTGATGGATCCACAGCGATCTCCACCTCCTGCAGCTGGGCCGTCCTGTTCTCTATGTGGTACCAGACCGGAAGAGACTCTCTGACCCGTCCAAAGGAAGGAAGATCTGCACACGGGTCACACAAACACATCGGATCAGAGCTAGAGCCCTCAGTGAGGAGGAAAACAGAAGATCTCAACACCTACTGACCGGCGTAGATGTAGAGCGGGACAGACTCCAGGACGACATGAGGCAGAGGGACGGTGGTCTGGATCAGGGGGCCGTCGGAACCACAACACTTCCTGTTTGACACAGTTCTACTGGTCAGACTGCTCAGACTTAGGGGTGTGTCTGCTGCTGTTCACCTACCTCCTCCATGAGAGGATGTACTGTCCTGTTGCCATGGTGCTGTTGCTGCTGGCGCCCGGTGGAACTCGGAGACAGAAACACTCACTGGCTCCTTCACCCGTCTGCAGAACCACTGAAGAGAAGGAGAGACAGACAGATGGACAGGGAGACATATGATTAAATCTGGCACCGGTCCAATTGGGCTCAGCCAGAGGAGCGCTCTGCTACCTTGCTGAAGCTGCGACTGCAGCTGAGGAGTGTTGCTGGTCACCGTCAGCAGCTGCAGCTGGGAGGAGCCTAGCAGCAGAGGCCATGGAGAAGACGAGAGGACGTCGGTCATCAGCAGGAAGGGGACATCCACCGCCACCTGCTCCAGCAGTTCGAACTGGGGACACACAGACCATGAGAAACGCTCCGTCTGCAGTTGCTGCCGCCTAGCTATAACATGATGCAGGAACTGCGGATCACCTTGGTGGAAACGAACTTCACTGAGACGTCAAACGGGACCACGGTCTCTACAGCAACTGTCTCATCCTGGGGAGGACAGGGAGAGCTAGGATGGTGACAGCAGATCTACTCACATAGGTCTCAGTGAGGACAAATGAAGCCGTCTAGGATGATTCAGGCTCGCAGATGTGAAAGCCCCACATAAAAAACAAGAAATGTTTGGTCCTGTCCAGGTTCTGGTCCAAACCCAGATGCATGTCCAACTGTAGGATTGTAAGGTGGCAGTGACTGACACCGTCCACCAGGAGGGGTGGTCCTACGTGAGGCAGAGCCACATTAAGGGAAAGTTGGATAGAAGGAAAAAGTGAGGCAGAAAACAGAAGATTGTCCAGCAGCAGGACTTGGTAACAGCCCGCACTGAAGCTGGTCCAATGAAACGGATCAGACCAGAACACCATAAAGAATCTGCAGACTACTAACAGAGGAAATGCAGCAGAGCCGTTACCCCTAACAGCCTCACAGAGTGATCGACCCAAACTTCCTGGTTCTGAGCTCTAGAGATGAACCCAGAGAGCTCCCTACCTTGTGACATCTGCACACGATGCGCCGTCCTTCCACAGCCGTGTCGATGCTGTAGGCCACGTGGAACAGGAAGACCCGCGGCCCGGTCGACACGCACCTCACAAACACGCACGTCTGCAGCTGGAACCCAACAGAACTCAGCGTCACCAGAACTCCTCGGGGGAGGGGCTGCAGAAGCAGGCGGAGCGTACCTGTTCTCCTGGTTTCAGATCGCCCAGAGGAACCTCGGTGAGCAGAGCCGGGGCGCTGTCGTCACACACGGCCGACCCGTCCAGCGTCACATGGGTGTTCTGACCCAGACCGGCCTCCTGACCTGGAAACACATGCAGAGATGTTCATACGTGGAGAACCAGAGAACCAGCAGGTCTGGTTCTGTTCGCAACCACCTGGTGGTTCATGGCATACCTGGCTTCAGACCGGCGGTGAGCCTAACATCCCTGGCTACAGCGTCCTCCTGTGATTGGACGGTCAGGCCGATGCGGTACATCTCGTTGGACAGAGCAGGAGGCTGGTGGCTCAGCTGGACGCTGATCTTCGGGACCCTGGAGATGATCCTGAGGAACAACAAGGGTTACTGCAGTCGGCCCGCGGGCTGGAGACCACTGGGGAGGGGCGGCCTTACATGGTGCTGTGCTGCAGCGTCACGCTGTCCCAGTCCGGCTCCTGACGGGTCTCGGCGCCCCGCCCCCATCGCCGTGACGACCTGCTGGCCTGCAGGGCTTCCTGAGTGGAGGCGGCATCTCCACCAGCACCTCTCCAGCTCAGGAACACGCAGCGGCCGCCGTCACTGCCCAGCATCACCTCCACACCGGTAATCTGCACAGAGACAGGCTCAGTGACAGACCCCCCCATCTGACGCAGTGACCCCCCCTCCTCTTACCTCCACCTTCCGCCCCACGTCTTCAGTTCTGGCCACAAAGCTGAAGCTGTAGCCTTCAGGTTTCCATGGTGACAGCGTCCTGGTCTCTGGACCCGATGGTTCCACCACACACCACTGGTTGTATTCCTGAAGAGAGACCCACAGGTGGCCCCCAGTCAGAAGCTGGTCCAGGACCAGGAAGAACCCCCACCACACCGGTCTGACTGCCAGCCTGAAGGACACTGCTAGCATGACCCCCCCGTCAGAGGGACGAAGGCGCTTCTAAACCCCCACCACCCACAAGCAGCAGCGGTCCTGGTACCTGGTTGCTGAGGCTGACGCTGAGCTTAGTGAAGGACACAGGGTGCGGACAGTCAGCCCTGAGGAACACCTGCAGCTGGATGGGCTGGTCCACGTGGAAGCTAGGAGACTGGAACCGCGCTTTGCACTGAACTACAGACACAGAAGAAACATTTAAACAGGAAACTCTGATCAAGGAGCCCCGACATCTTTGGTAAACCTGAAATCCTTCATCAAACCTCTGGAAACATCAGATAAACACTGAAACACTCTGGCTCCTGAATATGAAGAATAACCGACCGGCTGATATATTTGGGCTGTTTTACCTTTAGTGAAGCTTTTAGAATGATAAATACTAGTTTCTGAGGAACTGAGGTGAGATCAATCGGCTGTGGTCTGGCTTTAAATGTAGAGAGTGGTGTATGTAGAGAGTAAGGCAGGAAGGATGAGAGGAAGGGCAGCCGGACAGAGGGCCACCATTGCTACTGTCATCAAGTGAGGAAATTTAAAGCTGCCTCTGAATCTCTGCCTTCTGCAGACGGCTGCAGTCCAGCAGTGGCTCGAACTAATCCAGGAGTGTTCACTCACTGAATGGGATGTAGTCCTGCATTTCCACGGTCAGTTCATTGGATCCTGACAAAGCCATGCGGTCGCTCCAAAGCGACCTGGCGGTGCTGACAGAAGACGGATCACACTCTGCCTCAGCCTCTGGAACCTTGTTCTGAAAACAGGAGGAGATGTGGTTGGACATGTTTGGTTAGAGCCCCATGGCTTCAGACTGCTGCCAGGGCAGCAAGGGCAACAACTAAGACAACACAGTGGGGTTAAATGTACGGCTAAGTTTGGGGTTAAACACTCCTGCTACTTACCATTAGCACCTTAAAAAGGTTCTTCTCTATCCTTGACTTCTGCTCCTCCTTCAGGGTAGAAGCTGAAGGACAAAACGTAAGCAGGCAAACTTAGGTCCACTGATGGTTTTTGATCAGGCTGTCCAGTGTCAGTCCTAACAGCAATCTGCCTCTGGTACCTCTGCCCAGCAGCTCCATACAGTAGATGATGTAGTCCTTCACACTGGCCATCAGATAAGCACAGCGCAGCGCCGTGGTCAGTATGGCCGTCAGCAGAGGCCACCATCGCTCTGTGCGATAGTCACACATCACATAGTCCAGCAACCTGAGGAGACCCAAACACAGATGATGAAGAACCTCCTGCAGACAGACCAACCAAACACAGAGGAATAAATAAAGCTGGAGGCTTACTTCAGGGCCTTGGTGTAGTCTTTAGCATGGTAGTATTCCTCTCCCATCTGCACCACTGCAAAGGACAACATAGCAAAGAAAGGCTTAGAGCTAAGCAGGAAGATCCTACATCAGCTGCCAAATCACACAGACTTCTGTTAGGAAGGAAACAAGGTGGTCTGAAGGGAGAGTGGCACTCACTCAGGTGACTCTTCATCCGAGGACACTTGTACTTCTTAAACTGGGCAACAGCATTGCTGAGAAGAGCAATGATCAACTCCTGTGGAGATTAAGAGAGAGATGGCTAGGTGGCGCTATTCACCAGACAGGAACTAAAGTAGCCTAACGAGTCAGAGGCTAGGTGGCGTTATTCACCAGACGGGAGCTAAAGTAGCCTAATGAGTCAGAGGCTAGGTGGCGCTATTCACCAGACAGGAACTAAAGTAGCCTAACGAGTCAGAGGCTAGGTGGCGTTATTCACCAGACGGGAGCTAAAGTAGCCTAATGAGTCAGAGGCTAGGTGGCGTTATTCACCAGACAGGAGCTAAAGTAGCCTAATGAGTCAGAGGCTAGGTGGCGCTATTCACCAGACAGGAACTAAAGTAGCCTAACGAGTCAGAGGCTAGGTGGCGTTATTCACCAGACGGGAGCTAAAGTAGCCTAATGAGTCAGAGGCTAGGTGGCGTTATTCACCAGACGGGAGCTAAAGTAGCTTAACGAGTCAGAGGCTAGGTGGCGCTATTCACCAGACAGGAGCTAAAGTAGCCTAATGAGTCAGAGGCTAGGTGGCGTTATTCACCAGACAGGAGCTAAAGTAGCCTAATGAGTCAGAGGCTAGGTGGCGCTATTCACCAGACGGGAGCTAAAGTAGCCTAACGAGTCAGAGGCTAGGTGGCGTTATTCACCAGACAGGAGCTAAAGTGGCCTAATGAGTCAGAGGCTAGGTGGCGTTATTCACCAGACGGGAGCTAAAGTAGCCTAACGAGTCAGAGGCTAGGTGGCGATATTCACCAGACAGGAGCTAAAGTAGCCTAATGAGTCAGAGGCTAGGTGGCGCTATTCACCAGACAGGAGCTAAAGTAGCCTAATGAGTCAGAGGCTAGGTGGCGTTATTCACCAGACGGGAGCTAAAGTAGCCTAACGAGTCAGAGGCTAGGTGGCGCTATTCACCAGACAGGAGCTAAAGTAGCCTAATGAGTCAGAGGCTAGGTGGCGTTATTCACCAGACGGGAGCTAAAGTAGCCTAACGAGTCAGAGGCTAGGTGGCGTTATTCACCAGACAGGAGCTAAAGTAGCCTAATGAGTCAGAGGCTAGGTGGCGTTATTCACCAGACAGGAGCTAAAGTAGCCTAACGAGTCAGGCTAGGTGGCGTTATTCACCAGACAGGAGCTAAAGTAGCCTAATGAGTCAGAGGCTAGGTGGCGTTATTCACCAGACGGGAGCTAAAGTAGCCTAATGAGTCAGAGGCTAGGTGGCGTTATTCACCAGACGGGAGCTAAAGTAGCCTAACGAGTCAGAGGCTAGGTGGCGCTATTCACCAGACAGGAGCTAAAGTAGCCTAATGAGTCAGAGGCTAGGTGGCGTTATTCACCAGACGGGAGCTAAAGTAGCCTAACGAGTCAGAGGCTAGGTGGCGTTATTCACCAGACAGGAGCTAAAGTAGCCTAATGAGTCAGAGGCTAGGTGGCGTTATTCACCAGACAGGAGCTAAAGTAGCCTAACGAGTCAGGCTAGGTGGCGTTATTCACCAGACAGGAGCTAAAGTAGCCTAATGAGTCAGAGGCTAGGTGGCGTTATTCACCAGACGGGAGCTAAAGTAGCCTAATGAGTCAGAGGCTAGGTGGCGTTATTCACCAGACGGGAGCTAAAGTAGCCTAACGAGTCAGAGGCTAGGTGGCGTTATTCACCAGACGGGAGCTAAAGTAGCCTAACGAGTCAGAGGCTAGGTGGCGTTATTCACCAGACAGGAGCTAAAGTAGCCTAATGAGTCAGAGGCTAGGTGGCGTTATTCACCAGACAGGAGCTAAAGTAGCCTAATGAGTCAGAGGCTAGGTGGCGTTATTCACCAGACAGGAGCTAAAGTAGCCTAATGAGTCAGAGGCTAGGTGGCGTTATTCACCAGACGGGAGCTAAAGTAGCCTAATGAGTCAGAGGCTAGGTGGCGTTATTCACCAGACGGGAGCTAAAGTAGCCTAATGAGTCAGAGGCTAGGTGGCGTTACTCACCAGACGGGAGCTAAAGTAGCCTAACGAGTCAGAGGCTAGGTGGCGTTATTCACCAGACAGGAGCTAAAGTAGCCTAATGAGTCAGAGGCTAGGTGGCGTTATTCACCAGACAGGAGCTAAAGTAGCCTAACGAGTCAGAGGCTAGGTGGGGTTATTCACCAGACGGGAGCTAAAGTAGCCTAATGAGTCAGAGGCTAGGTGGCGCTATTCACCAGACAGGAGCTAAAGTAGCCTAATGAGTCAGAGGCTAGGTGGCGCTATTCACCAGACAGGAGCTAAAGTAGCCTAATGAGTCAGAGGCTAGGTGGCGCTATTCACCAGACAGGAGCTAAAGTAGCCTAATGAGTCAGAGGCTAGGTGGCGTTATTCACCAGACAGGAGCTAAAGTAGCCTAATGAGTCAGAGGCTAGGTGGCGTTATTCACCAGACAAGAGCTAAAGTAGCCTAATGAGTCAGAGGCTAGGTGGCGTTATTCACCAGACAGGAGCTAAAGTAGCTTAACGAGTCAGAGGCTAGGTGGCGCTATTCACCAGACAAGAGCTAAAGTAGCCTAACGAGTCAGAGGCTAGGTGGCGTTATTCACCAGACGGGAGCTAAAGTAGCTTAACGAGTCAGAGGCTAGGTGGCGTTATTCACCAGACGGGAGCTAAAGTAGCCTAATGAGTCAGAGGCTAGGTGGCGCTATTCACCAGACAGGAGCTAAAGTAGCCTAATGAGTCAGAGGCTAGGTGGCGTTATTCACCAGACAGGAGCTAAAGTAGCCTAACGAGTCAGAGGCTAGGTGGCGCTATTCACCAGACAGGAGCTAAAGTAGCCTAATGAGTCAGAGGCTAGGTGGCGCTATTCACCAGACAGGAACTAAAGTAGCCTAACGAGTCAGAGGCTAGGTGGCGTTATTCACCAGACGGGAGCTAAAGTAGCCTAATGAGTCAGAGGCTAGGTGGCGTTATTCACCAGACGGGAGCTAAAGTAGCTTAACGAGTCAGAGGCTAGGTGGCGCTATTCACCAGACAGGAGCTAAAGTAGCCTAATGAGTCAGAGGCTAGGTGGCGTTATTCACCAGACAGGAGCTAAAGTAGCCTAATGAGTCAGAGGCTAGGTGGCGCTATTCACCAGACGGGAGCTAAAGTAGCCTAACGAGTCAGAGGCTAGGTGGCGTTATTCACCAGACAGGAGCTAAAGTAGCCTAATGAGTCAGAGGCTAGGTGGCGTTATTCACCAGACGGGAGCTAAAGTAGCCTAACGATTCAGAGGCTAGGTGGCGTTATTCACCAGACAGGAGCTAAAGTAGCCTAATGAGTCAGAGGCTAGGTGGCGCTATTCACCAGACAGGAGCTAAAGTAGCCTAATGAGTCAGAGGCTAGGTGGCGTTATTCACCAGACGGGAGCTAAAGTAGCCTAACGAGTCAGAGGCTAGGTGGCGCTATTCACCAGACAGGAGCTAAAGTAGCCTAATGAGTCAGAGGCTAGGTGGCGTTATTCACCAGACGGGAGCTAAAGTAGCCTAACGAGTCAGAGGCTAGGTGGCGTTATTCACCAGACAGGAGCTAAAGTAGCCTAATGAGTCAGAGGCTAGGTGGCGTTATTCACCAGACAGGAGCTAAAGTAGCCTAACGAGTCAGAGGCTAGGTGGCGTTATTCACCAGACAGGAGCTAAAGTAGCCTAATGAGTCAGAGGCTAGGTGGCGTTATTCACCAGACGGGAGCTAAAGTAGCCTAATGAGTCAGAGGCTAGGTGGCGTTATTCACCAGACGGGAGCTAAAGTAGCCTAACGAGTCAGAGGCTAGGTGGCGTTATTCACCAGACGGGAGCTAAAGTAGCCTAACGAGTCAGAGGCTAGGTGGCGTTATTCACCAGACAGGAGCTAAAGTAGCCTAATGAGTCAGAGGCTAGGTGGCGTTATTCACCAGACAGGAGCTAAAGTAGCCTAATGAGTCAGAGGCTAGGTGGCGTTATTCACCAGACAGGAGCTAAAGTAGCCTAATGGGTCAGAGGCTAGGTGGCGTTATTCACCAGACGGGAGCTAAAGTAGCCTAATGAGTCAGAGGCTAGGTGGCGTTATTCACCAGACGGGAGCTAAAGTAGCCTAATGAGTCAGAGGCTAGGTGGCGTTACTCACCAGACGGGAGCTAAAGTAGCCTAACGAGTCAGAGGCTAGGTGGCGTTATTCACCAGACAGGAGCTAAAGTAGCCTAACGAGTCAGAGGCTAGGTGGCGTTATTCACCAGACAGGAGCTAAAGTAGCCTAACGAGTCAGAGGCTAGGTGGGGTTATTCACCAGACGGGAGCTAAAGTAGCCTAATGAGTCAGAGGCTAGGTGGCGCTATTCACCAGACAGGAGCTAAAGTAGCCTAATGAGTCAGAGGCTAGGTGGCGCTATTCACCAGACAGGAGCTAAAGTAGCCTAACGAGTCAGAGGCTAGGTGGCGCTATTCACCAGACAGGAGCTAAAGTAGCCTAATGAGTCAGAGGCTAGGTGGCGCTATTCACCAGACAGGAACTAAAGTAGCCTAACGAGTCAGAGGCTAGGTGGCGTTATTCACCAGACGGGAGCTAAAGTAGCCTAATGAGTCAGAGGCTAGGTGGCGTTATTCACCAGACGGGAGCTAAAGTAGCTTAACGAGTCAGAGGCTAGGTGGCGCTATTCACCAGACAGGAGCTAAAGTAGCCTAATGAGTCAGAGGCTAGGTGGCGTTATTCACCAGACAGGAGCTAAAGTAGCCTAATGAGTCAGAGGCTAGGTGGCGCTATTCACCAGACGGGAGCTAAAGTAGCCTAACGAGTCAGAGGCTAGGTGGCGTTATTCACCAGACAGGAGCTAAAGTAGCCTAATGAGTCAGAGGCTAGGTGGCGTTATTCACCAGACGGGAGCTAAAGTAGCCTAACGATTCAGAGGCTAGGTGGCGTTATTCACCAGACAGGAGCTAAAGTAGCCTAATGAGTCAGAGGCTAGGTGGCGCTATTCACCAGACAGGAGCTAAAGTAGCCTAATGAGTCAGAGGCTAGGTGGCGTTATTCACCAGACGGGAGCTAAAGTAGCCTAACGAGTCAGAGGCTAGGTGGCGTTATTCACCAGACAGGAGCTAAAGTAGCCTAATGAGTCAGAGGCTAGGTGGCGTTATTCACCAGACAGGAGCTAAAGTAGCCTAACGAGTCAGAGGCTAGGTGGCGTTATTCACCAGACAGGAGCTAAAGTAGCCTAACGAGTCAGAGGCTAGGTGGCGTTATTCACCAGACGGGAGCTAAAGTAGCCTAATGAGTCAGAGGCTAGGTGGCGTTATTCACCAGACGGGAGCTAAAGTAGCCTAACGAGTCAGAGGCTAGGTGGCGTTATTCACCAGACGGGAGCTAAAGTAGCCTAACGAGTCAGAGGCTAGGTGGCGTTATTCACCAGACAGGAGCTAAAGTAGCCTAACGAGTCAGAGGCTAGGTGGCGTTATTCACCAGACAGGAGCTAAAGTAGCCTAATGAGTCAGAGGCTAGGTGGCGTTATTCACCAGACAGGAGCTAAAGTAGCCTAATGAGTCAGAGGCTAGGTGGCGTTATTCACCAGACGGGAGCTAAAGTAGCCTAATGAGTCAGAGGCTAGGTGGCGTTATTCACCAGACGGGAGCTAAAGTAGCCTAATGAGTCAGAGGCTAGGTGGCGTTACTCACCAGACGGGAGCTAAAGTAGCCTAACGAGTCAGAGGCTAGGTGGCGTTATTCACCAGACAGGAGCTAAAGTAGCCTAATGAGTCAGAGGCTAGGTGGCGTTATTCACCAGACAGGAGCTAAAGTAGCCTAACGAGTCAGAGGCTAGGTGGGGTTATTCACCAGACGGGAGCTAAAGTAGCCTAATGAGTCAGAGGCTAGGTGGCGCTATTCACCAGACAGGAGCTAAAGTAGCCTAATGAGTCAGAGGCTAGGTGGCGCTATTCACCAGACAGGAGCTAAAGTAGCCTAATGAGTCAGAGGCTAGGTGGCGCTATTCACCAGACAGGAGCTAAAGTAGCCTAATGAGTCAGAGGCTAGGTGGCGTTATTCACCAGACAGGAGCTAAAGTAGCCTAATGAGTCAGAGGCTAGGTGGCGTTATTCACCAGACAAGAGCTAAAGTAGCCTAATGAGTCAGAGGCTAGGTGGCGTTATTCACCAGACAGGAGCTAAAGTAGCTTAACGAGTCAGAGGCTAGGTGGCGCTATTCACCAGACAAGAGCTAAAGTAGCCTAACGAGTCAGAGGCTAGGTGGCGTTATTCACCAGACGGGAGCTAAAGTAGCTTAACGAGTCAGAGGCTAGGTGGCGTTATTCACCAGACGGGAGCTAAAGTAGCTTAACGTGTCACAAAGCTAGGTGGCGCTATTTACCAAAGGGAAGCTACTGCAGCAGTTTCACACTCTTTAAGGGAAAGTTGAACCTCTCTGGAGTTTTTTTGCCCCACAACTTATTAGCTAAAATGTACTGTAGGTGTCCCTAAAAACTTATACAGGTGCTGGTCATAAAATTAGAATATCATGAAAAAGTTGATTGATTTCAGTAATTCCATTTAAAAAGTGAAACTTGTATATTATATTCATACATTACATACAAACTCATATATTTCAGATGTTTATTTTGTTTAATTTTGATGATTACAAATGACAACAAATGAAAATCTCAAATTCATCATATCAGAAAATTAGAATATTACTGAAGACCAATAAAAACAAAGGATTTATAGAAATGTTGGCCAACTGAAAAGTATGAACATGAAAAGTATGAGCATGTACAGCACTCAGTATTTAGTTGGGCCTCCTTTGGCCTGTATTACTGCAGCAATGCGGCGTGGCATGGGGTCGATCAGTCTGTGGCACTGCTCAGGTGTTATGATAGCCCAGGTTGCTCTAATAGTGGCTTTTAGCTCTTCTGAATTGTTGGGTCTGGTGTATTGCATCTTCTTCTTCACAATACCCCATAGATTTTCTATGGGGTTAAGGTCAGGAGAGTTTGCTGGCCAATTAAGAACAGGGATACCATGGTCCTTCAACCAGGTACTGGTAGCTTTGGCACTGTGTGCAGGTGCCAAGTCCTGTTGGAAAATGAAATCTGCATCTCCAAAAAGTTGGTCAGCTGCAGGAAGCATGAAGTGCTCTAAAACTTCCTGGTATGTGGCTGCGTTGACCCTGGACCTCAGAAAACACAATGGACCAACACCAGCAGATGACATGGCACCCCAAACCATCACTGACTGTGGAAACTTTACACTGGACTTCAAGCAACGTGGATGAAGTGCCTCTCTTCTTTTCCTCCAGACTCTGGGACCTTGATTTCCAAAGGAAATGCAAAATTTACTTTCATCAGAGAACATGACTTTGGACCACTCACCAGCAGTCCAGTCCTGTTTCTCTTTAGCCCAGGCAAGACGCTTCTGACGCTGTCTGTGGTTCAAGAGTGGCTTGACACAAGGAATGCGACAGCAGAAACCCATGTCTTTCATACGTCTGTGTGTGGTGGTTCTTGAAGCACTCACTCCAGCTGCAGTCCACTCTTTGTGAATCTCCCCCACATTTTTGAAGGGGTTTTGTTTCACAATCCTCTCCAGGGTGCGGTTATCTCTCTTGCTTGTACACTTTTTTCGACCACATCTTTTCCTTCCCTTCGCCTCTCTATTAATGTGCTTGGACACTGAGCTCTGTGAACAGCCAGCCTCTTTAGCGATGACCTTTTGTGTCTTGCCCTCCTTGTGCAAGGTGTCGATGGTCGTCTTTTGGACAACTGTCAAGTCAGCAGTCTTCCCCATGATTGTGTAGCCTATAGAACTAGACTGAAAGACCATTTAAAGGCTTTTGCAGGTGGTTTGAGTTAATTAGCTGATTAGAGTGTGGCACCAGGGGCCATCAATTTTGAACCTTTTCACAATATTCTAATTTTCTGATATGATGAATTTGAGATTTTCATTTGTTGTCATTTGTAATCATCAAAATTAAACAAAATAAACATCTGAAATATATGAGTTTGTATGTAATGTATGAATATAATATACAAGTTTCACTTTTTAAATGGAATTACTGAAATCAATCTACTTTTTCATGATATTCTAATTTTATGACCAGCACCTGTATGATGACTTGGTTAAGTTCTTTAACCATGATAGTGACCTCTACAGTGGAAAGAAAGCAGAAACTTCCTAAACCCACCTGGAAAATAAAAACATTCAGCCGGTATTTTCTTACCGAGTGGGGGACGTCTCTCTCTTTAATCTGCAGAGCCAGAATCCCCATCTTCTCCTTCTCTGGATCAGTTGGATCAATACCTGTAAACAACAACAACCATCTTTAATCTGAGCGCTGCTAGCATCTTAGTCTGTTATATAACTTCTTTGGAATACCGCTGTTACCGAGTGAGGACCACAAACAGGTGGTTGCTTCGCTGGCTTTCTACAGTAGTATAGGCTCTTTGTGGCAGACTAATAAATTGTCACTCTTTTAGAAACTGAGAATGATCTTATCTGTGGCCTTTTGGAGATCAAGAATGTCCCAATCCAATATTAATATTGGATATCGGTCTGATTTTAGCCCAAAAAATTGTTGTTGACGATTGTTCTCTTTTATTAAAATCACTTGATAAAGGCTTTTCTAACATTCAACAGTACAAAATAAGTAAGAAAAGTATGTATGATCTGTGCTGATATCCTATTGCTATCGATCAAATCTTAAAGCTGCAGTAGTGTTATCGGAAATGAAAAGGTTGTATTGGGACACCCCTAGTGAAGACAGATGATAGACTAGACCAACAACAGTTTAAAACTCCATTAAGAAACCAATTCAAATTTCTACAACTTTAAAGCTAGATACAGAGAAATAAAAGATAAATCTAAACGTATTCCATGCATTGCTGTCAAAGTCAATCCAGAACACAGTGGATCAGAGGATGAAAGTTCTAGGTGGGCAAGATCACAGAATCTGTCGCTGATCCAGCTCCAGTTCCTCAGGGGAAGAACATACTCTGGTGTCCTTGTCTCCAGGGCCTCTGGCCGTAGAAGTCCAGTCCTCCACTCTGGGTGTCCAGAGGGTCAGGGGAAGGGTAGGTGGTTCCAGCCTGGACACAAAGGATCCAAACAGTTCCTCAGATGAGCTTAGAACGATCAAACAGCAATTAATAACGTGCAGAGTGGATTTTTCGCACAGGGTCTTACCTGGCAGAGCTGCTGGGCCATCTGCTTCCGGTCCTGGCTGTAGCAGGCGGCCTGCTGGTAATAGAAACCTGGGTTCTGGGTCTGGATGGCGGTCAGACCCAACTTTATCGCCTCATCGAACAGCTCGCCGAAAGACTGGAACCTGTTAGGAAGCAGAAACCCGACCTGAGAACCAGACACCCAGCCGCGCTCGCCTCCAGCTCTGATGATACCTTAGACTGTGATAACAGTTCGCCCTCACACACCGCCTTCTAACCTCATTACTGACATCACAAAGAGTCACACGCTCTGACAGGAGGTCAACAGAGCATCAGATGTTCTGAGGCAGACGCTCTGCTCTGTCATTACTCATCAAAGGGGACTGATACTAAAAAGGTGAACAGGTAAGTATTCAGATTACTGAGGCCTCATGGTGTGTTCAAGTGCAGCGTGTTTCTCACTGTTTAGACATCCACGCCGAGTGCTCAAAGGCCAGCTCAGCACTGCCGATCTTCTTCTTACACAGGTCGATGTGCTTCCTGAACTGAGCTATAGCGTCCAGAGGCGTGTTGTGCTGGAAACACAGACGGCAGATCTGCAGAGACACAGAGAGAGAGGTGAGACCAGGGGCTGGGCAGACGCTGACCGCGAGGCGGACCACTGGGTCAGAGCAGGCAGGAGTAAAGGTCTGCAGCTTCATGCTGACCTCTGAGCAGGTGACCTGGGAGCAATGGTTTAGTAAGCCTCTTCCAGCTCCCCAAGACCCAGAGGAGCAGAGACTAACCTTATAGTTGATGAATCCTGCCATGGTTTTGATCTCCAGCATGTTGGTCTCATGGGCTCTGAGCTCATGCACCAGACTGTACGCAGCTCTGTAGTACCTGCAGCCACAGAGGAGAAGATCAGAGCTAGCTACAGTCCTTAGCCTTAACCGTCACTTTATGGTCTGTTCTAGGAAACATCAGGGGCTCAGATCCGATCAGCAGCCCCACAGGAAGCAGGAAGGATCATTTCACATCACACATGGAACCAAACCCACTCCATCCCCCGTCCACCACCCCCTAACTACCACTGAGGCCCCCCTCAGTGTGGACGCCACCTGGATAGAAGGTGGGGGTCTAAACTGGAATGGGACACCCTCTGCCCTCCTACGGAAATAAAAAGCAGTCGTTGGTATGGCAACCAGCCTCTTTGTGTGTGGCTGTAGCTCTGTGTTGCAGCTGGACATGAAATCAAAGCTTTGCCCTTCTCTTAAAAATACATTTCTGCATTCAAATCAAACATTTCAAAGAGCATCTTCCCCTCAGGGATCAATGGCGTCTTTTTATTTTTCCCAAACCAACATTGAAATGCCAGTGTTTCCAGGGCTAACCTTTAACCCGTCTGCAGCAGCCAGGGCTAACGTTAGCCCGTCCGCAACAGTCAGTGCTAATGTTAGCCCATCTGTGGAAGGCAGGGCTAATGTTAGCCTGTCCGCAGCAGTCAGCCCTAACGTTAGCCCGTCCGCAACAGGCAGGGCTAATGTTAGCCCATCTGTTGCAGGCAGGGCTAACGTTAGCCCTTCTGCAGCAGTCCTCTCTCTGCATAGCCGTGTGTGAAGGACCTCTGGTTATGATGGAGGTTTGATTGTTTTATTTGGCAAAATGTTCGTTTGATTTGTGTTTATCTGACTGTGTTCATTATTATTCCCCCACTAAATGAAAAAAGTCATACTTTATCATTATCTAGAGACTATTAATAACAGGTGAAATGCAGCTCCAGACTAGCTTTGAATATGGTTATGTCATCAGTACGCTTCTGTTCCAGTTGATCCAGATTTATTCTGCGTGCTCCCGTTCACCCCGAGTCCAGATTTTAATACTTTCGTACAATAATTTCATTATTTATGATGAACTGGATGGATATCTGCTTGCACATATGCAAATAATGCTTTGCGAGGAGAGCACTCCGTGCAAAGCATAATTGTCTTTACCTGATCCATCCTGGAAGAACGATCCATAACATCAACTCAACCAGATATACAACCAGGTTTTAATAAATCATGTAATCATGGTACTAGAAATACTTATTTTTATCCTTAACTCACAAAAGAATGCCAATACAAAGCCATAAAAAATATTTACTGACTTTTATGAGACAATTTGATGTTTTTTTATATTTTCTGTTTAACTGCTTGTCTGACGTCATCATGGGACATGCTCAGAACTCCTGCTAAATATGATGAAAACTATAAACTATATACCATAATGTTAAAACGAAAGGAAAACAAAGACTAGATTAATGTTTAGATCCAAAGCTGATAAAGTTAGCTCCAGGAAGTAGCATAGCATCCTATTTCACGTACAGATCGGGAACAGAGGGATAAAACAGAAAGGATTTTAATGTATTTATTTTCTCAGGAAATACATCATTAACGTTTAACACATTATAGTTTAGTACGCTCACTAGTATTAAGGGGAGAAAAAAGTAATTTAGGTCTTTTTTACAAAATAAAATGAAGTGTGATCCAGATTGATTTCTGGTTGATGATGAGCTGATGGGACGGATAGGGTAGTGACAGTGATCACTATCTTTCAAGGTGCATTGTGGGAAATTTGGAGACCGCTACTTTTTCATCCACTAGACGTTTGGACAGTCAGTTAAACTGGCATAACCACTATATAGGACCCAATATAGGGATCAGGGCGAACATTTGGACACAGCCAGTATTTAAGGGCTGAAGGGTCTACTGGTTTGGCCCTTAATGTGGCAGAACCTCCATGGACCTTGGGTTGGTGTTTAGTGGCCGGTTTGGGCCAGGGCCCTACACAACCAGGGCCAACTGTAATTGGGCGGGGCTTGGTTTAGCCCTACAGCAAGAAAGTTTAGCATTTTTAACAGCATCAGGAATAAAACTTACTTGAGAGCGTTCTGGGTGTCCTGCTTCAGCTCACTGAGGAACGCCATTTTAAACTGGTGTCGGACAAACAGCAGCTGCCCTCAGCAACAGCAGTAGGAAACACAGAAAGGAGAACAATACTGGGGGTGAGAACCATTAAACACGCCAGACTTTACAGATCCAGGGGCCTGAGACACCCCCAGAACCACTTCAGGCACCAGGAACAAATCTGGGACGGTTTACCCCGGCCGGACCATGGAAGGAATCACCTTCTCAGGGAGGGAGGACTATAGGGAAGGAAGGAAGGATTGAAGGGAGGGAGCACTATAGGGAAGGAAGGAAGGATTGAAGGGAGGGAGCACTATAGGGAGGGAGGGAGGAAGGAAGGAAGGAAGGAAGGAAGGAAGGAAGGAAGGAAGGAAGGAAGGAAGGAAGGAAGGAAGGAAGGAAGGAAGGAAGGAAGGAAGGAAGGAAGGAAGGAAGGAAGGAAGGAAGGATAAAGCATCCCGGCAACCAAGACAGGAAGAAAGTTTGTAAACAAACTTTCTTCCCTGCCTGTTTTCTTTCTCCATCCTTATCGACACTGATTAGAAATAAAATGCCATATTTTCCCAGAATCCTTTGAGGCCCCGTTCATCCCATAGGAGCTGTGATGTTTTAGAAACGTTACAGAGTGGAGCTAAGCTGAGGGAGGTTGAATATTTTAGAAAGATGGTGGGTGGGCCTTCCTACCTGGTGAGTTGTCTTGTTGAGGAACTCTTTATGGGATTTGACCCGTCGGATCTCTGTGTAGTAGTACGTCTGAGCGTGTTCATAGAATGCGTTCTCCAGCCTTTAAGGGACATCAGAAACACACCATGATAGCTCGCATTCCCCCTGGACAGACCCCTCCGCGTTCTAATATGCATACCTGATGATGTAGCCGACCAGGTGGTCAGTGTGAGGCAGAACAAACAGGCTCTTGCCGGACAGATCACAGGAGTTACAAAGAGCTGAAGCTCGCTCTGATGCCACCAGATCCTCCCCTGAGGACACATGAAGGGAAGATCAACAACTGAACACAGTTAACAGTTCAAAGCTCTAAATCCTTCCACGGGTGTGGTCCTAAGTAAAGCACTGAAGGTTCAAATTGGACTGGGACCAAATGAGAAAGAGTTCTAGGGGTGTGAATAATTTAAATTACTCAGTTTTTCACTGAAGAGAATAATTACCTGGAGGGAGAGGAGTCTTCTTTTGAATTAAAACCACCGCCACTTTGGTGTTCCTGCCCTGAAGACTGGTCCTAAAGACAAAGCATAGAACTACTAAGCTAAGCAAAGCTAACCACTGTAAGCTAACAGTGCAGAGCTAACCACTGTAAGCTAACATAGCAAAGCTAACTACTATAAGCTAACATAGCAAAGCTAACCACTGTAAGCTAACAGAGCAGAGCTAACCACTGTAAGCTAACAGTGCAGAGCTAACCACTGTAAGCTAACAGTGCAGAGCTAACCACTGTAAGCTAACATAGCAAAGCTAACTACTATAAGCTAACATAGCAAAGCTAACCACTGTAAGCTAACATAGCAAGGCTAACTACTATAAGCTAACACATTAGGGCTAACTACTGTATGCTAACACAGCACAGCTATTGTATGATAACACAGCAGAGCTAACTACTGTATGCTAACACAGCACAGCTATTGTATGCTAACACAACAGAGGTAACTACTGTATGCTAACACAGAGAGCTAACTATGGTAAACTAACATAGCAGAACTAACTACTGCATGCAAGCAAAGCAGAGCTAACTACTGTATGCTAACACAGCCGAGCTAACTACTGCATGCAAGAAAAGCAGAGCTAACTACTGTATGCTAACACAGCAGAGCTAACTACTGCATGCAAGCAAAGCAGAGCTAACTACTGTATGCTAACACAGCAGAGCTAACTATGGTAAACTAACATAGCAGAACTAACTACTGCATGCAAGCAAAGCAGAGCTAACCACTGTATGCTAACACAGCACAGCTATTGTATGCTAACACAACAGAGCTAACTACTGTATGCTAACACAGAGAGCTAACTATGGTAAACTAACATAGCAGAACTAACTACTGCATGCAAGCAAAGCAGAGCTAACTACTGTATGCTAACACAGCAGAGCTAACTACTGCATGCAAGCAAAGCAGAGCTAACTACTGTATGCTAACACAGCAGAGCTAACTACTGCATGCAAGCAAAGCAGAGCTAACTACTGTATGCTAACACAGCAGAGCTAACTACTGCATGCAAGCAAAGCAGAGCTAACTACTGTATGCTAACACAGCAGAGCTAACTATGGTAAAGTAATACAGCAGAGCTAACTACTGCATGATAACAAAGCAGAGCTAACTACTGCATGCAAGCAAAGCAGAGCTAACTACTGTATGCTAATACAGCAGAGCTAACTATGGTAAACTAACATAGCAGAACTAACTACTGCATGCAAGCAAAGCAGAGCTAACTACTGTATGCTAACACAGCACAGCTATTGTATGCTAACACAACAGAGCTAACTACTGTATGCTAACACAGAGAGCTAACTATGGTAAACTAACATAGCAGAAGTAACTACTGCATGCAAGCAAAGCAGAGCTAACTACTGTATGCTAACACAGCAGAGCTAACTACTGCATGCAAGAAAAGCAGAGCTAACTACTGTATGCTAACACAGCAGAGCTAACTACTGCATGCAAGCAAAGCAGAGCTAACTACTGTATGCTAACACAGCAGAGCTAACTACTGCATGCAAGCAAAGCAGAGCTAACTACTGTATGCTAACACAGCAGAGCTAACTACTGCATGCAAGCAAAGCAGAGCTAACTACTGTATGCTAACACAGCAGAGCTAACTACTGCATGCAAGCAAAGCAGAGCTAACTACTGTATGCTAACACAGCAGAGCTAACTACTGCATGCAAGCAAAGCAGAGCTAACTACTGTATGCTAACACAGCAGAGCTAACTATGGTAAAGTAATACAGCAGAGCTAACTACTGCATGATAACAAAGCAGAGCTAACTACTGCATGCAAGCAAAGCAGAGCTAACTACTGTATGCTAACACAGCAGAGCTAACTATGGTAAACTAACATAGCAGAACTAACTACTGCATGCAAGCAAAGCAGAGCTAACTACTGTATGCTAACACAGCACAGCTATTGTATGCTAACACAACAGAGCTAACTACTGTATGCTAACACAGAGAGCTAACTATGGTAAACTAACATAGCAGAACTAACTACTGCATGCAAGCAAAGCAGAGCTAACTACTGTATGCTAACACAGCAGAGCTAACTACTGCATGCAAGCAAAGCAGAGCTAACTACTGTATGCTAACACAGCAGAGCTAACTACTGCATGCAAGCAAAGCAGAGCTAACTACTGTATGCTAACACAGCAGAGCTAACTATGGTAAAGTAATACAGCAGAGCTAACTACTGTATGATAACAAAGCAGAGCTAACTGCTGTATGCTAACACAGCAGAGCTAACTGCTGTATGCTAACACAGCAGAGCTAACTACTGCCTGCTAACAAAGCAGAGCAAACTATATGCTAACACAGCACATCTAATGTATGCTAACACAGCAGAGCTAACTACTGTATGCTAACACAGCAGAGCTAACTATGGTAAAGTAATACAGCAGAGCTAACTACTGCCTGCTAACAAAGCAGAGCTAACTACTGTATGCTAACACAGCAGAGCTAACTATGGTAAAGTAATACAGCAGAGCTAACTACTGCCTGCTAACAAAGCAGAGCAAACTATATGCTAACACAGCACATCTAATGTATGCTAACACAGCAGAGCTAACTACTGTATGCTAACACAGCAGAGCTAACTACTGTATGCTAACACAGCAGAGCTAACTACAGTTCTCACCTGACGATCTCTACTCTAGTTGCACATTCTGACTGTTTCTCTTTCCACTGTGGGTCGTCCCAGTCCAGCTCGTAGAACAGAACCACCAGAGCCGGGACCAGGTTTAGGTGTTTATTCATCCAGCCGGTCTTCAGGATGCCTTTAGGGATGTACCACTCGTATGACGTTCTCTGAACACAGAGGAGAAATATTTACAGTAGCTCAGAAAATTAGCATCTTCTTTTCTTCCAGATGTTGGTGTCTCAATCAGCAGATGTTAAAGAGGTTTCTTCGGTCGAACACTAGAACTCCCAGACTTCTGATCCTACAACTCCCACTGCCACCTTACCCAATGAAATGCAAGAGTAGTGATGATGTCATTGACATCAAATAGTTCTAGCACGTGTAAACTTTAAAACAGGTCTAATATAGATTTTAAAGGCTGCATTATACAATAATATTTTTTAAAATTTGTATTAAAATAAATCAGTGAAATAAATAAGAATGTTTTACTACACAGGTTCAAAGTTTTAAATTATAATTTCATCTATTTATCATTTTTTATTATTCTTGATTTGGTTACCAAGGTAGCGGCCAAGAACGGCTCCCCTCGACAATTTCCCAATTATGCCGCTTAAAACGATACAAACTAGACATCAAACCCGCATCTATGATCGCAAACACCTGCTGGAGCTACGATCACAAAAGGTTTTAAATACTTTTTGACCGTTTAAAAAGCTGCGGGGTGCTTAAGAGAAAACCCGACCAACCACCGCTTCCATCTGTCCTGCTCTCCAACATCCGCTCGTTGGAAAACGAAATGGATGATCTCCGACTCGATATGTAGCTGCTGCGCCATCATTCTGACGAGGTCTTTGCTGCATCCAGCAGTACCTGACAAGGCTGTTAGCCTGGAGGTGCTAACGCTATACCGATCGATAGAATCAAAGAGCTCTGCGTGACCGGAGGCTCCTCTGAGACTGCTCTCAGGATCTAGAGGGGAAGCACTGCCCTCTGCAGGTAAAAATGAGAAGCGCACTCTAGATGCTTCCCTGCCAAATGTTGAAACATCCCCAGCCAGCTCCTCCCATCCCCCTCTGGCTTCCACACCTTCTCCAGCATCGTCTGTTGCTGCTAAACCTGCCGATGGAACCAAGGCTGCTTCAACCACGTCAGCCTCTTTAACCCAGGGGCTACCACCCTCACAGCATCGTCACCATCGTCCTCTTCCTCCCCTGAGCCAGGAGAAGCGAGTGCTTCAGGAGCTGGAGGCAGTAGTAGCAGCTCAACAACAACCGATGGGTGAAGCCCAGGAAACAGGCCCCTAATGCTCCAGCATCAGATCCTCTTCCTCCAGGATAAAATCCCATTTGGATGCTAAGATCATATCCAGATCCGTCTGACATCACTGCTGCCAAGCAAACATGAATGATGCGCATTCCATACCTAGATATAGTGACCTGATATCACAATGTGTTTTTATCAATGCTGCTTACCTTATCAAGGCTGCACTTTAAAAATTAAATTGTCTAAACGAAATTTCTTTTACAAAATGACTAAATAAATCTGTCTAAGTCTATTTAGAGAAATTGATTGATTCCCGCAAACATTTCCACTTTTTCACATTTATAACAGACATCATACGAGCGTTTTTTGTGAGTGCTGGAGCTCCTGGTTCTGTTCTCTTTGCCTCGCCAAAGCTGTTCTACTGCGGGGGAGGGGCTGGTAACCTGTGGAGAGCATGAGGTCGGCACTCAAACGTTTTACCAGTTCAAGGATAAAATCTGTGTGTGAGACGGTGGCGTTCAAACAGCTCCTGAACGATCATAAAATCCAGCCACAGGCCACCTTAGCGTTGAAGCTTTTACAGAATCCTTTCTAATCATCTGATCTAACGCATCCAGGCAGACCTGTGTGTGATCATAGCAGCCCAGGGGCTCTGGTTTGGCTTTGGGCCGCTGAGTGGACCGGCTGAGGTGTGGGCAGCGCTATGCTAACCTGGAAGAAAAGTTTCCCCTCTAAGCCTGAATCACTATCATCCATATTCTGAAGCATTTCTAAAGCCTGTTTCTCTGTTAGAAGTCAACAGTTTCAGATTTTTCTAGGTAGAATGTTGGTTGCTAGGCAACTAATAGACCCGTCAAATGACGGCTGTGGGAGATTGAGGTAAAATCAACCATATTTATTTTTTAGGTTTTTATTTTATTAAAAAATAAAAAGGAAATATAGAAACAGGAAATGTCAGTGAACATGATGAGCAACATAAGATTAATGGAAATAAAATTATTTCACTTTAAAATCTCAGAACCAGTCTTGGGAGTTCCATTGTTAAAGAGGTTGTTGAAAGGTATTTAGATTAATTGGGAAATTTCATTATATTACTTTCATTGAAAAACAGTCAATAGTTGTGGTTAAGTATGGTAGTCAGATCCAGACCAGTCTGGGTTCCAGACAGTGGGAGGTTCTGTTGGAATAAACAAAACCCTGACAGGGCAGCAGGTGTTCCGCTTTAATCCAACATTATTTATCCGAGCTGTTATAGGCCGCCATGTTTTAGCTCTGATCAGAAGTCAGCATGCAGACTGCTGTTAGCCACTAAACGCTTCCCTCAGGTCACTGCTCACCTTAGTGCGACATTTGGGATACTCGTGGTCTCCTGGAAGAACCTTAAAGGAGATGGGCACTCTGTCCGCGCGGCGATTGGCACAGAACGCGTCCCAGATGGCCCGATGCACGGCGTTGTAGATCACATCCAGTCCGGTCAAAGCCACGAAGGCCATGGGCCGACAGCACAGCTCTGGGGGGAGTTCCCACTGAGATCCTGCCATCATGAAGCTTCAACAGACAGACCTACAGAGGAGCAACACACCATTACAGGCAAACAGCTGCTCATACAGAACCATCTTCAATGGATGCAGTAAATAGCTGAGCTTCAGCAGGTCATTCTGCAGCTGCTCAGTCCTTTATTTACCACCACAGAGGATCTGAGATAGTAACAAACTTAGCTAGAAAATCATGGACCAGCATTGATGGATCATCAAAACTAAGCCCCTCCCCTAAAAAACCATTGTTACATCAACCAGCACCTGGAGGACTGCTCTCACCTGCAAATAATACGTAGAACGAGCTTATCATCATTTCAGAGGACAAAAAAAGGAAGTTATCTGCCTTTTGTTTCCAGGCAGAATAAACCAAATTGTTATTTAAACAGGAAAACTACCTAATTAATGGGCTGTTACCAGTTTGTTATTTGACATTCAATAGTAAAAATGAGGAAAAGTCAACAAGAATCCTTTTGAAATCCATCCATCCATTTTCTGACACGCTTCATCCCTGCTGGGGTGGTGAGGGGTGCTGGTGCCTATCTCCAGCTGCCCGTGGGTGAGAGGTGGGGTCCACCCTGGACAGAGAGGTGGGGTGGACAGAGAGAGGCAGGATGGACAGAGAAGCGGGGTCCACCCTGGACAGAGAGGCAGGATGGACAAAGAGGCAGGATGGACAGAGAGGCGGGGTCCACCCTGGACAGAGAGGCAGGATGGACAGAGAGAGGAGGGGGAGACAGATAGAGGATGGGGAGACAGAAAGAGGATGGGGAGACAGAGAGAACAGGGATGGACAGAAAGAGGTGGGGTCCACCCTGGACAGAGAGGTGGGGTGGACAGAGAGAGGCAGGATGGACAGAGAAGCGGGGTCCACCCTGGACAGAGAGGCAGGATGGACAAAGAGGCAGGATGGACAGAGAGGCGGGGTCCACCCTGGACAGAGAGGCAGGATGGACAGAGAGAGGAGGGGGAGACAGATAGAGGATGGGGAGACAGAAAGAGGATGGGGAGACAGAGAGAAGAGGGATGGACAGAAAGAGGTGGGGTCCACCCTGGACAGAGAGGTGGGGTGGACAGAGAGGCAGGATGGACAGAGAGAGGAGGGGGAGACAGAGAGAGGATGGAGAGACAGAAAGAGGATGAGGAGACAGAGAGAGCATGGGGAGACAGAGAGAGGATGGGGAGACAGAGAGAGGGAGGATGGACAGAGAGAGGCGGGGTGGACAGAGAGAGGTGGGGTCCACCCTGGACAGAGAGGTGGGGTGGACAGAGAGGCAGGATGGACAGAGAGAGGAGGGGGAGACAGAGAGGATGGGGAGACAGAGAGAGGATGGGGAGACAGAGAGAGGCAGGATGGACAGAGAGAGGCGGGGTCCACCCTGGACAGGTCTCCAGTCCATCGCAGGGCAACACAGAGACAAACAACCATTCATACACACACCTAAGCAGGATTTAGAGAAGCCAATTATTTCAAATCCAATCATTCCAAATAAGTTATTAGCCCATCAACAGTTTTATGGTTTTAAGTTTAAACATTTAAACAGATCTCTGTCTGCTGGCTACTCCTGTCTTTTAGGTTTAAATTATTTACAATCTAATCTAAAATCTTAATCTCTAGGACTTAATATAAATTACAATAAATAAATAGCAGCTAAAAATGCTACTGTATTTCTACACTTGATGTGACACTTAATTTGATGGAATACAGGACTTCAAGAGGAAATATTGGCATAAACAGACCAGGTCACGAGACCTGGAGGTTAGCCTAGCTGCTAACAGTGACAGGTCTGAAGCCAAGCCCGGCTAACAGCAACCACCGCCTCTACAGGCAACGACAGCCGCATAAAACATCGCAGAACCGCTGGGAGACGCCGGTGGCATTAGCTTCACATCATATAAAAAAGGAAGAAGCTTAAATCTTAATACGAAAGCGGAACCAGGAAGCTAACCAGGCTAGGCTAACACTGCAGCCTGCGGTCATTCCGAATAAAGAAAATAAATTAACACACAGATATACTCTACAAATGAGCAGAAAGGTCCTCTGGGGGGCAAATACCTCAAAGGCATCCCTTTAGGTGACAGCAGGTTCAGGCTGAGCTTAATGCACTGAAGCGGGGAAGCTAGCTGAGCTGCTGGGCGAGGCACCGAGCTTCAACCGGAGGCTGTCCGTCTCTGCTGCGGCTTCAAACCTGCTCTGCTGAACACCACGAAGCTCATCACCTCCACCTTCACCTCCACCACACAGAAAGATAACAGCCAAGTTAGCCTGCGGAGGCAGCTGAAACAACAACAAACTCCACAGCTAGTCAGCGACCTCCGGGAAACTTTCACTTCCGGTTCAACTCAAAATAAAAAAAGCAAGTTCAGAAAAATGTAACAAGAAAAGGAAAATTTTGATAAACGTAAAAGACAAAGTGAGGAGTAAATGAAACATATATAGATAGCTTAATTAAGAATTTATTGTATTAAAAAGTCCAAATTCTGTCAGTAATGTTTAAAGGACCGGAAGTGGGTTAGAACCAGCAGATGGCTGGAGGGGGATGAGTCGTTTATAAAAAACGGGTTGGTGGATGGAAAAACAAGTCAGGTAGATGAGGACGAGGACGATGAGGAAGGCTGGACAGCAGCCTGAAACATTATAAACGTAGACGCCTCATTGGACGCTGGATGACGTGCCTAGAAGGCGGCCATCTTGGATCAGACCACAGTTCAGATAGCTGCTGTCAGAATGAACAGGAGGCGCCTTGGATCGCATTTTAATAACACTAAAGACGAGTCAGAGATATTACCATAACATGTCACAACCCCTTAAAAGACCAAAACTAATTCTAAAATTACCCTTTTTAGTTAGATTACACAGATTATTCAGATTAAAACCTATTTAAACTGAACTCAAACTAGATGAGATATAAGGAAATATATAGTTATATATATAGGCTATTTAGCAAATAAATATTAATATGATAAACACAAAGTTTTATATGAATATATTTAAAATTATATTTTAATGTTATATTCAAACAGAACTTTATTATTATTTAGTATTTTAGAGGATTGGTCTTTGATAATGAGTATTAGGATCTATAGAGTAAAATATATTTATATATTTATATTTGTGATTGTCAATACTATTTTGTCAAATCATAGTGAATTGTAAATCTATCTTGTGTCTAACTAAAGGCTTTTTGTCCTTACAAGTTTGTCTAAACTTCTTCCGAAACTCTTTTTCAAACTATATTTTTTATCATTATTGCTGCATATGGTCTTTCATCAGTTAATGTGTGTGTGTATATATATAAATAAAAAAAAAAAAAAAAAAAAAAAAAAAAAATATAAATATATATATATATATATATATATATATATATATATATATATATATATATATATATATATATATATATATAAACAAAGATGGAACAATAAACAATCATTTTGTGGTTTGCTCACATTGCAAGAAGGACGTTTCGTTTCACTTAAATACCATCTTCACACTAAGCATTCATTTGTAGGGGCTTCAACTTCAGGTGTTACACCTGTCATACGTCAGACCACCCTCACAGAGCGCAGGGCATCTGACAGACAAAACTGCCAGATGGATAGCCAAGGACTGTAGACTGATTAATATTGTCGAGGACACGGGCGTCGCAGAAGTTTTGAAAGTCGCAACTTTAGACGCATTTTACAAGCCACCATCAAGAGGCACAGAGATGAATAAAACAACAAACTTTATGAGGCTAAAAAGGAAAGGTAGGAAGAGAATTTGGCTTCAGCTCAATATGTTGCTTTGATAGGAGACCACTGGACCTTCGCGGGTAACAATGATTATCTGGGTGTGACGGCGCATCACATCACTGAAACCTGTGAACTCAAGCCATTTGCTTTTACCGTAATTAAATCAGAAGAGCGTCACTTCGCAGAGGTATGTGCTCAACAGTTTCAAACCCTGGCACACAAGTGGAAAATTTAATGAAAAATAACTATAGGGACGGACAGTATGACAGCTGCGTCTAAACTGCTGCCATATGAGCACATGCCCTGCATCGCTCACATGCTGCAGAGGAGCATCAACGTGAGCCTCTCCAATAGAGGATTTACGAATGTATTGGCCAAGTGTCGCAAAATTGTGGATCTCATCAGACACAGCGCCACAGACACCATGGAGCTTAAAACACACTAAGCGGCTTTGGGGCAGCAGCAGGAGCCACTGATCCAACATGTGTCAGCGCTATGGAATTCCACGCTGGAAATGATCAAGCGCCTGAACCGCAATAAAGCAGCAATTAAAGCAACCCTGGACCAACAACGCCACAAACTGTTTATCCTGGCGGCATCAGAATGGGACAAACTGCAGAGACTGAGCACGCTTCTAGAGCCGTGCAGGTAAGGAATGCACATATAATGTGCTAATTGAAAATTAAATTGAATTGATCATGCACAAATTAAAAATAACTGATTTACAAGCATACCAACTGATGTTCAAATATCTTGTGTGTTTGTGTATGTTATTTTACTGCAGGTATGTAACTGAGATTCTGGGTGGAGAGGCCTTTATCTCCTGCTCAGTAGTACTGCCTGCCCTCCGCCACCTGCGTCAGTGATGAAGGTCTCTGAAGCAGACCCTGCATATGTGGCGAGCTTTAAGACAATCTTCATGGAATACATTGCCTCCCGCCAAGAAAATACTGACAATGCATGACTCAAGCTTGCAACCGCTCTGGATCCACGTTTTAAAGACTTAAAGAGTCTGCCCAAGAGTGAAAGGGAAGAAGTGTGGACCTCACTTGGAGGCATGCTTCATGAACATTCACCCAGAAGGTCTTTGCTGACTTCTCAAGATGGACCACCCAGGAAGAAAATTCCCCTTCTATAGATGGGCTCAGATTCAGAGTCAGATGAAGAGGTGCAACCTGGCAGAGACATACACACATACAGAGCAGAGCCAAGCATAAGTATGGAGGTCTGCCCTATGCAGTGGTGGGCTGCTCATTCAGGAGCACATGACAAGCTGGCCCTGTTTGCCCGCAAATATCTAGCAACTCCACGGTTCCATGTGAACGACTCTTTTCAGTCGCTGGCCATATTGTTCAGAAGAAACGGTCTGCTTTACGTTCAGAAAATGTTAACCAGTTAGTTTGCCTTAGCAACTGGCTAAAAGATGAATAAATAAAAGGTAAAACGACCATATGGCCAGTATCTTTGCTATTCCTGGAACTGCACTGTTCTGGACCCAGATGTCTGATGTATTTCCAGGGATATGCTGTAACCACTTCTCCAGTTTGGGGGTCACTGCCTGGAGGGCCCAATGACTACGGGTACCAGTGATGCCTTGACCGTCCAGGTTTTCTCCAGCTCTTCTCTGAGCCCCTGGCATTTCTCTAGTTTCTCATGTTCCTTTTTCCTGATGCTGCAGTCACTTGGTATCGCTATTGCAACCACAACAGCTTTCCTCTGTTTTTTTCAAACCACCAACACAATGTGTGGTTGGTTTGCCATTACCATTCGATCCATCTGTATCTGGAAGTCCTACAGGATCTTGGCTTGATCGTTCTCTACCATCTTTGGAGTTGTTTCCCGCTTTGAGCTTGGGGTTTCCAGCCCATACTCTACACAGAAGTTCCTGTAGACTATTCCAGCCACTTGGTTATGGCGCTCCATGTAAGCTTTCCCTGGCGCAGGCAGAGAGGCGAAAGAAGCGTTGCAGAAGATGGACTGTACACCTTTTGAATGTCCCGAGAGAAACTGGGGAATTTACCACACTTGTGACTACCGATGAGAGACGACGAGGAATATTTCAAGTACTTCAGGATGTCCGTGTGTCAGTTTGACGAGCTTGTTCGCCGTCTACAACCCCTCATCCACCACCAAACGACACACAGTTCACCCGTGAGTGTTCCTGAAAGACTGGCCAGGGCACTGCATGTTTTAGCTTGGGGTGCAAACCAACAGACTGTCGCACAGAGCTACAAACTAGCATCCTGCACGGTGTCTGGGATAGTGTCCAAGGTGTGCCAGGCACTGTGGACGGCACTACAGCCAGAGTTTCTGCCATTACCCACACCAGCCATGTGGAAAAACATTGCGGCGGACTACTGGAGAATGTGGAACTTCCCAAATTGTGTTGGAAGTATCAATAGAAAACACGTCACCATGAAGGCCCCCCCACGATCAGGGAGCGACTACTTCAACTACAAGGGTGCCCACTCCATTGTGTTGTTGGCGATGTGCGACGCAAGATATCACTTCACAATGGTGGATGTTGGAGCCTATGGACATGAGAGCGAAGGTGGGATGTTCAAGGAGAGTATTTTTGGGTCCTTGCTCCTCGACCACAAGCTAAGCCTGCCCCCACCAGCTGACCTTCCCGGGATTTTGGTGAAGACACCCCATGTCGTTGTTGGTAGTGCCGCTTTCCCCCTCCACTGCAACCTCATGCGACCAGTATGTATGTGATTTACCAGTCTTGTAGTTGCTTCAGATAAAAGCATATCCTGCATGTACTGATATCTATTTTATATATATATATATATATATACATATATATATATATATATATATATATATATATATGTATATATATATATATATATATATATATATATATATATTTATTTACATATATATATATATATATATATATATATATATATATATATATATATATATATATATATATATATGTATACACACACATACATATATAGATACATAAATATATACATTTATTAGGCATAGCTGTGATGCTGTATAAACAAAGCGTGTGTTCTACTGCACTTCTACATGATGGTTACAATATAAATGTGATACAATAACGAGTGCTTCATTGTCTCCCTCCTGTTTCTTCTCATGCAGGAACTAATCTGCCCAAAGACAAACAGATCTAGACGGGTTATTGAAAACACCTTTGGCATCATGGTTGCCAACTACCTCACCCACACAGACCAGACGGCAAGCCCTGAGGCACGCTACATACCCCCAGGCTATCCAGACCTGGAAAGAGCGGGTTCAGTGCGGCTTGGTGAGTGGCGAACCCAAGTCACGGGGGATTCCAACATGGAGCCCATTGACCCATCAACGATGTCCAGAGCTCGCGCCACAAGAGCATCTATGGCAGTCAGGAGAGACCTGATGTCTTTCTTCCTGACAGAGTGTGGATCTGTGCCATGGCAGAACGAGGTGGTGACCCGTGGTGCACTAGGAACACTTAAAGAATGATGGCAACTCAGTGATGACTTTTCAAAACTTTTCCATACTGTTTTTTTCGGGTGCTTGTATGTTTATTTGAGTTTGATGTTTTATGTTTACCCAACCGTTTTAAAAATTTCAATACTTTGTCATACCGTTTAGTTTTCAGAATAATAAAACTGATAAATTGTGTCCACACAGCTTTTGTTTTATTTTTAAACTGATTTTAAAAAGACATATTGACAATGAAAATAGAAAAGTAAAAAAATAAATATAAATAACATTTAGATCCATTGCTGAAATAAACTGTAATTTTAGCCCCATTTTGATTTCCAGGAAATAATTAAGAAAATTGGGAAAGTTGAATTAGTGAAGGAATTGATAGATTGTAAACTTTCTGAAAATTTGCAAAAATGAGATACAAATAAATCAAAGCTTTGGATGTTGAACACTGAGGATAATAAAACAGTGAAAGAAATAATAACAGGAATATCAATTCACAAGAATTTAGATCAATTAGAAAACTACATTATTGTTATGTTTAATAAGATCCAGAGAGTTAATAAAAACCTAGAAGGGAAAGGGTGGCAGCAGGTCACTGCTGATAGAGTCTCAGTCAGTTCTAGCAGAAAGAGTAAGAATCAAGTTCAGAATCAGTTACAAAAGCAAAATAAAGAAGAAAGAGAAGATAATTTCACTCCAACAGCAGAGAAATTCATTTTAATTGTAATCGATGTCATTAACTGCACAGACCAAGCCGAGCAGAAGACAGAGAAATCAGGAACATTGAGAGAAGTTAGCTGAGAAAAACAGGAGCATTTGTATGCATTTAAAAGATTAAGCTATTGTTAATAATGAATAGTTATTATATTGGAGAAAGATACAGGATATTCGTTTATTATAAATATAAAGTAAAGTAGATGCATTTATTGGTTAGTATACTGTCATTTTCTTTCACTATTCATACCAGCAGGTGGCGGTAATGGGCTCTCAAATTGTCTGCCAACCGCCAATAAATTTCACCAAAGAAGAAGGAAGTAGAGTACTGATAAAGAGGAAACAATTCAACTCTAAAACAGTTCAACCTCTAAAATACTATTAATCAGAAAACGACAAAAGTTAACTAACAACCATGGCTTGGTGCCATCTAGTGGTTGTATACGTCATCGCTGCCCTAATTACGGCATAAATTAAGGGCCAAAATAATGCTGAGCAGAAACGGCAGTACCCAACATCAAAACTTAAATTACTTAAGGGTCTTTTGAACAGCCGCCCCCAAATGTATACAATATATTTGCTCAAACAAAAGACTAGGTAGGGCGACCTTGCGCCTGGGAGTCACTGTCCTCATCAGGTGGAGCTGTTCAGTCCTGCAGCTGCAGGTTCATCTTCTGCTGACATGTATTTACAATGGTTCTATTACTTTACATTTCATTTTTAAAGGTGTTTTTTATTATTAAAATTCATATTTTAATTTACTGAACACAATTCTCTGATTATAAAGAGCAAATGAGATGTTATCGACCAACTGTCACTCTGTTTTTCTTGGATGAATCCTGTCTAGTTTATCTTAAATAAAAAGCTGTTTAAATGATGGAGTAAGTCCCCTCCTCTGTGACCTTGAAGATCCAGAAAACCTGCCAGGAAGACAATAAGCAGCTTTACTGAAGTTTAGCAGAAAGCGGCCGGCAGGAAGTGACGTTACCTTTAGAATGTGCGTTTTATTGTGACTCTGATAAATGAAAGGACTGTTTGCAACCATGCAAACATTCCTGAGGAGCATCTCCTCCTCTCAGCCTGAGGCGTGCAGCCATTGGTCCTCTGCAGAGCACAGCTGTTTCATCCGCAGCCTCTGAGGAGGATGAGGGGAGGGAGGGTCCAATCTATTTATAAAACCCAGCGGATCTGCAGCCTGTCTCTGGTTGAGTTACAGACCGCTCCGCTCCGCTCGGGTCCAGAGGACACCTCCTGATGTCTCCTGTCCTGTCCCCGTCCTCCGCAGCAGACGCAGCTCCCCGCCCCCACGGTGCGGACATGGGCGGCATCCCCGCAGCGGCCGGCGGCCCTTCCTGAGAGAAGCCAGCAGGTAAGCAGCTGCTGCCCGGAGGCTGGGGGCCTTCGGGGGCCCCGGGTCGCACTGTGGCGTGGGATGCGGTGGGAAGGTGGCGGTGGCTGGGGAGGAGGCTGATCCGCCCTGACCGGTGGCTCTGCTCTGATCCTCTCTGAAGGGTTTACAGGACGGGTTCTGCAGAACCAGCTGGAGCGTCCTGCTCTGCAAAGATCAGCAGCTTTTATGGAGCAGAAACCTTTGATGGATTAATGATGGATTATTAATGATGGATTAATGATGGATTATTAATGATGGATTAATGATGGATTATTAATGATGGATTAATGATGGATTATTAATGATGGATTATTAATGATGGATTAATGATGGATTATTAATGATGGATTAATGATGGATTATTAATGATGGATTATTAATGATGGATTAATGATGGATTATTAATGATGGATTAATGATGGATTATTAATGATGGATTAATGATGGATTAATGATGATTAATGATGATTAATGATGGATAAATGATGGATTATTGATGGATTACTGATGGATTAATGATGGATTATTGATGGATTATTGATGGATTAATGATGGATTAATGATGGATTATTGATGGATTACTGATGGATTAATGATGGATTATTGATGGATTATTGATGGATTAATGATGGATTATTGATGTCACAGTCTTGGTTTTGTTATGTTTATTTAGAGTATTCAGTCTTACTTTTCTCCTTGTTTTAGTGTTTAATTATTATTATTTTGTTGTTTTCTTGTTAGTTCCTGTCCTCCAGGTTTTCCATTTGTTGTCCTCTGCTGCCCTCTTGTGTCCTCTATTCCTAGCTCTGTTTTCCGCTCTGTCCCCCCTTGCTGTTTTCTCTTTTCTGCCAGCACCTGTTGCCAATTTCCTCGTCAGCTCTCTCTTTGTCTCTGTTCCCTTTAAAAGCCCTCCTTCTTCAGTTCTTGTTTACTGGATCCTCGTCTTACTTCTCATCAAACCTCTGGTCAGTTCTCTGTCGTTCCTTCCTTGTCTCTTCCTGGTTCTTAGTTTTTGCTTTTTCCCTGATGACTCTTAGATTCTGGTTCTTAGGATATTTTTGTTGGATTTTTGACTCCTGTCTTGTGAGGTATTTTGTTGGATTTTTGACTCCTGCCTCAGAGCCTGTTTACCTATTAAATCACTTTATTCATCTCAACCTACTCATCTCTGCTTTTGGGTCCTCTAACCAACACCACCAAATCGTGACAATTGATGGATTATTGATGGATTACTGATGGATTATTGATGGATTAATGATGGATTATTGATGGATTAATGATGGATTATTGATGAATAAATGATTGATTATTGATGGATTAATGATGAATAAATGATTGATTATTGATGGATTATTGATGAATTAATGATGGATTATTGATGGATTATTGATGGATTAATGATGGATTATTGATGGATTAATGATGGATTAATGATGGATTATTGATGGATTAATGATGGATTATTGATGGATTATTGATGGATTAATGATGGATTACTGATGGATTAATGATGGATTACTGATGAATAAATTATTGATTATTGATGGATTAATGATGGATTATTGATGGATTAATGATGGATTATTGATGGATTATTGATGGATTATTGATGGATTAATGATGGATTATTGATGGATTATTGATGAATAAATGATTGATTATTGATGGATTAATGATGGATTATTGACGGATTAATGATGGATTAATGATGGATTATTGATGGATTATTGATGGAATATTGATGGATTATTGATGGATTACTGATGGATTATTGATGGATTAATGATGGATTATTGATGGATTATTGATGGATTATTGATGGATTAATGATGGATTAATGATTGATTATTGATGGATTAATCATGGATTAATGATGGATTATTAATGGATTATTGATGGATTATTGATGGATTATTGATGAATAAATGATTGATTATTGATGGATTATTGATGAATTAATGATGGATTATTGATGGATTAATGATGGATTATTGATGAATTAGTTATGGTTTATGATGGATTATTGATAGATTAATGATGGATTAATGATGGATTATTTATGGATTAATGATGGATTATTGATGGATTATTTATGGATTAATGATGGATTATTGATGGATTAATGATGGATTATTGATGGATTATTGATAAGTTAATGATGGATTATTTATTTTATTTATGGATTAATAATGGATTATTGATGGATTAATGATGGATTATTGATAAGTTAATGATGGATTATTTATTTTATTTATGGATTAATAATGGATTATTGATGGATTAATGATGGATTATTGATAAGTTAATGATGGATTATTGAAAGATTAATGATGGATTAATGATGGATTATTGATGGATTAATGATGGATTATAAATAGATTATTAATAGATTAATCGTGGATTATTGATTGATTATTGATAAATAAATGATTGATTATTGATGGATTATTGATGAATTAATGATGGATTAATGATGGATTATTGATGAATTAATTATGGGTTATGATGGATTATTGATAGATTATTGATGGATTAATGATGGATTATTGATGGATTATTGATGGATTGTTGATGGAATATTGATGGATTAGTGATGGATTAATGATGGATTATTGATGGATTAATGATGGATTAATGATGGATTATTGATGGATTAATGATGGATTAATGATGGATTATTGATGGATTAATGATGGATTAATGATGGATTATTTATGGATTAATGATGGATTATTGATGGATTATTGATAAGTTAATGATGGATTATTGATGGATTAATGATGGATTATTGATGGATTATTTCTCCATCAAATTTCGTCATCAAATCAGGCATCAACACTGAGAGCCCCATCACCTCAATCATCATGTGGGCTTTCCCTCTCAGCAGGTCTGTCTGACTTAGAGGACCCTGAAGGACATACAGCTCATTCATTTAGATCAAAATCAGGCTGTTGCATTCATTTATATCAAAACCAGCCGGTTGCATTCGGTTAGATGAAAACCAGCCGGTTGCATTCATTTACATGAAAACCAGCCGGTTGCATTCATTTAGATCAAAACCAGCCGGTTGGATTCATTCAGATCAAAACCAGCCGGTTGCATTCATTTAGATCAAAACCAGCCGGTTGGATTCATTCAGATCAAAACCAGCCAGTTGCATTCATTCAGATCAAAACCAGCCGGTTGCATTTATTTACATGAAAACCAGCCGGTTGCATTCATTCAGATCAAAACCAGCCAGTTGCATTCATTCAGATCAAAACCAGCCGGTTGCATTCATTCAGATCAAAACCAGCCGGTTGCATTCATTTACATGAAAACCAGCCGGTTGCATTCATTTAGATCAAAACCAGCCGGTTGCATTCATTTAGATCAAAATCAGCCGGTTGCATTCATTTAGATCAAAACCAGCCGGTTGCATTCATTCAGATCAAAACCAGCCGGTTGCATTCATTCAGATCAAAACCAGCCAGTTGCATTCATTCAGATCAAAACCAGCCGGTTGCATTTATTTACATGAAAACCAGCCGGTTGCATTCATTCAGATCAAAACCAGCCAGTTGCATTCATTCAGATCAAAACCAGCCGGTTGCATTCATTTACATGAAAACCAGCCGGTTGCATCCATTTACATGAAAACCAACCGGTTGCATTCATTTACATGAAAACCAGCCAGTTGCATTCATTTACATGAAAACCAGCCAGTTGCATTCATTCAGATGAAAACCAGCCGGTTGCATTCATTTACATGAAAACCAGCCAGTTGCATTCATTCAGATGAAAACCAGCCGGTTGCATTCATTTACATGAAAACCAGCCGGTTGCATTCAGTTAGATCAAAAGCAGCCGGTTGCTTCCGGTCAGATGAAAACCAGATGGTTTCATTCATTCAGATCAAAACCAGCCGGTTGCATTTATTTACATGAAAACCAGCCGGTTGCATTCATTCAGATGAAAACCAGCCGGTTTCATTAATTTACATGAAATCCAGCCGGTTGCATTCATTCAGATCAAAACCAGCCGGTTGCATTCATTTACATGAAAGCCAGCCAGTTGCATTCATTTACATGAAATTTAGCCGGTTGCATTCATTTACATGAAAACCAGCCGGTTGCATTCATTTACATGAAATTTAGCCGGTTGCATTTATTTACATGAAAACCAGCCAGTTGCATTCATTCAGATGAAAACCAGCCGGTTTCATTCATTTACATAAAATCCAGCCGGTTGCATTCATTCAGATCAAAACCAGCCGGTTGCATTCATTTAGATCAAAACCAGCCGGTTGGATTCATTCAGATCAAAACCAGCCAGTTGCATTCATTCAGATCAAAACCAGCCAGTTGCATTCATTTACATGAAAACCAGCCGGTTGCATTCATTCAGATCAAAACCAGCCAGTTGCATTCATTCAGATCAAAACCAGCCGGTTGCATTCATTCAGATCAAAACCAGCCGGTTGCATTCATTTACATGAAAACCAGCCGGTTGCATTCATTTAGATCAAAACCAGCCGGTTGCATTCATTTAGATCAAAATCAGCCGGTTGCATTCATTTAGATCAAAACCAGCCGGTTGCATTCATTCAGATCAAAACCAGCCGGTTGCATTCATTCAGATTAAAACCAGCCAGTTGCATTCATTCAGATCAAAACCAGCCGGTTGCATTTATTTACATGAAAACCAGCCGGTTGCATTCATTCAGATCAAAACCAGCCAGTTGCATTCATTCAGATCAAAACCAGCCGGTTGCATTCATTTACATGAAAACCAGCCGGTTGCATCCATTTACATGAAAACCAACCGGTTGCATTCATTTACATGAAAACCAGCCAGTTGCATTCATTTACATGAAAACCAGCCAGTTGCATTCATTCAGATGAAAACCAGCCGGTTGCATGCATTTACATGAAAACCAGCCAGTTGCATTCATTCAGATGAAAACCAGCCGGTTGCATGCATTTACATGAAAACCAGCCAATTGCATTCATTCAGATGAAAACCAGCCGGTTGCATTCATTTACATGAAAACCAGCCGGTTGCATTCAGTTAGATCAAAAGCAGCCGGTTGCTCCCGGTCAGATGAAAACCAGATGGTTTCATTCATTCAGATCAAAACCAGCCGGTTGCATTTATTTACATGAAAACCAGCCGGTTGCATTCATTCAGATGAAAACCAGCCGGTTTCATTCATTTACATGAAATCCAGCCGGTTGCATTCATTCAGATCAAAACCAGCCGGTTGCATTCATTTACATGAAAGCCAGCCAGTTGCATTCATTTACATGAAATTTAGCCGGTTGCATTCATTTACATGAAAACCAGCTGTTTGCATTCATTTACATGAAATTTAGCCGGTTGCATTTATTTACATGAAAACCAGCCAGTTGCATTCATTCAGATGAAAACCAGCCGGTTTCATTCATTTACATGAAATCCAGCCGGTTGCATTCATTCAGATCAAAACCAGCCGGTTGCATTCATTTACATGAAATTTAGCCGGTTGCATTTATTTACATGAAAACCAGCCAGTTGCATTCATTCAGATGAAAACCAGCCGGTTTCATTCATTTACATGAAATCCAGCCGGTTGCATTCATTCAGATCAAAACCAGCCGGTTGCATTCATTTACATGAAAACCAGCCAGTTGCATTCATTTACATGAAATTTAGCCAGTTGCATTCAGTTACATGAAAACCAGCCAGTTGCATTCATTGACATGAAATTTAGCCGGTTGCATTCATTTACATGAAAACCAGCCGGTTGCATTCAGTTAGATCAAAACCAGCCGGTTGCTTCCGGTCAGATGAAAACCAGATAGTTTCATTCATTCAGATGAAAACCTTTCTGTTGCATTCATTCAGATCAAAACCAGCCGGTTGCATTCATTTACATGAAAACCAGCCAGTTGCATTCATTCAGATGAAAACCAGCCGGTTGCATTCATTTACATGAAATCCAGCCGGTTGCATTCATTCATATCAAAACCAGCCGGTTGCATTCATTTACATGAAAACCAGCCAGTTGCATTCATTTACATGAAATTTAGCCGGTTGCATTCATTTACATGAAAACCAGCCGGTTGCATTCATTTAGATCAAAACCAGCCGGTTGCATTCATTTACATGAAAACCAGCCGGTTGTATTCATTCAGATCAAAACCAGCCGGTTGCATTCATTTACATGAAAACCAACCAGTTGCATTCATTTACATGAAAACCAGCCAGTTGCATTCATTCAGATGAAAACCAGCCGGTTGCATTCATTTACATGAAAACCAGCCGGTTGCATTCAGTTAGATCAAAACCAGCCGGTTGCATTCAGTTAGATCAAAACCAGCCGGTTGCTTCCGGTCAGATGAAAACCAGATGGTTGCATTCATTCATATCAAAACCAGCCGGTTGCATTCATTTACATGAAAACCAGCCAGTTGCATTCATTTTCATGAAATTTAGCCGGTTGCATTCATTTACATGAAAACCAGCCGGTTGCATTCATTTAGATCAAAACCAGCCGGTTGCATTCATTTACATGAAAACCAGCCGGTTGTATTCATTCAGATCAAAACAAGCCGGTTGCATTCATTTACATGAAAACCAACCAGTTGCATTCATTTACATGAAAACCAGCCAGTTGCATTCATTCAGATGAAAACCAGCCGGTTGCATTCATTTACATGAAAACCAGCCGGTTGCATTCAGTTAGATCAAAACCAGCCGGTTGCTTCCGGTCAGATGAAAACCAGATGGTTTCATTCATTCAGATGAAAACCTTTCTGTTGCATTCATTCAGATCAAAACCTGCTGGCTGCATCTGGTCAGATGAAAACCAGCCGGTTACATCTGGTCAGATGACACGCTTCATCCGTCTTCTAACCTGCTGTGATAAAATACATTTGCTCCCGTAGAGACAGAATGTAGAAGGCCACCAGCTGATGCTTCCATCCACTGAGTCGCTGATGAACAGAACCGGGCTGGTAGGTGATGAAGGGACCAATAAATGTAGAGCTATGCACCTCAGAACCCTGAACACTGCTGGCTGCCTGATTCTCTGGGCTAACAGGGAATGGTAAATGGGCTGTACTTGTATAGCACCTTTTTTCAATTCAGGAGACATGACTAAAGCGCTTTACACTACATTCAGTCATCCACACACTGATGGTGGCAAGCTACATTGTAGCCACAGCTGCCCTGGGGCTCACTGGCAGAAGCTTGGCTGCCGTACACCGGCACCACCGGGCCCTCTGACCACCATCAGTAGACAATGCAGGTGAAGTGTCTTGCCCAAGGACATAACTACACTGGTCTTGAACCGTCAATCCTTCGATTTCAGGGCAAACTCCTTCATTAGGTTTGTCGCCCCAGACCCAATGTTGGCTGCTGGAAGGTCGGCTTACACCTCATAGAGCAATGATGAGGAAGTGCTGGGATGGATACTGGGATTCTTTGATGGTTAAACTCCGCCCCCTGATGAGTGGAGGATGGAGCGATTGACCCAGAGCTGCTGGTAAAATCAGCAGATGATCTGAATGGACAGACTGGTCAGTCAGCTTCCCTGCTGCCAGAGCCATCAATTAAAGAAGTACAAATACTTTGTTACTTTAGTAGAAATGTTGGCTATCTGTACTTTAATGGAGTAATTATTATTTAGACAACTTTTTACTTTCTATTCCTTAAATTAAAAAAAAGACTCATTAGTTTTGTTTCATTTACGCTCATTTTTATGATGGTCTGTTTCTATTCAAAAATAAATAAATAAATAACATCAAAATAATTAGTTTCATCTAGACAATTAATTTCTTTGTGGTTAGACTCGGTGCTGCCCCAACTTGTTGCTCACCACATACCAAACTGACTAGTTTATCAAGATGATGCAAAGTTAAATGTGACTCTGTTACCATTAGTTATAATAAAGCTAAGAAAATGAAGTTATCATCCAGAATTGTAGAAAAAATTTCCTTTCATAGGGTATAGCAGTAAAGCTTCTGACCTTAACATTTTTTCCTGCATTAATTTTACTTTTATACTTTAAGTAGTTTTAAAAATGTTCCTTTTACACTTTTACAGGAGTAAAAAGCTGAAGTTGATCCTCTAACTTCTATAAAAGTGTTTTTAAACAGCAGGATTTATACTGGAGGAATAAACATGAATACTATGGACAGCTCTGCTGCTGAGGAGTCACCACAACAGAGAGCCGGAGCTCCTCGGACCTTCATCCTGCACCTAATCCGCAGATCTACTTCTATAGATCTATTCTGCTGGTTATAAAGAGGTGCTGCTGAGTTTGGGCTTCTGGGAGAAATGGGGGGGCTCTGCATTCCTGCTGCCTCTCCAGGATCACACACAGACCTTTCCAGTTCCAGACGATTGAATGATGCATCAACAATGGCTGCAGTTTATAAAGTAGTGGAAGAACCATTCAGGGTCTGTGTTGATGAAATAATGAACATTTATCACTCAGACTGAGCTCTTAATGATCACCTTTAATCCTGAACTGAACCGGACTTCAGGTGACAGCAGAACTCAAAATCCACCTGCTTCCATGTCATCAAATTATTTTTGTTGGATGTTTTTGACTCCGAGATTAAATGGGCTCTCTCTTTATTGTTAGAACAGGGGGCTGGAGGAAGGATTCTTCTGGCAACCAGCGCAGCTTTGTGAAGGAAGGCTGTGACGTGTCTGAGGGCCTTTAGCTGGACAACAGACGTGCATCAGGTTGTGTACAGAAGGGATGTTGAGCAATCGTGTCAACATGGAGCTGAATGGAGAAACTTTCTGAGCATACCAACACGGCTCCAGGCTGCAGACGGAGCGCCGTGCCGTCGGACCACGCAGGAATCCACCGGCAGTCAGACCAGAGCTGCAGCAGATCTGGAGTTCTTCTCCTCGGTAAGCTTCTCTCTGCAGGCCACAGGCGATGGAGATGATGCTGTAGGTCAGCTGATGATGGAGGTGGACAGCAACCCTCCTGGAGGCACTCAGCTCTGCTGCTTTTCACCCTCAGGTTCTGAAACTCATAGTGTTTTTTACTTTCTGGACTTTGTAAACTTGGCTTTTTATTTTGATGCAGGCTGTTAGGCATGTTTTTGTAGATATGGAGGATTGTGTAGATTAAGGAGGAATTAGCAGATTATAATTAGATTAGAAATAAAAAGATTAGCTCATGGATCAAAGGGAAACCCATATCCTACAGAATCAACCCTGAGCAGAACACCTGGTCCTAACATCTACCCGCCTGGACATGTGAGCTATAGGTCAGAGTTCCTGTACAAATCAACTTGGTCATATGACTTGAGTGAGAAGAATCGGACCCTTTCAGGTTTCTTCCAGGTCCTGGTTGAAGGTAGATGGTCTGACATCACTCCGATCCAACTTTAATCTGTTCATTGGCTGAATAAATGTCTAAGAACCAGAACCCAAATGTTCAAAAAGGACACCGGAAATGTGGCGTGGTCGTTTGATGCTCTTTTTCCAGGAGGTTACAGGGAAAGCTGCCCCTAGTGGTGAAGATGGCTTCATGAAGGGCTTCCAGACCAAACCAAAGGTTCTGATTGAGTTTAGAACACCAGTCATCACCAAACAGACCCTGGCCTTCAGTCATAAGGGAACATCTACCATCTGATTCCTGAAGCTCCGCTGTTCCATGGGAGGAGGAACCCTCCAGAGCTTGATGGTGGCCCTCCACTGGGAGAACGTCTCAGGTGAGATCTCCTGCCTGTACCGTTGAGGGCCATCAGGACCATCAAACTCTTCTCAGTCAGATGCCGTCTGATGGTTATGGGTCGCCAGTTGTTCCCAGTGACAGGTTTTTTTGGGCCGAGGTTCTTTCCAGGTCTTGACGGAGATCCAGTCTGTTCTTCCAGCTCAGGGCAGATGACATTTCTTTGGGTCTACCACAGGACTGGACTTTTTTGGTTACCTAACCATCAGCATCTTTAAGGAGGCTTGAAATGAGTATCTGACTGTATCCAACTTCACCAGTAATACCCCGCTGCAGTTTAACATTCTGACTGGAGAGGAAGACTTTAGTCACTGTCCTCAGGAGGTCATAGCAGCCACTAAGATGTGGGCTCCAGCTGATGCAGGCTGAAACGCTGCTCTGCTGATGAACGGGCCATTTATGACGGGGTTCTTTTGGAATTCCTTCTGTCGGTTAGTTCATGTTTGGGTTTTTCCATGAGTCTCAGTTTTGTATTTTGGGTCTTGCCATATTCCGTTTTTTTGCTGTTAAGGGATTTTTTTCCATACTAGTTTGGTTTATTCACATTTTTACTATATTTGTGAACTTTAATCCACGTCATAGTAAGCTTGAAAGGTTCAGTTTAGGCAACTGGATGTAAAGTTTTGTCATGCAAGGGGCATCTTCAGGTCTTACTATTGGTGGGGAGCACTGATATTAATATACTGGAGGTGGAACAAAGAGTGAGGAGGAACAAAAGGATAGGCCAAGAGGGTCACCTGGGGGGTTAATGATCGTTGGGGGCACTGTAGGTCGTTAACTCCCTTGTCAGAGTGGTTTCAGTCACATGCCTCATTGAAGTGAGAGTCAGGTGAGGGCAGGTGGGAGGTAAATCTTCTGGGTAGTTTCTAACAGTGCTTTGGAAGTAGGTGAAAGGTTATGTCTAAGACCCCCTCCTCTGCTGTTTTTCCAGGTTAACAAAGATAGCTTCCTTAACCCCTCTCTCAAACCATCTTTCCTCCTTGGCCAGAATATGTACGTCGTTGTCCTCTAAAGACTGTCCTTTAGCCCTCAGGTTTAGGTGAACAGTCCTGTCCGGAGGAGTTTCCCCTCCTGTGTTGAGGCTCCTGTTGAGTGATTGCTTGGTCTCTCCAACCTACAGGTCTCTACTCTCTTCACTACACTGAATGGTGTAAACCACATGGTCGGCGTTGTTTCTGGGCGTCGTGTCTTTGGGATGAACCCGTTTTTGTTTCAAACTCTGTCCTGGGGAAGAGACTCTATCCCAGAGAGGAGACTCCAGGGCTGGTTATACTCACCGCAGCAGTGTGTCGCGTTGAGCTTGATGCAGACATTTTTGATTCATGCTCAATTTTGAGTGTTGTTTGCGTTATCAAAGTGGGTCTAGATATGGCCGAGGCAGTGAGGAAGTGGGAGAAAGTTTGACCGACAACGGAGGCATATGACTGCAAAAAAGAGTGGAGATCCAGGTCGAAAAAGGGTCCCAGCTTTCTTGTACACCTCGCTTTTCTAGCTGGTCTATCTTCACGAGGCGTTTTCCGCAATCAGGGTCATAAAAACAAAACAAGCTGGCCTCCTGTCTGCGGCACTGTCTGCGGTCACCTACAATTTGGGAGAGGTGCAGCAGATTGTCTGCGGACGGGGCAGGGATATCTTTGCGTTCACATCTTTGCGTTCACAGCGACACCTACGCAAATGACCTAGTTTTGAAGTATAAATCAGCCTTCTGTCCCAGAAAGGAGACTGTGTTCCAGAGAGGAGACTCTGTCCCAGAGAAGAGACTCTGTCCCAGAGAGGAGACTGACCTGGAGAGTAGACTCTGTCCCGAAGGGGAGACTCTTTCCTGGAAAGGAGACTATGTGCAGGAGGGGAGACTCTGTCCAAGATTGGAGACTCTGTCCCAGAGAGGAGACTGACCTGGAAAGGAGACTATGTCCCGGAGGGAAAACTCTGTCCTGGAGGGGAGACTCTGTCCTGGAGAGTAGACTGTGCTGGAGGGGAGAGACTGTCCCAGAGAGGAGACTCTGTCCTGGAGAGGAGACTCTGTCCTCGTGGGGAGACTCTGTCCCCGAAAGGAGACTGATATGTTATGGATTGAGGTGCTGACCTATTTAGTGATTTCTAGACTAACAGAAGGATTTTAAAGTCTATTCTCGGAGCAAAAGGAAGGACTTCAGAACAGGGCTGATGTGCTCTACTTTCTATAGTTCTAGTGAGGACGCAGGCAGCAGCATGTGGATCAGCTGCAGCTCTCTGATCTACTTTCTATAGTTCTAGTGAGGACGCAGGCAGCAGCGTCTGGATCAGCTGTCTGATCTACTTTCTATAGTTCTAGTGAGGATGCAGGCAGCAGCATCTGGATCAGCTGTCTGATCTACTTTCTATAGTTCTAGTGAGGACGCAGGCAGCAGCATCTGGATCAGCTGTCTGATCTACTTTCTATAGTTCTAGTGAGGACGCAGGCAGCAGCGTCTGGATCAGCTGTCTGATCTACTTTCTATAGTTCTAGTGAGGACGCAGGCAGCAGCATCTGGATCAGCTGTCTGATCTACTTTCTATAGTTCTAGTGAGGACGCAGGCAGCAGCATCTGGATCAGCTGTCTGATCTACTTTCTATAGTTCTAGTGAGGACGCAGGCAGCAGCGTCTGGATCAGCTGTCTGATCTACTTTCTATAGTTCTAGTGAGGACGCAGGCAGCAGCATCTGGATCAGCTGTCTGATCTACTTTCTATAGTTCTAGTGAGGACGCAGGCAGCAGCATCTGGATCAGCTGTCTGATCTACTTTCTATAGTTCTAGTGAGGACGCAGGCAGCAGCATCTGGATCAGCTGTCTGATCTACTTTCTATAGTTCTAGTGAGGACGCAGGCAGCAGCATCTGGATCAGCTGTCTGATCTACTTTCTATAGTTCTAGTGAGGACGCAGGCAGCAGCATCTGGATCAGCTGTCTGATCTACTTTCTATAGTTCTAGTGAGGACGCAGGCAGCAGCATCTGGATCAGCTGTCTGATCTACTTTCTATAGTTCTAGTGAGGATGCAGGCAGCAGCGTCTGGATCAGCTGTCTGATCTACTTTCTATAGTTCTAGTGAGGATGCAGGCAGCAGCATCTGGATCAGCTGTCTGATCTACTTTCTATAGTTCTAGTGAGGACGCAGGCAGCAGCGTCTGGATCAGCTGTCTGATCTACTTTCTATAGTTCTAGTGAGGACGCAGGCAGCAGCGTCTGGATCAGCTGTCTGATCTACTTTCTATAGTTCTAGTGAGGACGCAGGCAGCAGCGTCTGGATCAGCTGTCTGATCTACTTTCTATAGTTCTAGTGAGGACGCAGGCAGCAGCGTCTGGATCAGCTGTCTGATCTACTTTCTATAGTTCTAGTGAGGACGCAGGCAGCAGCGTCTGGATCAGCTGTCTGATCTACTTTCTATAGTTCTAGTGAGGACGCAGGCAGCAGCATCTGGATCAGCTGTCTGATCTACTTTCTATAGTTCTAGTGAGGACGCAGGCAGCAGCATCTGGATCAGCTGTCTGATCTACTTTCTATAGTTCTAGTGAGGACGCAGGCAGCAGCATCTGGATCAGCTGTCTGATCTACTTTCTATAGTTCTAGTGAGGACGCAGGCAGCAGCGTCTGGATCAGCTGTCTGATCTACTTTCTATAGTTCTAGTGAGGATGCAGGCAGCAGCATCTGGATCAGCTGTCTGATCTACTTTCTATAGTTCTAGTGAGGACGCAGGCAGCAGCGTCTGGATCAGCTGTCTGATCTACTTTCTATAGTTCTAGTGAGGACGCAGGCAGCAGCATCTGGATCAGCTGTCTGATCTACTTTCTATAGTTCTAGTGAGGACGCAGGCAGCAGCGTCTGGATCAGCTGTCTGATCTACTTTCTATAGTTCTAGTGAGGACGCAGGCAGCAGCATCTGGATCAGCTGTCTGATCTACTTTCTATAGTTCTAGTGAGGACGCAGGCAGCAGCGTCTGGATCAGCTGTCTGATCTACTTTCTATAGTTCTAGTGAGGACGCAGGCAGCAGCATCTGGATCAGCTGTCTGATCTACTTTCTATAGTTCTAGTGAGGACGCAGGCAGCAGCGTCTGGATCAGCTGTCTGATCTACTTTCTATAGTTCTAGTGAGGATGCAGGCAGCAGCGTCTGGATCAGCTGTCTGATCTACTTTCTATAGTTCT